AAGTTCTACTAGCGTAAGCTTTTGGTTTGTCGGCTCCGATGGCGCCTTGAGATAATACCGCTCCTAGAGCATAATTTGAGGCATCAGTGGTGAGTACAAATGGTTTTGAAAAATCAGGGAATTGGCGCGTTTACCAAAAGTTCTTTGCATCTCTCGAAAGCGGCTACATACTGTTCTGTAAAATCAATCTTATTCCTTTTCTTGAGATAATTGGTGAGTGGTTGGGTGACTTTAGCGAAATCTCTAATGAATTTACGATTATATCCTACTAGACCCAAAAATCTTTTGATTTCGGTGGCGGTTCTTGACTACTGGCTTGGATTTTGTCATTATTTGGTGAGTCCTCTTTTGTTATTGTATGGCCTAAATAGAGGACTTCTTTTCTAAGAAATTCACATTTGTCTAGGGTAACTTTGAGATTTGTTTCCCGTAGTCGATTGAATACCATTTTAACTTTTCTAATTGCTCCTGTAGACTGGAAGAGTATACAATTATATCGTCGAGATATACTAAACAATGCAACCCTTGCAACCCTCTCAAGACGTTATCCATAGCACGCTGAAATATTGCGGGGGCTGTCTTTAATTCGAACGGGAGGCGTGCAATTCGTAATGGCCAGACTGGGTTGTAAATGCAGTTTTATGTCTATCACTTTCCTCAACTTCTATTTGGTCATACCCGCTTGCCAGGTCTAAAGTTGCAAAATAAATGGATTTTCCTAGTTTATCAAACAGGTCTGAGATATTCGGCAATGGGTACTTATCATCTATAGTGATCTCGTTCAAGTGCCTATAATCAATTACCATACGATATTTCCTTTCACCTGAAGCATCGAGTTTTTAGGGAACAGATGGACAGGTGCGCTCAAAGGCGAAAGAGATTCTTTAATGACGTTATTTTGGAGGAGCTTTTCGACTTGTTTCTGTATTTCCTCATTTATTGCAGGTGGATGTCTGTATGGCCTAATGTATATGGGGTTCATTTTTAGTACGGATTTTGTGTTTTACGCTGTTGGTGAATGAGAGCGGAATATCGTCGCAATAGAATATGTCCCGATAGTCATAGCACAGATTTTTTGATACATTCGCGCTCTTCCTCATTAACATGATCCAGACGTAATTTCCACAAATTTTGTTTTAATAGTTCATTTATCTCGTAGTTATCTTTCATGAAGTTCGCTCTGCATTCTTCAGCTATATATTTGGTTACTTTTAGGGGCTTAGAGAAGGTAATGGTAACCCTATCGTCGGACGCATTTTGTATCACCGTGTATGCAAACGAATTAACGCATTTTACTATAGCGCTTGGCATCCTAACACCTTGACCAAAATCGACATAATCTATTATCGCATTTCCATTTTGCATATCCGTTGGGACCTTGACTCGCGTTCTTGGTTCCAATATAATTTCGTATGGGGGCTATATATAATAGGTATTTTTGTATCACATGTGTACAGTACTTGGTTTTTCATATCTATTGAAGCGTCAAGTTGTTTTAAAAGATCCGAACCTATCAAACCGTCGTATCTACTATCGACGTCATATATATATATATATATATATATATATATATATATATATATATATATATATATATATATATATATATATATAGCTTCGTTATGTTGGCTACGTACATGCGTACTAATGACTTCGAAAGGTTCATATAATTTGAAAGCGAAGAAATATTGTTCTGCCTTAGCGGGACTTATAAAAGTTCGCGTACTTCCGGTATCTATCATAAAACGAGCCTGAATTTCCGGTATTTCGATGTGCGGGAGTTTTAAAATCATGTCAAAATTTATTTGTATTATTTCGGGGGTGAATCGGAGGCTTCTATTTGAAAATTTTCAGTATCATTCGAAATTATATCAGGGTTGTAACTTGCTCCTTCTATTTGACTATACGATTCAATTTCAGATTGGGGTACTTCTAAATTATATGTGTAATTATTTTCGTTACAGTAATGTATATCATGGTTATAATATTCCGCTGGTATTTCGGGTTCGTTATTATAGAAAATCTCGTTATCTTGGGGAACTCCAGAGTCATCTAGTATATTTTGTCTTAGCGGACGTGCGGTACGCATAGAGATATCGGTATTTTCATTTAAATTTTGTTTCTGGAAATTCCGATTGGGTATTATTTAAATTTATTTTGGGGTTGATTTGTAAAAGCTAGTGGGGGTCGCGCATAATTATTCATGGGTGGCCTAAAGCCCTGGTATTGTTGGGGTATGCCAAATTTAAGTTAGATTGCTGGTTTTGGAATGACAAACTTAAAGTTCTGTGGTCCCGTATTATTATTAAATCTTGGGCCATTATTAAAATTATTTTGAGCAAAAAAATCTTTGACCTTGTTGCTGATGCGGGATACCAAATTTAAAATTATTACTCGGCAATTGGAATTTATTCTGTAGTCCAAATTGCGGATTTGCAAATTTAAAATAGGATGAATTATTATTAGGTAAAATATTATTAACATTTTGTTGGGGTTTGAAATTTTAGAATGTTATATTCTGTTTCGTTTTATTTTTCGCATTATATTGGTTCATGAAATTCACTTCCTCGGTTACGACACTCAAAGCGGATTCTAAACTAGTACACTGTCTAAGACGCACGATACGAATTAAATCCTCGGGTAAATTTTAAAGGAATACATTTAATAAAATATTATTATACACTATCATTTTGGCTGCTTTTACTCCTTCATCCTGTGTATTAGATTGACTTTTGCGAATAAGGTACTACGCATATGTTGTATTCTATGACAAAAATCGATAAATGATTCGCCAGACTTAATTTTCATTTATTCTAACTCGATAGCTATGCAATCTTCAGAACGCGGATCGCCAAAATGTTGAATTAAAATGTCTTTAAGCATATTACAACAATTAATATCATCACGATCACATAACAAGTGTGCTGCCCTACCTGTTAATCGGCTGCTTATCGCATGGAATACATATAATGTTTGTGTGGCATTATAGGGTCTGCGAAATACCTGTATATGTATTGAGCTTTCCTAATAAATTTAATAATCCTTCCTCTCCTTCAAACTTAGGTATAAGACAAAGTAAATCCTTAGGTATTACACGTAATTGTTCCATTTTATTTAATATTAATATAACAATTTATATAATATTTAATTATTAATTTATTTTTTATTTTATTTAATTATTAATTTTAATTTATATAATTATTAATTTTATTTCTTTAAATATCCTTTTATTTCTTTTATTTCTTTAATTATGTAATTTTTATTTTTTATAACACAATTAAATAAATTTTCTTTATTTCAAATTAATTTTCAATACTTAATTAGTAAACTTAATGATATAGAATAAATTGCCTATGCTTGTGCAATTTATTTTGTTCGATTTAAAAAAATCAAATAACAAAAACAAGTACAAAAATAGATGGGAACAGAGATGGACGTGAAAAGGTTTACTCACAGTACACTCGAACTCATCCTTTCACCTGGGCTAGGAAGTGATGTCCTATTTCGAATTCGACAAATTCATTTCGGTTCGTAGATTTCGCGAAAGTGCAATACGGCACCGTAGACTGCTTCACGACGACTGATTTGGGAGTCTTCTTATATGAGCAAGATTTACACGCGAAATCCAGGTTTAATGAGCAAGATTTACACGCGAAATCCAGGTTGCTTGCGCCAGTCAAGATTCGAAATTGACTCAGGACGTTTTTAAAAAGACTTTATTAATAAACTTATAACTATTAATGTGCGATACATTACTTATATACTACTTAATTAATCCGCGATGGATTCTAGCCTAAGGCTACATGTCCGATACATGTACGAGCCAAACTAAGACTATCCTAATTCTTATTCTAGATCTTTAGCTAACGAACAGTTATCAGTATTCACACGAAAGACCACCCGTCTTCCAGACGCAATTCAGCAATCTACGCCCACGCTTACCCTTGAATTGTGATGGTCTCCAGTGCAGTTCCGGGAATACCTAGACATGAGTGATAAATAACGTCACAGTGAAAAAATCATCGTGATCTGCCACCAGAGAATACCACAGTGATTTTTTGTATGATAACGTCGTTCCAAAATAACGTTGTTTCTTTCCGTCACATTTACTCCGTCTTACTCCCGTCACTGCGATACTGCTAAGGTTAATGTAATATGGAACGAGAATAAATCGGAACGCGTCCGCCCGCGCCGTTCGGAGTACCTCGGAGATAGTCGAATATTTTGGTGAAATGTTGAACTATCATTAAGCACTTCTAGCGTATTTGACAGTCGACTCAGTTTACTCATTGTAATTTGTCAAGTTACTAGCACTTATAAATTTGGCGCCATTTTTTTTCTTACCTTTTCTTTGCGTGTTGATGCAAATTACGAGGTGCAAAGTGTTAGAAATTAGTCTATTCGTTGTGTAAATAACAATAATAGTGAATAGTTCAGTGTATTTAGTGTAGGTATATAAAAACTGATCTCAGCAATTATGGCAATATATGACAATATAAGTAATAATAAGCGACTAAATATCAAATCGTGTATAATCACATTACAAAACGTTCCAAATACCTATTCTGTTACCTATCCGACGTGATCGACGTGACAAAGTCACAGTGATTTTTCACCGTGAAATTTTTATAACTGGAACAACAGTCACGGTGATTGACTTATAACGACTTTGCCCATGTCTAGGAATACCGGGATGCATAACTAGATTTAGTGAATAAAATACACATCAGACTAAGCTGTATGGTCACAATACCTTTGCATCCCTTAATTGGAAAATCGGAACCTTCATATCCATATCCAATATCAGTCGATATCAGTTATATAAAAAAGTACTCTGTGATTATCATTTATCAATAATGCTAAGTGTAAACATATTCGTTTTTTTGAACCAGACAAAAATGTTAAGTTAAAAAATTCATTGACTTACCAGTACTTGTACAATTACTTATTTACCTCTACATTATCATATCAATACAAAAAATAGTAATATTTTTGTAAATATGGAAGATTCTTCAAATAATAACCCCGCAAAATTATGTGGCATGTAAGTGTAAATGTTTATTGAACGAAGATGTATATTCAACTTATTAATAAATTATTTAAATGGAAATAACGAATTTTTTTAATTTTCAGATGCAACAGTAACGTTAGTAAATATTGCTGTCCGCGATGTGAAATATTCTATTGCTCACTTGATTGTTACAAATCTGAGAAACATTTAGACTGTTCTGAAAGTTTCTACAGAGATTGTGTAAATGAAGAACTCTCTTATTATCACGCTGGAGATGACGCTAAACGTAAAATGCTTGATATTCTCAAAAAAGTTCATACTGAGGACTTAGAAGATTTACCAACAAACAACTCATTACAAAGTATTGACCAGACTGAAGAACTAATTGATTCTGATGATGATACAGAAATAGATTTACATGAGCGAATAAAAGGCTTGGATCTTGAAGATGCAGATGCAATATGGAATGCTCTAACAGAGGATGAACGGAATGAATTTGAGGCATTAATAAAGGGAGAAATTAGTTCAATATTACCCCAATGGCAGCCATGGTGGATATTTAGTAAAGAGTCTAAACTTGTAGAAGAAGTTAAAGCTTTAGATGTTGTGGAAGAGCATCTTAAAGAGTGTCCATGCTTAAAGCCTGTGCCAAAGTTTAATTCATTAACAGTAAGTGGAGATTTATTATTTTTATATCATTAAAATTGTGTACAAATTTACACTTTCAATTTGATGATAATACAGTGGAATCTCAATAACTCAAACTTCGTTAAGTTGTAATCCTCTGAAAGATGAAAAAAATTGCCATTTGCTTGTATCTCGAATTATTTAATCTAACTAAACAAAATGTTGTTTCTCTGTGAGGATTTGATAGTATTTATTTATACTCTATAACTCGTATTTCAAAAGTAAGTTGAAGTTAGTAAAATATAATAGCGTCTTACTTGGAGTTTCCCTGAACTCATAGCAATAAAATCCAAAAGGAATGTTTGTTGCTGCTGTTATCTGCTTCTTCTGCTATTTTGTGTACTCTGTACACATGCAATAAATGAATACATTCATGTAGCTTTCTAAGTGACACATTATAAGTGTACCTTTATTATGTTTAGGAAAAATTCTATAAATTCTTGTTAAGTCGAAAACTCATTAACTCCAAATATTTAGCATTTTCCTTGAAGTTTAAGTTATTGAGATTGTATTGTATTGTACTGAATTTACATGTTATATGACAAGTTTTCACTAGCTTGTGATGTTATGTTGCTGTAAGTTACTGGTGTATTTAACAGTGTGTGTAGTTTCATATTGCCACTTATTACCAATTATTTAACAGTATGATCAGGATCATATGGGATAGGTTAACAAAAAATAAAATAACCTATAGTACTATGATTTTTATTTATTGATTTATTATTTTTGCATTCCTTAAAATAAAAGTAAAACGTGAGTACAGCTCACACGCGACAGAAGTGAAACCTTCTAATGAAATGAAATACAAATACTTTAAATGATTTATTTAATACGAGGGTGGATTGAAAAGTACTTCGGCCTAACCAAGAAAATAAACACATACTAAATCAGTTATATTTTTATTTTTCTACATAATCACCATCAAGTTCAATACACTTTTGCCACCTCCCCTTCCAAGCATTTAGACCGTTGAAAAAAAATGATTCTTCCTTAGAGTCAAAATATGCGTCTACAGCTGCTTTGACCTTGTCGTTTGTCGAAAATCTTTGACCTCCCAAGTGCTTTTTTAGGTTAGGGAACAGAAAGAAGTCTGATGGTGCCAGATCAGGTGAATACGGCGGATGCGGTAACAGTTCAAAGCCACAGTTGTGAATTTCAGCCATTGACTGTACTGACGTGTGAACACGGGCATTATCTTGATGAAACAGGACTTTTCTTCTGAGCATTCCTCGACGTTTTTCTTTTATTTCCTCTCGTAAACGACGTAGTAAGGTGCAGTAGTAATCAGAGTTTATAGTCTGACCCCTTTCAAGATAATCAATCATAATCACACCTTTCGAGTCCCAGAGTACTGAAGCCATCACCTTATTTGCCGACAAAATCGACTTAGCCTTTTTAGGGGGTGGTGAACCAGGTCTTCTCCACTGTTTTGATTGTTGTTTTGTTTCCGGTGTACAGTAATGAAACCATGTTTCGTCCATAGTAACAAAACAATTCAAAAAATCATCTGCATCGGCTTCAAATAACTCCAAACAGTCGCGTGAAATAGTCAATCGCGTCCTTTTTTGTTCAACTGAGAGCAGTCGCGGAACCCACCTCGCAGACACCTTGTGGAAACCCAACTTGTTGACAATGATGTTTTGAGTTCGTTCATAAGAGATACCTATAATCTCGGCTATCTCTCTAATTTTTAATCTGCGGTCTCCCATTATTAAATCAAGTACTTTAATATTTTCGTCAGTAGTTGACGTCGAAGGCCTTTCAAAGCGGGGTTCATCTTTCACACTCTCTCTACCACGCTTAAATTCTGCTATCCATTTTTTGACGGATGAATATGACAGAGCACATTCGCCTAATGTACTGACCATGTCATCATGGATGGCTTTTGATGATAGCCCCTTCTTATGGAGGTACTTAATGACGGCACGCTGCTCGATTTGCTCCATTCGCGGAAATTATGTCCGATTACTTTGTTAATAAATTTATAAAATCACAACTAATTATCGCACATGTTTCGAACTTCACACAATGAACTAGTCTGAACTGAACTAAATAATGTGGGTAGATTTGATTTTTAGAATTGAATGGATCTGTGTTAGGCCGAGTACTTTTCAATCCACCCTTGTATTATAATTTAAACTATAAGTTTGGCATAAAATATAAGAAAATATAATTTTATAGTAAATGTAACAATTCTTTTAAATATTTAAATATTAGACAAAAATATTATATTACTCTTTTCAATATACTTTATATAGTACTCACTAATTACAAAAAGATTTATATCAATTTTACCTATTACAAAGTTAAGGTTTGGCCGTTCTTCACTGCTTGTTTAGTTCATATGCACACAACACCTTCATACCACAGTTCGTACCTTGTTGAACAAAACGCGTAAGCGACGCCGTTAAGTAATAGGTCTTTTACACCTTTTCAATGTTTTCACACTAATTATATTTATATAATAACAAAGAAATGTTACAGTAAATGTACATAAGACACCAAAATAACATATAAATGTTAATTTTTACAAGAGTGTACTCAACATTATACCCAGGTACAAGGATGAAATAAAACAAACCAAATTATTTTACTTAAATTCAATGAGACTCTCGCTCCCTGGCATCGCAAACCGTTGAAATTATTTACAAACAGAGATCACTATTTTATTGTGTATTTCTATAGTCTTACATATGAAAATTAAACGTACAATAATAATGTTACATAAGCTGTTTTGTTTATTGTTGTATGTCACATGTGCGCTTTGCGCTCGACCGACCGACAGTAGACTCTCGCAACAATCACAGAAACCAGTGATTCGGTTACATGCTGCATAGCCAGTTATTGTATCCAGTGATGTGAAATAACGCTGACGTCTATAAAGCAGCATTTAGCGCCACCTTTTAACAGTGTTAGTGCCTTGCCTCGGCAAAAATTGAAGGTGCAAAGGCCCGCTTGTGCACATGGCCCCACCATGAAACGGCGCCGGATCTGGGCGTCTCCCGTTAAATGACGCACACTAAAATGGATGATGGAATTTTATACAACGCACAAAGGGCCGCTGCCTGGAGGTCCCCAGGGCGCGTCTGGAGCTGGCGCTGGACGCGACAGCATGCGAACCGCCAGCTGAGCACGAGGTGCTGCACGACCACCCATCAGCCCCTTGCATCCATCATCCCCACCAGCTGGCTTACTGTCGGCAGGGTCTTCGCGGGCCCAGCAATCGGCCCCCGCCACTGGTGGAGTACACCACATGCGATGGATAATCAAAATGAATACCAACGCATTGCGGACGTATTTTAGGGCGAAAGGGGAGAAGTTGGAGGTTTTGCTTATCGGTCTAGGATGCATCGTATTTTTGCTGAGCTGGAGCCATCTATAATCGTCACAGAGTAAAACCTGGCAGACCAAGTTCGGTATATCTTGCGCTCAAATATATTTGATATCGCCGAACTCGAACGGCTACGACGTGAGGCTGTTTCCTCATCTACGGGAAAATGCTACGACTAAAGATACGGCGCCACAAATTGCAGAGCAATCCGCAAACGTGGATGCCGCCGTGAATACTCCAGTTGTGGTTGATTCAAACGATGATGGAACAGTCGCCCAGGAACTGAACATATGAGGAGTAAATTGGAAGAGGTGATTGTGGAAACGCGCAGTACGCATAGCCTTAAGCAAGCGGAATCGGGCTGTCGTGAGGGTTCTGAAACCAATGCCGGTGACCTATTTGGAAGCCAGCCGGGACCTTTGTGAGACGGACTCAATTCTGTTTGGTTCCGCTCTGGCAGTATGCCGTATTATAGGTAGGCGCCAAACTTTCCACGGCTGGATGCGCTACTGGACAAAACTGGAGAATAAGAATTGAAGAACGTATCGCAAAGGCTAGGGCCCTCATCGGCAGACTGATATGCTTCAGGTCAGATAATAACAGGCCTAGGAAAGTGCGCACCGTCAGGATGGCATTTGCTGGGACAAATGTTAGTTCGCCCCAGCCGGATAAAATGCAAAAACTGACGGAGCGCATAGACGACCCGAAGCAGAGAATCGTTGCTTAGGGAAAACCGATTCGGCGATATACCGAGAGGTCGACATGGTTCAACCAGAATCGTCTCTTCCAGAGTGATCAAAAGAGGCTCTATAAATCATTGGAGTGACCAATGGTAAGTGGAACGGGCCCAGCAGCGAATCACGCCGACACTGTTGCATTCTGGCGCGGTCTGTGGTCAGAGCACCGTAAACCACCTATATGTGGGCCCTGTATGAGTATTACGCCCATGGACCCCGTCACCATACGCCGGATGAAGTAGCTGAGGCGGTCCGTAGGGCCCCGAACTGAAAAAGTCCGGGACTCGACGGGCTGCATCACTACTGGCTGAAGGCGTTCGTGGTGTGTCACGCTGTGCTCGCCCGACAGTTTCAAGAGGCTCTCAACCAGAAGTCGCTCCCTAGCCTTTTTACTACTGGGATCACTCATTTGGTTCCTAAAGACGAGGTTACCACAGACCCGAGCTAATACCGCCCCATTACGTATCTACCGACCATATACAAGACACTAACATCCATTTTGATCGCGAGAATCACTCGTCACTGGACTCAAATCAGGTGATGTCGCGCGCTCAAAATAGATGCCGGGGCGTTGGTCGTGGAACCAAGGAATCAGTCCTCATTGACGCGGTCATCAAGCTGCAGGCAAAGTGGTGAAACGCAACCGTCCGAACTTCTCCGCCGCCTGTATAGACTACAGAAAGGCATTCGACTCGGTTCCCCATACATGGCTAAAAAGGGTCCTCGAGCTGTATAAGATTGACTGTACAATTAGAGACTTCCCTGAGCAATGTATGTGGCAGTGGAGTACGATCCTTTGTCATCTGGGTGAGCGGATGACGGCTGCGGAAAGCCGCATAAGGATAAGAAGGTTGTCTGAGTCCAATCTGGTTCTGCCTCTCTTTGAACCCTCTCAGTACTTTACTGGAGGGCTCCGGGAGGGGATTTCAGCTTCGAAAAGGAGGTACAAAAGCGACCCACCTTTTCTATATGGATGACCTCAAGTTGTTCGCCTCCAGTCGCTCCCATCTTGTGGAATTGCTAAATATCACTTGTGAATTTAGCAGTTTTATTGGAATGGAGCTGGAAATGGATAATTGTGCGGTCATCCATGTTGAAAGGGAAAGGATCGCTAACTCTGAGGGCATATACTTAACTGTGCCCGTCAACTTAAGGACCCTTTCCGAGGCTGAAACATACCGATACCTGGGTATGTCACAGAACATCGTTATCGATGAGGCTGGTATAATGAAAGTTTGCGACGTGTTTTATGCACGCTTGACCAAAGTGCTTAACAGCCTTTTGTCCGGTGTGAATAATATACAAGCATATAACGGTTGGGTCATGTCTGTACTCATGTATACCTTTGGCATACTTAGGTGGACTCAGACTGAACTTAACGCCCTGGATAGAAAAGTCCGCACTACTATGACGTCCCATAAGATGCATCACCCCGAGATCTTCGATTATGAGGCTGTACTTGCCGCGGAAATGTGGTGGACGTAGCTTTTTAAGCGCGCTTACCATGCATAATCGCGAAGTGTGCAGCCTCCGTAATTACTTTCTGACGAGATCGGATGATCCATTTTATAGGTACGTCATTTGTTGTGATAAAGGGCTTATCTCTTTATCCTTGGCCAACGAGCAATGGCAAGACCCGGCAGTACAGAGCATTTCCGATCGAAAGACTGTATGGAAGGAGAAGGAGCTCCACGGGAGGTTCTACAAGGCAAGTACTTGTAACTTGCCGGAAGGCCTGCTCGAAAGTAACCGCGCCAGGCGAGTTTACTGAGACGGGGCCATCATCACAGACAGGACTATTCTTGCGAATAAGCCTGATATTGTGCTGATAGACCGGACACAGTCAAGGATATTTTAGGTCGACATTACCATTCCGTTTGACGAGAACCTCGTGAAAGCCGAAACAGATAAGCGAACAAAGTATCTGGACCTGGCTCACGAGGTGACCGACATGTGGGGTGGGCTGTCGACCGAAATCATACCTGTTGTCGTTTCTGCAAACGGGCTAATCCCAGTCAGCCTCTCAGATCATCTGAGGCGACTGGGACTGGGTTTCTTTCCCTTTCCCCCTAACCCCCGGCGGTTAGGTCTCCCCTGCCGAGGGCTTCCATCTGGTTGGGCTTTTATTTATTTATGTATTTTTTATGCATTTATTTTATTCCATTGTTATTTATGTATATTTGTCACTTTCGTTCACAATTATATATTTATGGAACCCAACCAAATGAGAAAACTATATAGATAACCCATTAATAAAACAATAAACTAACAAAATTTTATATGTGGTAGAGCCATGTTGCAGTTATATTAGAAGTGTAGTTGTAGCACGAATGGGTTGGCTCGACTGGAGAAGGACCACGCTATCACGGAATACTAGCGTGAAAGAGTAGCTTAATGCTGCTTTGTTTCGTATGGTGAGTGTAGACAACCGGAGACCCTTTTTACTGGAAACGAGGCATTCCATCTTAGTCCTCACGGGTGACAATGCATCTGCATTTTAATTCGCAATCGCGGGTAGATGTAGATGTCTATGGGCCACAGCAACCACTTACCATCAGGTGGACTGTGTGCTCGTTTGTCACCCTATCCTATAAAAAAAAATTGTTCGAGTTTGCAATCTCAGACCTAAGAATGTAGTAATTTGATATCTTAATCAATTTCGTGTTTCGACCAACTAAGCAATCACAGAAGTACTTACTTATCATTTACTCAGCCTCTTCTCTATAATGCTACAGTAGCTTTAATATATAAGAACATATTTCGGTGTTAAACACTGCCATGAAACAAGTTTCAATCTTTTACGTAGTTATAGTTCTTAAAATATACTTTAAGCAATAACTTACCATGTTGTGGCAATGTAAGAATACCACATATAATTTGGTGGTTGTTGTAAGAGATGGTCTGTATCTTCTTGGTAACAACTCAATATAATAATAAACTGCAGTTGCCAACCTACTTATCAAGTGAGGAAACTATAGTAAATAGCCCCCATAGGATTTTTAACAGACCGTAAAGGTATGGTAATTATTTATACACTGATAGAGAATTCGCCCCGGCTTCGCACGGATAATTTATGTATCTCGACAAAGGCGTCCAATTGTCAATCTAAACCATCCAAGGATCTCACTCAAACAGAATCGGTTCAGCCAGTTTTGAGTTTTAGCGAGACTAATGGACAGCAATTGATTTTTATATATAGAGATATAGGCAACAACATTATACTAAAATCACAGTAAATGTGTTACCAATTTATACATTCAGAAGTAATTGTTATATATGCAGTATATATGAAGTGTTGCCTAAACTGATTATTATCCTGTGTCAGTAAGATCAATGTAATTATTTTAATAAATATTATTTTCAGAATGTAAAACCATCACCAACTATTAAATTTAACATAGCAAATGTGTTGGCTTCATATGCATTTATTATGAGGTATTTCAATGGGGAGATAGAACCCATTGAAGCAGTGACACTATTGTTCGATATTTGTACAAATCTTAGCACCAACTGCAATTTCGATGACTATGCTACAGCAGTGGAATCAGTGGCACAAAAATGTCTTCAGGTATTTTGTTAATGCTTTTTTTATTTCTGATAAATTTTATTATTTATTTTTAAAACTATGAATCTCATTGACTAGCATCTCACATGATTTATTTTTATTTTATAGAATAAGGGTGACAACCAAGCATGAAATCCACATAGACATCTACATTTAACCTCGCTTAAAAATCAAAACACAGATGCGTTGTCACCCCCGAGGACTAAGATGGGATGATTTTTTTCCAGTCAAAAAGGGTCTAATTCTAGCAATGTTCTAATAAATATGATGTTTCATCGCAGGTTAGGGGAACCTTATTTCAAAATACCTGTAAATTTGAATGAAATAAATTTTTGTTAGAAATTTTAAAAATCAAATTTCAATGTGTCGATTAACTTTAGTCTAGGATGTCCTTTTCCGACTCTTCCATTCCATTAATTTGCTTTGTCACTCTTTCCTTATTCATTCTTTTTACATGACCAAACCACCGAAGCATTCCTTTCTTAATCCTGGCCACCGCATCATCTTGCAAACCACACTCTTCTTTTATCACACAATTTCTCACCCTGTCACTCAGATTCAGCCCTAACTTACTCCTCAGCGACCGCATTTATTCTACTCTCGTGCTTCTTTTGCCACACACAACTCTCACTACCATATGTTAAAGTAGGGACTAACACAGCATTGTGAATTGCCATACATGCTTTTTTTTGACACATTCGCACATCGCGACAAAACTCGCGATACCATCTATACCATCTGGATAACTGGCACTCCACCACTGTGCGATTTGAAAGAAGTTTTCTTCCTCGCACAACTTCCTTGTGGAGGAATCAACTACCACCAGAGATTTTTCTGGATCGATACGACTTAGGAACAACTTTAAGAAAAGGGCCTATTCCTTTTTAAAAGGCCTTCAACGCATCTACGATCCCCCTGGTGTTGCAGTTGTTCGTGGGCGGTGGTAATCACTTACCATCAGGTGAGCCGCATGCTCGTTTGCCCCTCTCCTATAAAAAAACAATTTTGACTTGTGACTTTTCACAATAGAGTGTAGAGCCCCATTTACTTTATTTAGATGCATACGAGTACATAATTTGCTGCAACAAAATGATGCAATTATGTAACATTGTCTTGCGCAAAATAATTATATGAAAATTCATTAGCCACTTGTAAAGAATATTAGATTAACATTTTGATATTCCTCTTCTTGGCTTTCAACTTTATGTGCTTTATCTTATTCTTTGGTCAGAGATAGATTTTTCAAATTCATTGCTTTAACGGTGGAGATTTTAAAATATAACATTTTCTTTCAGAGCAAATTTATAGAAACAGATGATGTTAGTCTTGACGTAATGAAACATGATACACTTCTGATGATGAAGGGACCTAGTGATCAGAAAAATATGTACTACTGCATGGCAGCACTCTCTCACATTATTGAAATATTCAGTCAAACCAAATTACTGCTGAAAGCTTCAAAAACGAAAGAAACCAAGACCAAACTAAGTAAAGGGACATTTTCTAAAAAATTTCCAGACCATAACAGAGATTACTTGCCCAAATTAGACATTGGTAATCTGAAGAAAAGCATCAAGAAGATGGAGTTTTATTTGTCCTTTATTGAAAGCTGTGATATTAACTTATAAATTATTGCTAATAAGAATGTATAAAATAAATAAAAATCATTTTTACCTTTAACCTCATAATTTATTCCAACAAGAAGTGTAATAATAGGAATGTCCAAATACTTATATTAAATTTAATAATCATAACATACAATAAAAAAACACCATATAACAAAGCTGTATTGCTAGTAACCAACAAATTATATTATAAAAACAGAAACTGAAAATGTAGCATTTAACACATAGAATAACATTATGGCATTTAAAATTGTTCCTAAGCAAAAATTATAACTTTTATGCAAAAGTATTACACAGAATTGCGATCGATGTGTGGTTACTCGATTTGTGAATGATTCTAATGAATCCTATTCTAACGAATGATATAACGAAATTATTTTGATTTTCATGTTGGAATTAAAATATTTTGGAATAATGATAAAAAATTATTCGTTCATCATAATCAACATAGCTTGAAATTAATATTAATATCACTGTAAATTATTATAGCACAAAATAATAATTGGTTTACATAAAAAAATCTAAAGCAACTTCAATTCTTATTGGATTTGTTTGAAATTGATATAGGACCATTGGCAACTTATATATTTAATATCATAATATATTTAATATTATCTGTTAAGTATTTGCAGAGACATCTTACTAGATAACTTAAAATAAATATAGTTGAAAGGATACATACCCTCTTTCTATTTGAATTTAGTTAAGACTACGTCTCTCTAGTAAAAATATACGCTAATTTCAAGTAATTAATAGTACAGTATAGGTACATTCCTTGGCTTATATTATTATTGTATAATATCTATAATTTAATAAACTTACAACAGACACCGAGTAACAATTTCACTGCATCAAACTACTTAATAAAATCTATTTACTACAGTAACATCCCTACCTTTTTATAATAAATAATACATTACATACATACATACACGAAATAGATTTCAATAATTAAACACATATTGTACTGTACACATATGTTATTCGAAGCAATGTAAAGAATAAACAATATCTATTGGTTTTTAAAGAGGAGTAGAAAGTATTGAAACTAAAAAAAAATATTAATTTGCCAAATTTTTTTTTAAATATCAAGGGTGGTTCATTAATATTTAAATCACATTATCAGGTAATACTACTTCGACATTATGCCTCCACTGCCTGAACTACTGTTAAAGAATATTACAATATATACAAAAAATATAACAATCAAAAGTCCAGTAAGCTAAATTCACCATCGGCTTTTCACTAGTGCTTAGGAGTGCAAGGATCAATATAACTTTATAAACACATCACCTGTATCTAGCTACGTGTTGTAGAGCTGCTGTAGTATTCGAAAAATATATAAATACGCGCGCATTCGAAAGCACCATTGAGACGAAATTTCAAAGCAATCGTTGAAAAACTACGAGATTTATAATTTTGAACAAAGAAACATTTACATTTTTGTTTATATGTATATACACAGTGTTATTTAGCAATAACCGGGCAAATTTGCTGAGAAGGTAATATAGCCAAATCAAAGTGGTTATCTTTTAAATTCTAATTGCGTGGTAATGCATTATTTTAATTGCTTTTACTGCACTTTTATCATGCGTAAGGGTCGATCGGTAGGCAAAAACCTTGTTGCCCATAAATCACATTCAATTTGAGATAATTTCAAATAAAAGTAGAGGTCGTATTTTCAAAAACTGCAATAACAGTATATTATTTATATATTTGATCTTAAATTTAAAATTTAGCTACCCTATAAAAAATAACCCTGTATACATAATATAAATAAAATATACTGTATGACTTTTTTACCGTCTGGAAAAATAGGTTGCAACACGTGAACGGTGTAGAAGCCTATGGCACGGATATTTTACAAAAACATTTGAGTAAACATTTGAATTTTTTTAACAATTACTTGCCCTTTGAGCCTATGACCCTGCGAAGTGACAAGGTAAAAGATGTCTTCTAAATGTATTGTTTTATTGCCGTTCGTAAAGTATTGTGGATATGATTAGAATTTCGTTAGATTTTAATTAATTTATTTCATTCAAAATTTTTGTTTTCCATATTTTGTAAAATATCAGTGCCATAGGCTTCTACTCCGTTCACATGTTACACCCTATTTTTTTCCAGACGGTAAAAAAGGTCTCAATGAATCATAGTTCATAATAGCATAGATAATGGGAAAAAGATAACATAATTTCACTTCTATAAAATGGAATATTTTACTAATGAATTATGTCTAAATGATTCAAAAAGAAGAAGTCACTCAATGCCATCAATGTACGTACTATAAATATTTTAATATAGTTTTTAAAATAACTTAGCAAATTTGATTCTTAATAGGCAGTTTAGTCCTACAAGAATTGACATAAGGTACCTAATAAGTATCAAATGATGTAACGTTTCTTGTATTGCTATGGACAGAGTCTAAAAACGGTATACAGAGACAATTTGAATTTAAACGCCTCAATGTCAAAATTTGAGTCTAGTACACAAATTCTGATATTGTAGAGTTTGTAATACTGACCTATGTCTATGTTAAGCGACCATTCTATAAATACGTACATATATATTATATAAATACGTATTTACGTCATGTAAAGGGGCTTAGGCTTCAGGAGCTAAGCGATCGCTGTAATTTCACAGTACGCGAGTAACCCAGTTTCGATCTCTAACGAAATAGTTCCGATTTAAAACGTGCTCGGCGGTGAAGGAAAACATCGTGAAGCAACATGCTTATCTTAAAAATAAAATATTTTGAGGTCATAAATGAAGTCCAATATGCACTGGAGCAGGCGGTCTAATGATACACATCCTCTCAGATATAATAAGAGAAAAATGTCCAGCAATATGACGTAAACAGGTTAACTTTCTATCATGAAGGTTAGAGAACAGGAGAACGATCACTACGTACTAAAGCAAAGCCCGCCTGTCCTTGAAAATTGTAGAATACATAGCGGCGCTGACGTCGGTGAGTAGCGACTGCGAAGTTAGCTGTTTATGAGTACAAGTAGGCGAAGTTAGTTGAATATTGTACAAATTTTCTCCGCGGCATTGGTGAGAAAATTTTCATGCTCCGTTTGTAATTTTTGACAAAAAGAAACATTAAAAAATGGAGAAATATTTTATTGTGCGTGGATGTGCAAGTGGTTTAGCATCTGATCGGAAAAATAGACGGAAAATCACTTTTATTGACCGAACACAGCGATCGCAGCGCCTCACTTATGGTGTCCATATTTCTGGGACACTATTTTCTACGGAAATCGTTCTCCTGTTCTCTAACCTTCATGCTTTCTATCCTAATTTTTAGTCTGATTGTGATCTGTCGTAACATTCTTAATCGAGAATAAATGTAGATGTCTATGGGCTACAGCATCCACTTACCATCAGTTGGACTGTGTGCCCGTTTATCTTCCTTATACTATAAAAAAGACATGTTTGTAGCTACAAACATTGACAAAGCTTTATAATATGGTAAATTAGTTAAATCTCAATGAAATCTATTACATTATTTTTAGATATCAACTCTATATTATAAATTTTTGGAACATCAATAAGGCTTAGGTCGATGCTTTTTGGTGCAGGTAATTATTTATTGTATTACCCAAGTGATAATGATAGTAATGCATTATGATAGCACTACCTAAAATAGCATTATATATTTAAACTTTTCTTCGCTGTATAGGTATTTTTCGTTTGACTCTTAAATCACTGTTAGTCAAAAACTACAATTTTACCAAAACATATTTTTTAAATAACATTTATTGATATATCTTTTTAAGTAATAGGAACATTATGTTCGTAATTGCTTCAATATAATCATCGGATAATTGAATAACTTGTAATATTTAAATTATAAATTAAAAGCCTCATGTTTTTGATCTAAAGTAAAATTGGGAAAAATGCCATCAATAAAGAACTTTTATCATACTTTCCTAATATATCTAAACTAGCAACATTGCTTGTGATACTGACACGGAAGTGATTACATATTGTCTTTTTATTTTTGGAATTATTACTTTATGACAGTTGTTTCGACATGTCTAATAAAATACCCATTATTATTGTCCCCATAAGAATATCCATCTATATACCCCACCCCCATTAATAATAATTAATTTTAAATAAATAATACTCTATTTTACACTCTTCCTCAAAGCATAATTAAAAGGTTTATATTAAATAACAAATATGGTACTGCCAGAATGGTGTATGAAAATTGAATATTTTCATTACTAATAAATTCAAATTGGATTGAAATTTCATGAAGCATTTAATAAATCAAACAGTACACCTGTTTGAATTTATAGATTTGAAAATAAAGATTGTCAGATGAGTTTCTCTATTTTATACTTTATCTTAAGTTAGGTAGATTAGGTACATTTTAATACGGTATTTGGTTTTGATAGTATTGTATCATATCATAAGTCCTAGTTCTAAAGTTTAGGAAAGAGTTCCGTATGACTGAGAGCATGTACGCTGCTGCTTCCTTCTCCGTCGAGTTAGGCGCGAAACGAGAGCGAAGGAGACGAATTGTCTGACCTCGGAAGCATGGCAAGCCGGTGTCCAACATAAGCGACACCATGGAGATAATTGCTTCTTGGTACGGTCTGGAAAAAAAAAACATAACAATGTATTGCTGAAAATATAAAACATCAAACACTATCGGACTTGCTTATGATCTTTAAAAAAATTATCTCTATACCTCTCTCTTTCTGCAATAATTTTGTGAAAAGAGCCTCACACACACAAAGGGGGGGCATCTTTAAGCGTTTCTTAAATTGACGTCAATTTTTATGAGTAAAACCTTATGTGATATACAACTTGGATCATTTATTACAAGTTATATTTACTTATTTAAACGTAACACAAAAAATAGTACATATATGGCTTAATGCCTTAAGGCATTTTCTTGTAGTCAATCAGGTTAAGAAAAGATAAATATATAATATACAAAAAAATATAGAAATTGTCCTTTGAGATAGGCTAGACAGATTTTTTTTAATAGAATAGGGTGAAAAATGAGCACAGTCTACCTTATGGAAAAAATTGGTTAAAGTGCCCTGCCCATAGACATCTATACATTTACCCTTGATTATGAATCAGAATGCAGATGCATTGTCACCCGTGAGGACTAAGATGAAATGCCTCGTTTCCATTAAAAAGCTCTCCGGTTCTCTACACTCACCATACTAAACACAGCAGCAACATTAAGCTACTACTTTACGCTGATATTCTGTGAGAGCATGGTCCTTCCTCGGTCGAGCCGACCCATTCGTGCTACAACTTTTATTTCTTTTTTTCTTTTTTTTTTTTAAATATTAGTAATCTTATTAATTAACATTACTAATATTCCTTTTAACCACTCCCGGTAAGCTTGAAAATGCTTGTGTTAGGAGTGGTTCACGACAGTAGTCAAATGGCGGATTCGAACCCACGACCATTTGAGTTCGCGATCCGCGCCCTGCCATTAGGCTACTGTCGCTTCAAACTATACTACTAATATAACTGCAGCATGCCTCTACCAAGTTTAAATATGTAGACAGATACAATACAAACTACATATACATATACTACATATACAATACAATACATACAAACAAAAGACAGATAAAATCTGTCTACATATGCTGCGGAAGGCAAAATACACTAATTACATCTATATGCTATGATCTCCAGTGTTCAATTCAAACTATTGCTGAACTTTTTTTAGCAGTAATAAATTCTGCAACTTACTTTTGAAGGGTTCGTTCAACCATTGAAAAGTAGTTTAATGAGTGGTAGGATCCTTTTCTGGCTAGAAGTCATTCCAGGTAGGCACCACCACCTTGCTATATATTTCTACTGTCAAATAGCATTGCTTGCATGAAGGTTAGAGAACAGGAGAACGATCGCCGTAGAAAATAGTGTCTCGGAAATATGGACACCATAAGTGAGGCGCTGCGATCACTAATTCGGTCAATAAAAGTAATTTTCAGTCTATTTTTCCGATCAGATGCTAAACCACTTGCACACATAATAAAATTTTGCTACATTTTTTAATGTTTCTTTTTGTCAAAAATTACAAAATTACGGAGCATGAAAATTTTCTCATTAAAAATGAAATGAAAATTTGCACATAATTCAACTAACTTTATTTACTTGTACTCATAAACAGCTAACTTCGCAGTCGCTACTCACCGACGTTAGCGCCGCTATGTATTCTACAATTTTCAAGGACAGGCGGGCTATGCTTTAGTACGTAGCCATCGTTCTCCTGTTCTCTAACCTTCATGGTTGCGTGCGCTACCGTGTTTCGGTCCTTAGGGTATAGAGAGTCAGAATAATTACAGACTGTGAGGCATTCAAACTTGGTGCTCAGAGGTACGTATCTGTAGACTCCTTTTATACCGACTTCAAAAGGAGGAAGTATTTAATTTCACTGTATGTGTAACAGAACAAGGGGAAACCTTTTTTTACTGTGTTCACCCCTCAAAATAATTAGAAAAAAAAGAAAATAAAAAAATTTTTTATTTTGTGTTACGTCTTAACTTTTCTCTGGGTGTACCGATTTTGATGATTCTTCTTTTATCTGAAAGCTAGTGCTTCTCGTGTGGTCCCATATATATTAATCAAGATCTGACCAGTAGTTTTTGAGTTATCTTTAATAATGCGTGTTGAATTGACTTCGAATACATTGATTCGGTCGTGTTGAAGTCGGTTGTAGAAAATTTTTAAATTCACCACTTGTTTGTTTGAAGTTTTTCTATTCAGTAAATGTCCATGGCTGCAGTAGCCACTTACTGTCAAGTAGACTGTAAGCTCGTTAGTCACTTCCATATAAAATGTTTTTTATTTAAAAAAAATGTTGCAGGTTTTGTACACGCGGCACCGCTGCTATATGCTTGCTAACTGTACTACGAAGACATCATATGGCATTTTGATATTTGTTGTTTTTAATAAAAAATATTTATTTTATCGTTATTGCCACACTTACTTACTTAGTTGTAGCAGACACGCCTTCGATTCGTTTTTTTCATTGTTTTACCGGTCTTTACATTTTCCAACATAACATGTATGAGATGCCTAACAAAACAAAAGTAAAATCTCACCTAACAGCTAAAAAGGCTTGTACACATAACTCGCAGAACCAGCGGAAAGGCGGCGCCTCCATTTTACCACCCATCACCATCACCATCTCGTCAGTCAACTTGATGTCTGGTTCAAAACCTAAGTTACCACCAGGCGAGGACTCGAACATAAAACCAAAATCTGAAAACAATAAATAACTTTAATTTGCATAATCTCTTAATCCTATAACCGTTGGGTTTCATAGTTGATTACTGAATTAATATGTCACAGCTAAGTAACTTCTTTAGTTTAATCAAAGTGTAGGGATTAGTTTAAACTATAGCAACAATTACTATTAATCATGCTGGTCTTGCAAGGCCTACATAGCTGCTCTTAAAAGTAAGAAAATACTGATCCATTGTGGCATTTATTTTAGTTCTACTGCTGAAATATTTGTGACAAATTCTATTGTACAGGTAAACTTGAGCACAGCCCTCTCTATACCTCGTTGAGTGACTGAATTTCCTCATATATTAAAGATATTAAAATTTAATTCGCAACCATCCGCTTAATTAAATACAATGATGTGTCTTACCTGGATTGAAAAGATCTTCAATTCTCTTCTCTTCAATCCAGATAAGACACATCATTGTATTTAATCAAGCGGATGGTTGCGAATTAAATTTTAATATATTTATAATAATGAATTTCCGCAAAGTAACGCCTGATTCTATCAATTTCCTCATATAGCCAGCAACGAAGATCGTGTCTATGGAACTGAGACTGACTAAGGGCGATATTCAGAGACAATGTCGAGTTTAAATTCAAACCCTAAAATTTGTAGAGTATAAGATGGACTAGACTTAAATATTAGCATTGTGGAGTTTGAATTCAAACCAGAGATTTTCCATGAAAACCGACCCATCACCCTTCTCTAAACGATTATCTTACTAAAATGTTTTGACTATCGTTCTAAATTAAAAGCATCTCACCGATATGTATAATGTGTCCGTCCGTATCAAGCATAATATTCCCGTTGTGCCTGTCCTTTATCTGCAGAAGGAACCCAACGACGCTGTACGCCGCCATTGAGGTCACGAAACATCTTCGCGCAGCCTAAAAGAATGGAAACAAATATGACGGAGTTGACGTCTTATGATCTAAGGGAATTTAATATATATATATATATATATATATATAACAATATAAAAGACAAATTATGTCGTTCATGCTGCCAATGTCTCTTATTATACATACATGTGTATGTTTGCTATTACTCTAAGGCCAATGTCAAACACTTGATAGTCTATGGGCAAACAGTCGCACAGAGTATAGAGCAATAGTGTGTATTGAGATTATGGCAAAAGGCTTTTATTTTGTGTTAAATAACTGTGTTTTATACATAACCTAGCGATCCGCCCCGGTTTTCAAACAGGTGATTTCTGTATTTCGACAACAGTACGACGTACCGAGTCCAAATGTGAATCTCTAAATCAATCAGGGACCCAATCAAAAGCACATAAAAATTTCATCAAAATCATTCGAGCCGGTTTCGAGTTTTAGCGAGACTAAAGTACAGTAATTGATTTCTATATATAGAGACGTGCAGTTGAAAGTGAAACACGGCTTGCTTAATGTACAGACCAAAAACTACTAGTATCTATAAATACGCAAATTGAGTGAATCAGATAGTTAAATGTCATTTTCTGTTTTAAAACTACTCACCTGAAATTCCCTAGTCGTCTCATCGCCATACTTCTTGATGAAATACTCGTACATTCCGATGTCAGTCTGTCTGCCCAATTGGTCGCGTGACTTTGCATTCGGAACGCATTCTATAACTCCACACTGCGAATGTGACAATGAACATTAGTTATGGGACAAGTTTAATCATTACAATAATTATAATTAATATAATAGTAACTAGTTTTAGACGTGGTAGAGCCACGCTGCAGGTTATAGCACGATTCGGCTCGACCGCGGTAGGACCACGCTCTCACAGAATACCAGTGTAAAATAGCAGTACGATGCTGCTGTGTTTCGTATGGTGAGTGTAGAGAACCGGAGACCATTTTTACTAGAATAGAGGCATTCCACCTTAGTTCTCAGGGGTGATAACGCATCTGGATTTTGATTTTAATCGACGACAGATGTAGATGTCTATGGGTCACAACATCCATTTACCATCAGATGGATTATGTGCCCGTTTGTCACCCTTATGCTATAAAAAAAGTTACTTAGCAGTTTATTTGTAATGGTGTGAAACACGCTAAAGCGGCTGAAACAATTGGTTAATGTAAAATTTGTTATAATTAATTTAAATTTCGTTCTCTGCGAAGATTTATACTCTGTAATCAATCAATGGTTTGTGAAAAAACTAAGTTTATATTTTTAGTGTAATGTGGCAAATATCTCCCCTAAGTGTAATCTACGGAGAGGCCTATGTTCAGCAGAGGACTATTGATAAGCTATAATGGTAACGGCCATAGAGTACTATAATACATACATAATAGAACGGGGAGTGGGCGGAGCTCGTGTAGCCACTAAAATGTCACTTACATGTCAATTGTCAATGCACATCTATAAATGTCAACACAATCAATCTTTCCAATTTTCGTGTCAAGCGTCAATTATTTGAAAAATGGCAAATTGTGCAATAATTATGTGCCGAAAGAACAGCGGGAAATGGAATTTAAATAAAGGAGACATATTCTACAACCAGTAAGTCGAAACTATTTATATTTTTTGAATATTAGAAACAAAAATAAAGAAATATTTATGTGTCAAAAACATTAATGAAAAGTCTAAAATGTGTTTGTAGTAGTGGTAACTGATAATACGACGTAATTGCTTGTATGTGTGCTCCCGGCGACGCCGATCCTCGTACAAAATAAGGTTGACAGCCATTCTATTGTGTATTATAGTATTCTATGGTAACAGCATTAAATATGGTTCAACTACTGTTTTGCTATCAGTAGTGATTGCTAACAAATACAAAATTTATGAAATTTCAATATTTCTGCTCACCCCAGGCGCAGTGGCGACGACTTTGTACGGGAACAGGTAGAGGTCGAGGCCGACCTGCTGGAAGATATTCTTGAACAGCGATATAACCTGCAGCGCAAGCATATCCTGCCGCACGTCGTCGCCCACTTTAAAGATGGCCGCCTGCCACGTCTCCGCCGCCATCGACATGTATCGGTCCTTACCTTCTTCCTATAAATGTAATAATGTCAGATTTAAACATAACATCGCGTTGAAGATAGGACGTACAAAAATCCAATACGTAAATTGTATCTAGTGGTACGGAACGAAACTCGTAAAAAAATTTTATGTATAGTATTTAACTGTTGTCTATGTTTGTGACTTGGTTATAATATGTATATAAGTGTATCCCGTTTTATTGTTCAATTACGAAGGAATTAATTTATTGTAGCTACATCTATCTACTTTGTTCACGGAGATCTACAGTTGTACCTGTTGACCTAAGATACTGGTTTTACATAGTTTAGGCACCAGTTTTTCACCTATCTATAGTAGTGTTGAGATCAGATTTAAGCACATATTCCTCGTTGCTCTTTTTAATGTATATTGTTGGTGGAAATAAATAAAATAAATAAGCTGTATTCGGGTATTGTAGTAATATGTACTACGTATGTATTGTAGTACATAACATCACTTTATTGTTCTCGGGTGGCAATATTTAGTGAGTTAGCTCACTGTTGATTAAGCGAAATTCATCGGAAAGTTTCATCCTTGGTAAGTATGCGCAATAGGGGCACGAATGGAACAAATGCTTGCAAGTAACACACTAATTTTTTTCTTAGATATGACGACTATATACGTAGCCGTACACAGGTACCCCACAAATCCCTATGAATACGCCTCGTTTAGAGGCGAATCACGTGTCATTATATCGACGCTCGTGTCGTATTTCCTTGTGTAGAGATTAATATGGTGTCGGACATGAGCGCACGCGATCTTAGTTCATTAATTTTAAAATTTTAATTAACTTCATATTAAACAATTAGGTAAACTTACAGTTGGTGGATCTTCTCCAGAAGCTATAGCCATGGCTACGGCTTCCATCTCAGCTATGCCGTATTTTCGTACCCTGAATCTGGCCAAGTAGGGGGCTTTGGCCGCACTCTGCATAGGCGTACCTAATACCAAGAATTTCATATCTTATTATAATAATCTACAGATTTTATAATGAAAAGCCTAATAAATTGAAATATGACAGAATAATATATAGCATGTATTCAATCAATCTGAAAACAGAAAAAGAGGTATATTCCGTATAATCAACATATTTGGCAGGAGGAATGGCATTAACACTAACACTTGGACGCTGATTCGGATTGCCAGTTATATTTATTTATTTATAACAGGAAAACTTACAGCTTTTAATTAATACTACATGGTATATAATGTAATTCACAAAGTAAGCCTATTAAAAGTTTTCACAGATGAGTAATCGGTTTGGGTAAATACATGCAACATATATAAGTAGATATAATTTATACATTGATGTTGATTAGATTTAAGAGTTCAAGAGTAAATTGCTACTGAATTCAGATGGTATCAATTTGCAGATAGTAGTACCACTAGTAGAAAAGAGGTCAGCCTTATCACAGTCCTTAGAAAATTTATTAAATGAGTTACATGCTCTTAAGAAAATATTTCCCTTTTTATCTACATAAACTGGATTGTAATAGCGCAGTGAACGAGAGGGAACTGAGATATGTAATCTTTTTAATAAGTCAGGGCAGTCTAAACGATCTTGAGCAATTTTACTTCGTAAGACCAGGTCAGCTGTGTAGCGCCTAGTTTGCAGCGGGAGGAGATGAAGATGAGAACACTGCAATTCGTAGCCTCTTTTGGATATATGAAATTTAGAACCTACATATCGAATGATTTTTTTTGAATCGCTTCGATTTTGTTAATATATATTTTATATTGAGGATTCCATACTTGACACGCATATTCGAGATGGCTACGAACAAGAGAACAAAACAATATTTTCATTGATTTTAACTGACGGAATTTGAAACAAGACCTTAAAATAAAACCCAGAGCCTTATATGCTTTATTAACGATATCTTCCACATGCTGATCAAACAAAAGCTTAGTATCAATAGTAACTCCAAGGTCCCTTATTTTATCACATCTAGTAACTGTCAAACCTTTAAGTGTGTAAGAAAAATAAAGCATATCATGCTTCCGCCCGAAAGACATAGTATTAAACTTCGAAACATTAAAGTCTAATTTGTTACGGATACAATAATTATCTAAGTTAAAAAGATCGTTTTGTAGGAGATAAGAATCATAAGAGTTGTTGACTACTCTAAAAACTTTCATGTCACAAAAATTCTGGAATGAATTCAGCATTATCATTGATAAATTTGACAAAGAGCAGAGTATTACACTTCGAAACATTCAAGTCTAATTTGTTACGGATACAATAATTATTTAAGTTAAAAAGATCGTTTTGTAGGTAGGAGATAAGAATCATAAGAGTTGTTGACTACTCTAAAAACTTTCATGTCATTCAATGAATTCAGCATTATCATTGATAAATATGACAAAGACATAGTATTACACTTCGAAACATTCAAGTCTAATTTGTTACGGATACAATAATTATTTAAGTTAAAAAGATCGTTTTGTAGGTAGGAGATAAGAATCATAAGAGTTGTTGACTACTCTAAAAACTTTCATGTCATTCAATGAATTCAGCATTATCATTGATAAATATGACAAAGACATAGTATTACACTTCGAAACATTCAAGTCTAATTTGTTACGGATACAATAATTATTTAAGTTAAAAAGATCGTTTTGTAGGAGATAAGAATCATAAGAGTTGTTGACTACTCTAAAAACTTTCATGTCATTCAATGAATTCAGCATTATCATTGATAAATATGACAAAGAGCAGAGGGCCAAGTAGTGAACGCCAGAAGGGACACCCGTCCAGCAAGATGTAAATCCGTTTAAAATTACCGCTTGTGATCTGTTAGAAATATAAGATGTAAATCATCTAAACAGATCGCCCCTGATACCAGCAGCAGATAATAATTTTTGCAGAAGTATAGAATGGTCTATGCGATCGAATGCTTTGCTGTAGTCCGTGAAAATGGAATCAATTTGGTTTCCTTTATCCATGTTATAAGTAATAAAGTCCGTGAATAGCTAAAGATTAGACGCAGTTGATCTTTTCTGAAGAAAATCGTGCTATTGAGGTATAAAGGTATGTTTAATTGCAGGATACAACTGGTTATAGTTGTATACTTCAAGAAACCCATTTCTAGGTCAATATACCATTGCATCTACATTTTTTTACTTTTTATTCTCAGGCATATTGGATCTACTTTTACGTGTGATGGATTATTTCAGATCATCAAAAAATGGCACATTATATTGTCCTCAAGTTTTGATAGTATTTGACTGAAAAATGATGCTCCTTTACACATCATAGATCATGGATAGTGGTCAAAACCTAGGCTATAAACATATGAACTGAGTACGTTGTTCTTGTACATAAAATTTTACATAAAACATCTCTGAAATGTTGCACTATAACAATCGGATAAAAAAATTGATAAACTCATTAAGGATTTTGTTACTTGGCGACTGATATAATGTTAAAAAAAACGAATTAAAAAAACATAGAATAGTTGCATTGATGTTTTAATTTGTAAAAGGCACCCAGTTTCTTGCCGGTTAAGAAGGTCTTGTTTTCACGAACCGATAAAGATTTTAACGTTCATAACTACTTTAAAATTGCTTAAATTGAAAAAAAGTTTGGAATTTGTCTTTCGAGCACACTGCACGGTGCAGTTTTGTACTGTATTTACTAATATCCAATTCAGCAGGTGCTAAAAAATTCTCCGAATTATGAAGAATTCAGGGAATTATCATAGGCTGACAAGGGACTAATAGATGATTTATTAAAAAGTTAAAGATCAAATCGAGTTAAGCTCATATTTACATACCGCTTTTGTAATCGATGTCTATAACCATTGAATCTGGATTCGATGGCAGATAACATCCCGGTTGCACCTGAAACAAATGAAATATAAAATTTTATATATTTTTAATATTTTTTTTACAAATAAAATTAAAATGTTAAAGTGAGAGTCGATTCAGCTGTCGAATTATATACACGTAACATTAATAGGCATTTTAAGTCACTAAACATATACTTTTTCTAAAATAGCATTCGCTATATGTAACAAAGCAGCATTGTTGCTTGCGTACGGACTCGAGAACTCTTTTTAAACATAAGTCAGATTTTCGAGCTATGTCAAGTCCATTGCGGCATCAACTAACTGATCCGCTGAACCATATCAGTTACTTTTGTTCCTCTGCAGATATTCTTGGATTTTATAACGTAGAGAAATTCTGAGGACAGCGCTTTCCATAGAGCGTCAAGTGACTTGATATAATATAAGCGTTACTTGTATATAAGGTGATATTAATAGTCAATACTAACAATATTACACAACAAAATATCCAGTGTATATTAAAATCCTGATTTTAAACCAAAAGTCAATACCATAAACACATTGAATAAAATTACTTTTACGGATTTTATCACAAACTGCAAACTTCCCGGAGCGTTGCGATGTGATCATATCCTAGACAGCCGTCGCCATTACATCAGATTTGATAGACAGATAGATACAAATCCTCGCGAAAAAACATCGATTCCTACCAAGGATGATACGTGAGGCTATTGAAATTCAAAAACTATCCCAATATCAATAGAGAAGGAGGTGTAATTAATAAAATTAAACTAAACCCAAGCATACCACTCCAAGGCTTCAAGACAGCTAAGTTCATTCTGCGTAGATCGGACCAAAAGTAAAAATTAAAAAGCTGAAGATACTCCGGGTTAACTCTGACATCGGATAAAATCCGTAAAAGTAGTTTTATTCAAAGTGTAGTGTTCGCGTAAATATAAGAAATCATTACCATAAACAAAATGCTAAAAAGACAAAATATTGGCTTACTTTAACATTTTTAAGCGCATCCAAACAAGCTCGCTTGCGTTCGGGTCCCTTCGGGTACGGTCGGATAATTCCGCTGATGTTTGTTATTTGACTGAAGAAATCAAACTCCCTCTCATAGAAAGCTTTTGCTGGACCAGAGAGCGAGTCTACAATACTCTTCGTTAAGCTTTCGAGTATATCGTATAATACAGCTGAAAATAATGACAAATGTATACTACATCCCAAAAGCGATGATATAGGTGATAGCTGTCACATTCTAAATAATTTTTTTTATTAATTATTTAATCCGCCTCGGTTTCGCACAGTTGATTTCTGGATTTCGACAACAGCGCCATCTACCGGGTCCAAATGTAAATATAAACCATATGGGGACCCATTCAAATCACACATAAAAATTTTAATCAAAATTTTTAGCTTATCTTTTATATAGAGATTTAATTTATCATAATCAATTACAGCCTATCAAAGTCAGGAACATAGGCCTCCCAACTCCAACATATCCATTACCTCTTATCTTCCGCGGGTTTCGTAACAGGCAACAAAGGGATTTAGTGGTTTCTTCCACGTGAAAGGCCATCTTGATAACAACTACAAATAGAAAATGAAGTCCCCATTATGAAGCAATTTATGGGAAACTAATGTCCAGCAGTGGACTTTGATAGGCTTTAATGATAATAATGATGATGATGAATTCAATGTAATGAACCTTCTATTAACTAAAATAAATATTACAAGATGATTATTACTGATTGATTGACATTCATTATATTATATTATAACAATTGAATAAAACTTACGATCCTTATGATGCATTTCCTCATCCGTGTACATGTTGGTGTGCATGTTCCATATCAGCTGGTGAGCGACCACCTGTGACTTCTTCGCTAAGGATTTTATCAACTCTGATACATAACCCATCTGTTGAACACATTGTCAAATCATGTACATAAATCAATCAATATTGCAAACTGTAATAATTATAGCCGAAGATGTTAATGCGAGTGCCTAGATTTATAAATATTTTACGCTCCAGGAGTAAGGAGGAGGGACGGGTATCGTACAAGTCTACTATTTGAGGGAAATGCTAGAACGATCTCACGGTTTGCAATGTATAAGTATGAAAAACTTCTTGTATAATACTCCAGATGTAATCAGGCCGGTGATGTGTGTTAATTTCCATCTGAGATATTATTTAATATATCGTCACTGCGCTTGCAAAACTCATACATACAAAAATACATAAACACTCACGCCTGTCACCCAGATCCATCCATCCAGCCATCACAGAGGGGTAGGCAGAGACTACTCACGTCTATTTAGTACGATTGTGACACACCTTTCTCGCCTTCTCCAAATTCATAAACCTACGCATGCTCGTCGGTTAGGGAAACTCCTAATTTGGCCCATTTTCAATATATCGACAATTTGGTCGATAAACTTTCACCTAAGATCCTTTCCGGTACTCTTCCATTCACTTGCAAAACTCATTAAACAAAAATCGAAGTTTTGAGGAACAAAAAAAACTAGTTTTCAGTTTTAAAGAGATATTAATAAAAACTATGTATATAATAATAAATAAATAAAAATACATTTTTTATTTCTTTTTAAACTTTTTCATAAATTAATGGTGAAACAACCCCAGAGAGTAATTTTCTACACTCATGTTGGGGTGTTTCACTCTTACCCCGGTGCTTAACATTTAACATAATACTCGTAACATTTTTGCTATTTTGTAACCTGGTGAAATAATACAACTACAGATTTTACGTACACGGAAGGCCCCATATATAGAACCTATTTAATAATGTACTTAACCGATTTTCACCAAAAATTTTGGTCAGGTTTTGCAGGCGCAGCGACGATATCAAGAGTCACGATAATTCAGGGGCTAAGCACACGCACTGAATTTCATAGAACACGGGCAACTTGTGACCATTCACTGTCGGCACCAATGAAATTGTTAATTTTAATTTGCAGTGCAGATTTGCCATGTGTTCCTCAAAGAAGAAACGTGTTAGAGCCACGCTGAGCTATATTATGCTTGTAGCACGAATGGGTCGGCTCGACCGGAGAAGAACCACGATCTCACAGAATACCAGAGTAAAATAACAGTTTAATGCTGCTGTGTTTCGTATGGTGAGTGTTGGAATCCGGAGACCCTTTTTTACTGGAAACGTGGCATTCCATCTTAATCCTCAGGGGTGACAGCGCACCTGCGCTTTTAATTTTTAATCGAAGATAAATGTGGATGTCTATGGGCCACAGCATCCACTTACCATCAGGTGGACTGTGTGCTCATTTGACACCCTTATTCTATAAAAAATATAATATTATATATATATATATATATATATATATATATATATACAACACGTAACATAATTAACGCACTTTGAGAAAGTAGTTTGTTCAGAATCGTTTACTGAATCGATTCCTATGATTTTTAATATAGGTAATTTTTTATCCCAAAAATAATTAAAACTACGTAAATTACAGTCACACTAAATCTGTACAGTCAAAACAAACTGAAATGGACCGTAACTTAAGGCAATAAGACTTTTAAGAGTGCAGTTTTATTTGTATTATTACTAATTCTGTCATTCAATAAAAATAAAGAAAAATGAACTTTATTTCAAGCACGATAAAGTCTTTGCGTTCGTGGATTTGTACTGTGACCACAATATTCTTCCGGAATTAGTATAACTAATTTGATAAATAATCAGTGCATAAAAATGTTTAACTAAAAATTCAGTGTATGTATTATGATTATAACATAATATACTAATTGGGGTGTCTGAGGGTGTGCGTTAATTACGTTACATATTGTATAAAGTGCGTTAGGGTAATACCGGACGATTTTCGACTAGTTAAAAGAGTCGGGCAAAAACTTTATTTTCTCAACATCCATATACGCCAGATTTCTGAAACATGGCGCAAATCGTTAATGGTTACACGTAATTTAGCTATAAGAAGCTTTTACTCAACAGTTTCTGCTTAAAACGTGTGCGAAGACAAGGCATAATTTTTTATATGCATGATGAAGAATTGGCCATCAAGGGGAAAACCGGACGTCGCTAAAAATCGCAAATAAAAGTGATAGGGAAAGACCGGACGGACGAAAAAAAATACAAAAATTACCTTGTTTTATAAAATACTGCGCAGCACACGCCCTACTTTTCGGAGCGACTGGCTGAAACTTGGGGTCGGGGCAGAATAAAATGGAGTCTTGTACCATACTGCTAGCTTTCAAAAATATAGCATAATTCACCGGAAATTTGAATTTTACGGTCTTACCCCATCACCGATCTTACCCCAACGCACTATATATAAAATTATTTTAGATTTTAGAGCTACTAAGCAGTTTAGCAGCACACTTAAACCGTCGACAACTGCTAAGTTCATTTCATCCCAGTAGCTACTCCAGCGATGATGTGGAGAGTTTTTGAGCTGTAATTTACTGCTAACAGATGGCCACTTTTTCAACTATTCTACTATGGGAGTTGGTACTCCTTGCTTCTACACTCCATAGTTCCAGTCGTTTAGAAGGAGTTCTGTCACATACACACGGACAGAAAAATTTTATATATAACGATTACGTACTGCTTTGCCGTCCTTATTTTCAAATATTATACAAAACTCATAGCGCCATGTTAGCCTAAAACACTAACTGTACAGGGAGTGCCTTTTCTTGAAATTATCTGTAAATGGATGGCTACGTTGCGCAGTGGCGCAACTTGCGTTGGGACGCTGAGAGCCACGGGTTCGAATCCTGCACGGAACCAGAATTTGTATGGCTTACAAATAATTGTTCCGGATTTGGGTGATCGTGCTTGTGCAGTATATCTTTGTAAATTGCCTCCAGGATACAGGAGAAAATCCTAATGTGGATTACGTTACGTTGTAGTTACGTTATTTAAAGAAAAATAAAGAAGAAACAAATTCTAAATTGAAAATAAATATTAAGTATTTCTTATTATATACGCTAGCTGTATCCACTTACCGTATCGTGACGCAAAGCCTGAACCAGCTGTGGAATGTAAAGCAGCACGGCGGATGAAGGGTAGGAAGTCAAAGTGGTGACAGCCGCCTGGGCGGACAGCGGGTGAGGCGGGTACTGCCGGCTGAAGTACGATAACGCCTCCACTGGACTTACGCGTGCCCACGTTAAGATGTGCACTAGCTGGCGAGGGAGAATACGGTTTCTTGATTTCGCAGTTACGTTAAAAAATCAAAAGGAATTTTTATAGACCATTCAGTAGGCAATAAATGATGATATATAAATAGATAGATAAAAGCGTTTATTTGTTTTTTCAATCACACACCTAAATTCAGTGATTAAACTAGATATACAAATCAATGTATTATGGAAAAAAAAACGACGGGTTGCACTCCGGGAGTGCCGGCAGAAGTGAAAACTTGAATATTAACGTTGTGTATTTTTGATATTTTGGAATGATTAAAGAATAATTTTGCACAAATTGCTTTAATTATCACACACGAACATTCGCGCAAGCGCCCTGCGCCGCCTAAACGAAACAGCAGGCGCAGGCATACATTTTCGCCGCGCCGTAGAAAGAGAGGGGGATACTTCCTCTCCTACGCCGCGCCGGCTGTCTCTCTCTCTCCATCCGTCTTACGAATTTTCGATCAGGCTCACGTGTCCTGACGCGAGTTTAACATTTTTTACCCATTACAAAAATGTGTACAACGGCGTTAAAGAAGTTTTCACTTCAAAAATACATAAACTTAAGATCTAAATGTACATGTGTGTTGCAGTTTAACAAATGGGTCATATAGCTCAGCGATTAATATTGCTCAGAGAGCAAACACTGATTTTCAGCTATTACCCTCGAGGTGGCGAGAAGAAAATGAGCGCAATAGTGCAATTAGAAAGAAAGAAAGAAAAAAACAATAATTTTTTTGCACGTTATTATTATATGTAGTAGATGATTGTGAACGATTAATATAAATATTTCTATTCCATTCTAAATTCGTAAAAAGAGGTATTCAGTCTTCTTTTGTTTGCATAGTTAGGGCCTCGTTGGTCTAGAGGCCGTTAACACGACTGCTGATTCCCGGGCCGATAAAAATCAGTTGTTGCATGATTTTGTCAAGAAACTCTCAGTAACAGCCCTGAGTCAGAAAGTTGGCGGTGTTTTACTTGGTAGAGTCATGCTGCAGTTATACCACACACCACCGCGCTCTCACAGAATACCAACGTAAAAGAGTAGCTTAATGCTGCTGTGTTTCGTATGGTGAGTGTAGAGAACCGGAAACCCATTTACAGGAAACGAGGCATTCCATCTTAGTCCTCACGGGTGACAACGTATTTGCATTTGATTCGTAATTGAGGATAGATGTAGATGTCTATGGACCACAGCAACCACTTCCCATCAGGTGGACTGTGTGCTCGTTTGTCACCCTACGCCATAAAAAAAATAACGTAAAGCCGTTGGTCCTGCGGCTGATACTGTCTCAGGTAGTGTCGATTTACCGTCCCATCAGACTATAAGAGTTGTTCTGTGCAAATGGCTAGACTCCACTGAGACTGGCCGCCGAAAGCGCTTAGTTTTAATTTTGTCACTGTTTTTTAGTTTTAATTTTGTCACCCACCCCAATGTTTGCATCAAAGTAAAATAGAAATTACCTCATGCGCGTCGTTGAGCAGCGTCTCAGTAGTGACTAAATACTTGAGCGCCTGCGGGATGTGGCACACTGCAGTCGGCTGCGCCTGTACCTTCTTTCTGATTTCTTTTATTATTGCTTCATTTTTTAACCTGTTAAAACAAAATCAATTTTACATAAAACTATTTTAAATATTAGCACAGATGAGGAGCGTTCTAACCATCCAATTGACTCCATAAAAATTTCATCAAATTCGTCGGTTCAGGAGGAGAAGAATTACGAACACATGCACACCGCAATCTAATATTAAAAACTCGTAACTCGTAGCAACGCGTAATTGGAGGATCACACACCGAATTTTCAGTAAAGTTTCAAGGCTCCAACTGAAAATCAGCGCTGCCTTAGCAGCATCAATTGCTCTCATACTGATGCATGCATATTTTATCTGATTATAAGCCATTAACGCTGGTGTTCCACAAGGCTGCTTGTGTACCAACGCTGTTTCTTCTGCATATCAATGGCGGTGGCGAAGCCTCCATAAAAGCCGGGCTTGCCTTATCAAACTGAATCAATCAATAATATCAACTAATAAAATAAACTCGTAAACTGTTTCAAACTATTTCAAATTTCTCGCGCACTCCACTGTTCGACACATGTCGACCGACCTCGTATTGCCTTAGCGATACTGATGCTGTCATAAAAAATGAGTTTTAATAGAGCGATTAGTTGTCTCCCTCGCTCGCGTGGGCTTTTTACGAGGCTTTCGAGAAGACGATCGCTCTCTTTCTAACCTATGGCAAAATATTCTATAGTGAAATATAACTACGATTGTATATATAGCAATTAGTATAGATATATTTAAAGCCAGGCTTTAGGAATGAATTTATCAAAAGCGGAGGCGCGCGGGCAATACCTGCTGCCTGCCATTAGGCTACTTTCGAAGCGACAGCAGCCTAATGGCAGGGTGCGGACCGCGACCTCAAAAAGGTCGTGGGTTCGAATCCGCCATTCGACTACTGGCGTGAACCACTCGTAACACAAGCAATTTAAGCTTACCACGAGTGGTTAAGAGGAATATTAGCAATGTTAATAGCATTGTTAATATTCTTTATAAAAAAAAATACGTTTGCAAGTTCATTTCACATTTCAATGTTTATTTACTCAGTGTGTTTAGGTTAAGCGATTTAATATTGCGAGTTCAAAATTTATGCTTTTTTAAAGATTTTTAGTGAAAATGGAGGATAATAGTGTTCCTTGTGATGAATTGAAGTGTGTTAAAGTGCTAATCGGAGAGGAAAAGGTAAAATCTTTAAACCTTGTTGAGATAATACACAAGGTCAAGAGTGTATTTCAGACTTATCAATTATCTCAATTAAAAAAACAGTTATTGGTATAATTAAAACGTTCACCAACATTTTACGTGGACGTAATTGAATCTTTCCTTAAGAAAGCGAGACGATTCCACTTATATTATCTTATCTCTTATTCATTAGAATGTAAATATTTTTTTTTATTTTGTACATAGTTTGCTTGTACTTTGTTCATGTTTTACTTTTGTTCATGTATTGTATTGGATGTAAATATTTTTTTCTTTCGCTCAAACAAACCCAAACGGCTTTCTTCAAAGCCACCGAAGCTATGCAAATGCTGATATGTAATACAATCTATCTAGCGGTAGTATGCCTTCTGTGTGCTTCGTTAAACACGTCCTTGTCAGCACTGAATATGAAACTGAAGAGTGGACAGATCAAGATTGGTGTATTTTTATAAAACTACTAAAAATAACAATCTATATTTTTATCAATTTATATCTTGGGCTTGCCCTAGTTTGGAGCTCTAGCATCGCCACTGATCAATGATATGTTGCGAACTGGTAACATTTATTACTATGCAGAGGACAGCACTGCTGATGTCTTATATACACCGGCCGTGCCAATATTTCTCGGGAAAACGTCCCCGAATACCGGGACAAACTTGTGTCTGAAGTAGAGTCTTTACTGAACAAAGTCTCGGATTGGGGACGACTAAATCTAGTCCAGTTCAATCCTTAGAAGACACAAATTTGCGCGTTTACAGCTAAAAAGAACCCCTTTGTCGTATCTCCTCAGTTTCGATGCACTCCGCTTGCTGCCACAGCTAGCATCGGAATTCTCGGCGTCGACATATCGAATAGTGTGCAGTTTCGTGGTCACTTGGAAGGGAAGACCAAATTGGCCTCTAAAAAGCTTGGCGTGCTCAGCAGAGCGAGACATTATTTCATGCCGGCACATCTCTTGCTACTTTACAAAGCGCAAGTTCGGCCACACATGGAATACTGTTCTCATCTTTGGACCGATGCACCCCAGCTCCTTCCACTTAACCGTATCCAGCGCAGAGCGGTTGGAATCGTCGATGACCGAGTTCTTTCTGATCGGCTCGATTCACTGCGATTCGCTGCGAAGGGATGTTACGTCGCTTTGCATTTTTTAACGCATCTACCACGGGGAGTACTCCGAGAAATTGTTCGGATTAATTCCAGCCGTCAAATTTTACGAACGTACATCGCGTCAAAATTCACGATACTATCCTCACCATCTGGATACTTGGCGGTCCACCACTGTGCGTTTTACTAGTTTTCTTCCTCGTAAAACTTCTTTGTGAAATTGTTTGCCACCGGCGATTTTTCCGGACCAATACGCCTTAGGGTCCTTCAAGAAAAGAGCTTACTCCTTTCTAAAAGGCCGGCATCGCAATTGCAATTCCCCTGGTGTTGCGGTTGTTCATGAGCGGCGGTAGTCACTTACCATCAGGTGAGCCGGATGCTCGTTGCCCCTTTCTATAAAAAAAAAACTTCGACTACATTGATGATGCATTTTATTTATATTGAAATCGGTTGTAGGAAATTTCTAATTTTACCATTTTCTATAGGATAGGGTGACAACAGCACACATCCCCTGCGATTGTAAGTGGTTGCTGTGGCCCATAGACATCTACATCTATCCTCGATACAGATCAAAATGCAGATGCGTTGTCATCCGGTGGACTAAGATGGAATGCGTCGTTTCCAGTAAAAAGGGTCTCCGGTTCTTTACACTCACCATACGAAACAAAGCACTTAAGCTACTATTTTACGTTGGTATTCTATGAAATGGTCCTGCCCCGGTCGAGCCGACCCATTTCGTGCTACAACTAACATAATATAACTGCAGCATGGTTCTACCACGTATAAAATGATGATTTTACCACTTGTTACCCCTTGCGGTTGTATATTTTTGAAATGTGTGTAGAATGTATGAATCTAACAAATAATTCTATATTTCTCTCTTTGTAAATAGCTGCAGCGTGGTTATAGCACGTATATATACAATGGTGTTACCTCTCCGGCATGAAGACGGCGAGCGCGGGGCTGACGTCCCAGGCGTGCTTGGCGCAGTCGCGCCACGTGCGCTCGGTGTTGGGCTTGGAGCGCCACGTGGCGATGTTGTCCTCGCCCGCCCCCGCCAGCTCGGGCCGCGCGTGCGGGTTGTGCCACGTCACCAGCAGCTCGATCTCCACCGCCTGCCCGCACACACGCACAACGCACGCAATCAGCTACTACCGCACAACTTAGATATCCGTTAGTCTGAAGTAAGTGGTTACTGCACTATATTTATTTTTTACGAGAGACCCCAAAAAAAAAAACTTTTTTAAAAAAAAACAACACCTGAAGGCAACTTCAAACTAATAATGAATATAAGGAAAATATGCAGATGCGTTATCAACTCTGAGGACTAAGATGGAATGGCTGACGACCTGTTATTATACTGACTCTCTATATCATTTAGACCCGAACACAGCAGTGCCAGTGCTACCATTTGACAGCAGATACAGGTAAAATGGTAGTTATACAAACTGCTAAGCAGAAAAGAAATCCTACGATCTATACTCTGTCAAATGTAGGTTGTTAATTTTGACAGCCCACGCCTATGAACTATCGTATTGTTTTAGATAAAGTGTAATACAGATATTGTTGTACTTCATGGATGGGTACCGCCCACTTTCGATAGTGATGTGTTACGATAAACTATGCCATGCTATAACGAACAACCACAGACTATCCAAAAATTGCTTCTGCTTCTTCTTCTTTTAAATTATGGCTTCTCTCGATAGAATTTTGCCAGTGTCAAGTCAGCCATGGAAGTGACAAGTTAAAAATGGTTAAAACAAGAGTTCTCAATTTAATGAGTGGGTTCACAATCTACAACAAAAGACGTCACATATTTAAAATACCATCACCAAAATTGTTAAGTAATTTTAGATATTAAAGTATTATTAGTACGAATGAAAGCACATTAAATATTTACGAAGAGAGTATACACTAGCGTCAGCAAATATTGTAAATTTACTAGACGTGGGATGTAATTGGGCAAGATATCATAGAGAGAGAAAGAAAGTTTAGGACACTCAAAGAACAGATGATTAACAGATCCTTCGTCTAGGCCACAATCACAGATTGAGCTATCCCTAATCCTGAGTTTGGCCAAGGGTATAGGAGTACAAGCATGACCAAAGCGTAGGCGGCAAACAGTAGAGGTAGAGCTTTACTAAAGTGGCGATATTGAAAAAGACAGGATTTTGATGCGATATTAATTTGCACTTCGGAATAGTGAATACGTTTTAATAGTTTAGAAATACATAAACATACATAAACACTCACGCCTGCCACCCAGAGGGGTAGGCAGATACTACAGACTTCCATTTAGCACGATCCTGACATACCTCTCTCGCCTCTTCCACATCCATATACCCACGCATACATGCTCGTCGGTTAAGGGTACTCTTAATTTGGCCTTTAATAGGTTAGAATGATGCCAATTACTTTGCCAAGAAGACAGAAGGCCGGAGTTTGCCTTTGGCTGCAGGTCATATGCATAGAGGCATTGTCTGGGGATAGAGCCAGGTTTTGTGGCATCTTTAGCTAAATTATCTGCAATTTCATTGCACTGTATCCCGCAGTGGCTAGGAATCCAAGCCAATAATACAATGTTCAGCACTTTTTTAGTGACAGCAGTACAGAGACTTTCTAATATTTAAAATTAGTGGGTATCTAATCTTAGAGTGAAAAGCACTGGATACAATACTTTGAAGGCAACAAAGGGAGTCCGAGAAAATGAGGGTCCTTTTCAGACCATGTGATTCTGCATATGAAATTGCCTCTAAAATAGCCAAAGCCTCACCTGTGAATACAGATGAGTCAGGGGGAGAGTTAAAATTTAAAATAATCCTGTATTTAGGGATCTACACTGCAGAACCTACTAATCCATCGTCACTTAACTTTGGAGCATCAGTGTACATAGTTAACCAATCATCAAAAATTGGTTTTGAAATAAATCAAACATATAAAAGTCACGTAAATATGTATTAGAATTGGCTCTTTATTGGAAAAATATGTTCTATTAACGGTAATGGTTGCGTGTCGGCTTTATATTGTCAGCTGTTCTTTTGAAAAAAAAAATGGCGATCAAAAATAGTATCTGTTGACTACAACATTGTGGCAACACAACAGCCTGTCATCCTTCCATCAGACCATGAAGGTTAGAGAACAGGAGAACGATCGCTGCGTACTAACGTAAAGCATAGCCCGCCTGTTCTTGAAAATTTGTAGAATATATGACGTCGGTGAGTAGTGACTACGAAGTTAGCTGTTTATGAGTACAAGTAGGTGAAGTTATTGAATATTGTACAAATTTTCACATCATTTTTTCGTAGAAAATTTTCAAGCTCCGTAAGTTTGTAATTTTTGACAAAAGAAACATTAAAAAATGGAGAAATATTTTATTGTGCATGGATGTGCAAGTGGTTGAGCATCTGCGAAAATAGACGGAAAATTACTTTTATTCACTGCACTTAGCGATCGCAGCGCCTCACTGATGGTGTCCATATTTCTGGGACACTATTTTCTACGGCGATCGTTCTCTTGTTCTCTAACCTTCATGCATCAGACAGCAATTTTGCAATAATATAATAATTATTCTTTTATTCCCCTGGATAACAACACTAGAATATTTATTTTAGTTACAATCTATACTTATCTTACACTTACTAATTTTTAAGTGTGAGTTAGTTAGTGACCTATAGTCAACCAAATCTAAGAAATACCTTTTGACGTTTTACATTAATCATTCCGCAATAACTTTTCACAAGCGTACTCACACGATTTAAAATAACCTTTTACGTAAATCCGAATAATTATGAAGTTATCTACATTTCGTTACAACGTATATAGTGTTTTATCACTAATTTAAATTAGAATTTTTCAAACAAAGCAAAATATTAAAAAAATAACCAGTATTAACTTTTTTTACTTGACGTCGTTTCAATGATATGTCGCCATGTATATTACCGTAGTGTTTGGATGATTAAAATTCATTGTTATACGAATAATCGGCAAAATATTCAAATAATCGGTAAAAATATTTTAATAATCGAATCATTAATTTCTTTAATGTATTATTTGTTTAATTAGTATTTTTATTTTCAAATCCTTAAATTATATGAATTATAATAAAACAAGTTTTTTTTTCACTTTGTACAAGTAAATTTGTGTAGGCAAAAAACTCATATACACAGCTACTACTAAAATAACCACTACATAATTTCAAAATCCCGCCATTTCGGTACCAGTTACTCGACTCCACAATTCATTCTTGAGGCGATGTATACGCTTTTACAACAAAATGCCAGAAAATATACAAAATTTGACGTAAGTACATAAAGTTAAAAAACTTTATTCAACTAAGTTTGTTTAAAAATGGTTATTTTAATATTAGGGAATTTATGGATGATAATAACCCCCGGGAAGGGTGATCGCTACCACGCTATTTTTAATTTGTTTTGTGTTGTTAATTGTAACACGCATGATTGTAACTCTTATTCTAAAAAAAAAACTAGTCCCGTTGGGTTTCTTGCTGGTTCTTCCCAGTACAGAGGGTTTTTTTGCGAACCAGTGGTAAATGAAAAAAGTGACTTTCAATAAGTATTATTCATAATCTATATTGAATATAAAGTTTATGTTTCTGTTTCGAGAGCTTACTGCGCGTAATTTTGAGATTTTGTGTTTGTCTTCTTATTATGTAGGAAGAGTACCCCAAAATAACACCATATTTAAACACAGAAAAATTTTGGACACACGGGAAAAAAAAAAGAGGTTTAACTAAAAAAAAAATTTGGATTTTTTTTTGTTTTTTACTCGGCTTTAACTTTTTGGACTGTTTCTTCTATAATAACTTTTTGTATGTGTTAGAGCCTCGCTACATCTATATTATAGTTGTAGCACGAATGGGTCGGCTCAACCAGGGCAGGACCACGCTTTCACAGAATACCAGCGTAAAATAGCAGCGTTATGCTGATGTGTTTCGTATGGTGAGTGTAGAGAACCGTAAACCCTTTTTACTGGAACCGCGACATCTTAGTCCTTCAGGCGTGACAACGCATTTGCATTTTGATTCTTAATTGAGGATAAATGTGTATATCTATGAGCCATAGCATCCACTTACCATCAGATGGACTATGTGCTCGTTTGTCACCAAATGCTATAAAAAAAATGAAGGCATCTCACAAAGGATGAATGGCCAAAAGTGTTAGAAAAAACAAAAAAAAAATTGATTATGGATGACTTTGAAAGAGACTTTAATTTTGTCTGCATTATTGAAAATCAAATTATAATTATTATAAACAAAGACATCCCTACCAGTTGTACTGAAAGTGATTGAATAAATTTATTTTTAATCTAATTTCAGTCTTAAATTTGTATGCCCAAAAAACAGTAAAACAAATACGAAGAAACTGATAAATCTTGTTTTTTAAATTATCCGTTTTTAATTTATTCTGGTACTATTCAAACCAAACTGTAATTGATTACCAACTCTAAATAATCGATATCGATTTTTTTAAGAATCGAATATTGTACGTTCTCATTTTTTAGTTGGCATGCTTGGTGCAATTAGTCTGACAGCTGTCAAAATGTATTTCTTAGATTTGGTTGACTATAGTTATACCATTTTAGACATCTGAACACAAATTTAACGAACATAAAAAAACATATAAAACTAGCCACAATCCTAAAATTAAAATTATACCAGTTTGAAGGAGAAAACAGGGGAATACAGTATTCTCAATTTTTCATAGGCATAATCAGTGTTATCTCTCTCGGTCGTCTACCTCGACCGTGCGGGCACATCGCGGCAGTAATAGATTGTGAGAATTATACTTCAAGTTTTAAATTTTTTTCAGATGTAAGTAAAGTTAGAGAAATATTTACTTATATAATACGGGAAAAATAATTGACCTTGAAAAAATAATTAGATAAGTAAGAAGTACAAGTGGGACACCGTGTACTTCTTACTTATCTAATTACTTTTTCTTTTATACATTTATTTATTTTCCTTTATATAGTTTTCAAAACAGCTGATGGTAATAATACAGTGGATCCCCGGTAGTCCGACAAACACTTTGCAGGGCAGTGTCGAACTATCGAATTTGTCGGATTATAGAGTACTGCCTAAGACACCACATTGTTTTGTGCTTTCGCTTCTGAGCTTGAGACGACATTACTAGGTACGTATACGTAATACACAATGAATAAACAGTAAACAATGAACACACGCTAGGCCGCACCGCTATCCTCTCTCACGTATGTATGTAGTCAAACTAAACAATCAGAATCAAAACACAATAGTGATGTTGCGTGCAAGTTGTAACTTGTTCAATCGTGCATTAGTGAATTCATGTATGTAATAGACGATGTCGGATTATTGGGGGCGCCGCATTAGCCAGGGGCCGGATTACCGGGGCTCCACTGTATAGCTCGAATATAACAATTCGATAGTTTCGGTTAGGGTCCATAACATCCTCAAAAATTAGTTTCTAACTCAGTGGTCTAAAGTGAAATCGTAGTCTATAGACACCTATACGTACCATAGCTAAGTCCATGCGTCCTCTCGTCTCTTTTCGAAGATGGGTTATAAAGTAATAAGTCCGTTGTACTGATCAAGTGCGCGTTGAAAGACATGCCCTTGAAAACATTTTATTTCTTAATCACGTAGGTTTCCTCACGATTTTCCTTCAATACCGAGCACAGGGTAAAGCACAGTATTCAATCAAAAGTCTAAAGTCAAAACCACAAATTGACATACCATCAATTCTAAAATCAAATTCCTCTTCCTGACGTAGTCCTTGACGAACGTGTCCTGCGGCTTGATGAGCGGTTTGACGCTGCGGTTCGAACGCTTGCCCGCTATACTTCCCGCTCCGCTGCTGAGCGTTGTTGTTGACATTGGTACCTGCCAAAGTAATGTTTCTGTTATAATGATAGCTAGTAGCCGAAAGAAACGACCCGGCTCGAAGGATCAAACGTAGAGTCAACTAGTTATCGAAAGTGGGTTATACGTTAAATAATTCTACATATTAAATAATTCTATTTCTTTTTAATAATTTATTTATTCAATGATGTAGTTCAAGTTTTTTTTTCTTATAATCCTTTCATTTACTAAATAATCAATGCGTGTTGTGATTACCTATAAAAAGAAATACAATTATAATGTGCTTAATATGTTATGAAAATGATCTTTGTATATATACTTACTATATACTGTTGTAATTTCTGTTGGTAATCCTAATAAATAAATAAATACATATGCAGGTTGTCCCGAAACTCAACATCAAGCGGGTGGGTACGGGGGATAAGCTAGTTTGTATTCTAGCGAAATTAAAAATAACATTCCATGTTACTTGGTTAAATTACAATAGGTATACTTTTGAAAATGTTGAAAATTAACATCCTAAATCACGTATTTACATACTGTGATCATAAATCTCGTTTACATATGCAACGTGAAATATTTATATAAAAGATATCTTCTTCATCAACTGCCCGAAAAATTCCACTGCTTTATTTTGCCTTACCTGTTATAGAGTGAATTTTTTTGTCTTTAAAACAACGTTATGATTACGTTACGTAACTAGGATTTTCTCCTGTATTGTGGAGGCAGTTTACAATCACAAATTGCAGGAACACAATCATCCATATTCCAGAACCCGAAAAATTATTTGTAGGCCTTTTTTATTATGTGCGAGCAGATATGCAGGTCTAGGGAGAGACCAGTATCACTGCGACCTAGAAGATCTACTGTGATCGTTGCTATGGCTATAGTTCACTGTTAAACCCTATGTTTTCAATGAATCGACTCCGCCGAGTCAGTAATTCATTCTTGGGGCGATGTATACGATTTTACAACAAAATCCCAGAAAATATACAAAATTTGTCATCACAAAGTTCAATAATGTTATTAAACTAACTTTGTATAAAAAGGGTTACTAAAATATTAAGGAATTTAAGGATGATAATAACCCCTGGGAAGGGTGATCGCTACCAAGCTATTTCTAATGTGTCTTGTGTTGTTAATTGTAAACATGATTGTAAGCTATTACTGGAAAAAAATAGTCCCTCTATGGGTTTCTTGCTGGTTCTTCCCAGGACAGAGGTTTTTTTTTTGCGAACCAGTGGTAAATGAAAAAAGTGACTTTCAATAAGTATTGTTATAATCTACATTGAATAAAAAAGTTTCTGTTTTTGTTTCTGTTTCAATAGCAGGAGTTGCTTAGCTGTGAGCAATTTCACTTCTTTTGGGCGAAGTACATAGTTTCCCAGATAAGTGTTACGTTTGCGCATTAAGGGTTCGTAATTAGTTAGGATGTACAGAGGCGTTTCTTCCATAAGGGAACAGAACCGACACATCCTTGAGTTGCTTAGTCCCAGGATGGACGTGTTCTTTAAGACAACAGTGTCCAATTAGGGCTTTAGCCAGAATGCGCAATTTATTTTTAGTTAATCCCAGGGTTGCTGAAGCAAATTTACGATCAAAAGCCCGGATTAAGGTTTTAGGAAGTTTTAAGCCTGGTATGTTAGACCAGATCTTAAGTGATTTATTGTGATAAAGAGTTTCAAAGGTCAATCGGGCTAGAAGCTTGAGATTCTACACTTTTAAAAAGAAATCAGGAATAACATAGATAACTACTAAAAATAAGACTTCCTCGAGTGTTTCAATTTTTTTAAATTAAACTAAACCGAATTTCTAAAAATAATAACGTACAGACATAGATGAAGGTGTACCGAATTCAATGAGAGATATTTGTCTCATTTCATAAAGATTTAGGGGGTTGAAAACCATCGTCGCAGGTTATCGAACGAAACATTATTTCAAAAAAGAAATGTAGGCAATTGCCTCCAAGACTAGCAACTCTCTATAGCACGAGGAGGGAGGCAGAGCGAGCAGTATGAAACATATAGCATTTTTGAAAATACCTACTCGTGCCGCGTATCGGGACTTCACGATCCTCTTAACACTGATATTTTAAATTATAATTTAAATTTATTATATATAAAAATAACATAAATATACCGTATTGATCCAACCAGTGGTCTGACGATTACCAATGTCGCTACTGTTCATCGAGGAACGGTTGTCAGTTGGAGAATTGGAAGTGTAGATACTCTGTTGACTGCTCGGATGGTTGTCGAATTCTGGTGGAAAATAAAACAAATGATTTTTCAGTTATACTTCTTTCGACGCTTTAATTTAATAGTACAATTCAATAATTTCAATAAAATCTTTGCAGGCAAATCAAACAATACGTGGTAGAGCCACGTATGAATCCTTTTCTTTCTCTTTAGTTCTTAAGCGAAGATAAATGTAGATGTCTATGAGCCATAGCATCCACTTATCATGTGGATTGTGTGCTCGTTTGTTACCCTAATTCTATAAAAAATACTACTTAGAAACTGAAGTATTTATTATGTGCGAGCAGCTATGCAGGTCTAGGGAAAGAGACCAGTATCACTGCGACCTAGAAGATCTATTATAATCTAGAAACTGCAGTATAGGTTATAATTATCATAACTTACCGCCAATGTCGCTGCTCTTCAAATATTTTTTATCTGAATGCATCAGCTGCCAGAATTTGATCAATGACATGATATCCTCCCTCAAGGCACCGGCGCTTTTGGAAGGACACTGCAGCCCTCTGCAGAAGTAATCCAAGCACACGCTGTACACGCGCTCGCGGAGTATGTTGCGCGCCAGTGAACGTGGCAGTATGTCGCCTTGCAGCAGGGAGAGACCGCAGGATAACAGCCTTTAAAACAAAAGATATAAGGGTCAATTTGTAAATAAAAAATATATGGTATGTGACGCTAAATTTTTATTTAAACAGCGATCATTATTACTATTATTAGTTCTCTATACTTGTGAAGATCGATATTTGTTAAATATTTTCGATAGAAATATTTTTTCTAATAATTTGCTTCTACCCTAATTTCGCGTAAGCGAAGCCGCGTAGGTCAGCTCATAATATCCTTGTAAAAAATATTTTATTTGACATTCAAATAAAATATTACGAATAAAAAGAAATATTTAATTTGAGCGAAAAGAAATAATTAATTTGAATAAAAAGATAATTACTCACTTAAATCGGACGCCAGCTGCATCAACATGTCTGTTGATGTGATCCCTAACATCTCCAACAGTAATCGGCAATGATCTGCAAAACAAAACGTTACTTTCCTTTAATATAATTTATTACTTTTTCTACCTTTCAAAAGGGTTTCCAAGATTGCCAAAATAAAGGAAAAATGTTACCATATAATAAAAATTAGAAACAAATACACGTTCCCGATATGAAGAAAAACCTGCAGACAACTTAATCAAATAACCAGACTTGTTTCTATTCACCCTGTGGTTTCTATTCACTCCATTTTACTCGGAAACCATATTTACGTAGACATCTTTTTTATCTAGACTTCTGCAATCCGACCTCTTTTTTTAGACTGGTTGTCAGTAAATGCTGTGGGCCATAGACACCTGCATACCTGCATTTCTCCTCAACCAAAAATCAAAATACAGATGCATCACGGGATGAGAATTCTTCGTTCTGGGGATTGTTCCATAGATCTGCTATCACTGCTGTGCCATAAGTAGCAAGAAAACCGAAAAAAGTAGAATTACAGTCTGTGGGCATTTCATCGTAGACACCAGAATTAATAATGTATCCGTGCCCATATTTATTTGGAATCGGTTGTAGCTGTCCATGGGTTTCAGTAGAGATTTATCAACAATAAGACTGTTTGCATGTTTGTAATGTACATATATTATTATACCTAAAAAGTCTGTTGCTAAAAATTGATTTATGTAATATATAATTTTGGTTATAATAATGACAATTAACTATAATTATAATGATGAATTTAACTCGAATCCAATTCATTAATAAGAATTTAGTTATAATTTTGTTACTACGCCCGAATGGGTTCCATGATATTGTGCTGTACACACTAAGACATATGTTTATTCCTCTACACAGTACATAGCCGTCGTAAAAGGATTATTGCCTGTTTGTTTGTGTTTTTGTGCACGATTAGCTCCACACTGGCTGAACCAATGCGGATGTGACTCCCAGTGATGTATTGGTAAATAAACTTGGTCTAAAATTTAATGAATGTTTCATTTGATACAATTAAGTTTTAGACAAATAAAAAAAAATGTTAATTCTAAAGAGCGTCTAGCATACTCTCGACGTGACGCATGCACAACCACCACAGTTTATGTGGTAGAGCCATTCTGCATGTATATTATAGTTGTGGCACGAATGGGTCGGCTCGACCGGGGCAGGCCCACGCTCTTACAGAATACCAGCGTAAAATGGCAGCTTTATGCTGACTGGAGACCCTTTTTACTGGAAACGAGAATTCCATCGCAGTCCTCACGGGAGACACCGCATCTGCATTTTGATTCTTTATTGAGGTTAGATGTAGATGTCTATAGGCAACAGCATCCACTTACGGTAGACTGTGTTTGTTTGTTGTCACCTTTATACTATAGACTGCCTCGTTGGTCTAGTGATTGTAGTAATGTGACTGCTGATCATGAGGTCCTGGGTTCCAATCCCGGGTCGGGCCAAAAAGTCAATTATTTTTTCCGTCAAGAAATTCTCAGTAGCTGCCCGGAGTCAGGAAATTGGCGGTGTCTCACCCCCGTGCCTCGGAAAGCACGTAAAGCCGTTAGTCCTGCGTTGATCTCTCTCCGGTCGTATCGGTTTACCGTCCCATCGGATTATGAGAGTGAGGGAATAGAGAGTGCACCTGTGCTTGCGCATACACTTGGGCACTATAATCCTGTCCTGATGGTTAGTCTTCGTTGAGGCTGGCAGCTGTGACCGAAATTCGATCTGGAGGACATTATTACTATAAAATAAAGTCGGAATAAAATTGCAGCTCGGCTGTGCACCGACTACTGTAGAGAAGTAATGTAAAAATTTAGATATAATAGACTGAATCACCGCCGTGGGTGTTATAAGACGGGACTATGGGATAATCCAAAAAAATTTTGTGGCTTCGGATAAAATAGATGGCGATATAACCACCTCTTTACGCCAGTCGTAAAATACCCAGATGGCGATGGGCGGCAGCGTCAAACGAGCCAGTGTCTGGTACTGGAATCAATAATCCCACTACCAATCGTGGCAACTAAAACGAATCCTCTCAACAACAGAGTCCGTGTCTAGGTTCCATAGATGATAGATGTTTGCGCTAATAAAGTCGTGGGTACAGTTAGTAATTGCAATATTTTTTTTAAATAAATCAAAATTACGTACCGGTGTAGTAGGCTTGCCAGCATTTCTACCTTCTCCAAGCTGTTGTATTTAGCGGTGTCAGCGACTTCACACAGGTATCGAACCCAAACTGCGTGAGGGGCCACAAACGGAGGCCTTGGCTCTAGTTTATAACCTAACAAATAATATTTTCAATTATAATCTCGTAGGATAAAAACGAGGTTATATCCTAAGCAATAAAGGGAACAGTCAGATAGCCGATCTTTAATCATCAACAGGAAGCCATAAATATTAACGAATATTTAAGGTATTTTATTTATACATTTATAATTATGATGAGGAGAGCCGTGGTAGCTATTTTCTAGTATACGGGTAACACGGGTTCGATCCGCGCCAGCACCAACGAAATTTTTTAATTGTAATTTTAAGTGCTGGTTTACCACGTGGTCGGCGGTGAAGGGAAACATCGTGAGGTAACCGGGAGGCCTTAGAAATATTATTTAGAGGAATATCGTCCACCAACACACATTGGAGCACGGCGGCCGACTAATTGCTCCAAAGCCCTCCGAAACTCGGAATGAGAGGTGGCATATGCCCAGCAGTGAGACTGCAAAGTTTTTATTATGATAAGAGGACATTTGTATTATGATAATTCATATTTATACCTTCATATGCTGCTAATGGACTAGTCTCCTCGTGCTGCTTAGAGAACAATCCCATTTTTCTGTCGACAGTACATTGCCAAGCCGCGAAGATCTCTTGCAGGAGTCGCAGTTCCAAATCTGGTCTCGCTGTAGTCAACCATTGCCAGCATTCCACGGCAGTGGTAACCGCATCCTCCGTGAATATATCCACTTGAGACCAGGCTGCAAATTTTTTTATTAAGAAAAATAGACACTGCATAAAATAAAACAGAATTATCGAATACTAGCAACCCGCCTCGGTTTCGCCCGGGTACGATCTATTATTGTGTCGTTACTTAGATTTAAGTTTTTTTCTATAGAAAAGGGTGACAAACGAGCACACGTACATCTGATAATAAGTGTTTGCTGTGACCCATAGACATCTACATCTATCCTCGATTACGAATCAAAATGCAGATGCGCTAACAATCCTGAAAACTACGATGGAATGCCTCTTTTCCAGTAAAAAGGGTCTCCGGTTCTCTACACTCACTATACGAAACACAGCAGCGTTAAGTTGCTATTTCACGCTGCTATTCTGTGAGAGCGTGGTCCTTCCCGGTCGAGCTGACCCATTTGTGCCAAAACTTTAACTACTAATATAGCGGCAGCATGGCTTTACTACGTAGTTAAGTTAATAATCAAGAATAATTTGGACCAATTTAAATCATTTTTTTAAATAGAAAGTGGAGAGGTGAAGGGGCACACCTTGTGGTAACTCTACCTCAAAATTGCATATTTTTCATTGAAATTCCGGTCAAAATTGATTTTGAGCAAATCTGCAGTCAATAGCACTTTGTTACCGCCATTACATTGCCCCTAAGCCTGGCAGGATAAACCGGATGTTTGCGGCTTTGGTGTGAGCCAAAGGCCTAACTAATATGTACTATAATCTACTGTCGCTGATATGAATTTTCCTAACAGAATGAGATGTCTCTGATTTAGTTATGGTAGCTTACTAAAAACTAGTTTAGGCCAGAAAAATCTAGTTTGTCCTAAAATCGATGGCAATAAACTTTATATAAAATATTCAATTTTTTTCTGGTCAAAAGTACTACCAGTCTTGGTTACTACTTTAACCAATATTTTTTTTAAGTCGGAACTCCTTTTGCCCAATTTTTCTCGAAACTTAGTTTTGACCGGAAAATATATTTAAAAAAGTATTTCGAATATTATTACTAAGTGGTAGGATTCCTTTCCTGTCTATGAGTCTATCTAGGTAGCTACCACTCTCTTACCTATTTCTTCTATTCCAATACAAGTTTCAGTCTATGTGCTCATGCACTTATATACAGCACAGGTATACTTCTCCGGTAGGCCGTAGCGTGTATGGTCAGCGTTCTACTCAACTCACCTTAACTGCCTCGTTGGTCTAGTGGTCACAAAGCTAGGCTAGGCTAGTGGTTGATCTTGAGGTCCCGGGTTCGAATCCCTGGTTGGGTGAAAATCATTTATTAGGTTTTTCTGACAAAAAATGGTTAGTAGCAGCCTGGAGTAAGTCCACAGCGCCGCGCGGTGCGCCGTCTCACTCCCGCGGCGCAGCGCCGCGTGCAGCTTGTACTTACCGACACTGTGCAGCAGCGCGCGTGCAGTGGGCGCGGTGTGCACGTGCGCGGTGGTGTGGTGGCGTGCGTGCACGAGCAGTGCGGTCGCGAGCCGCAACGCCGCCTCACTCCCGAGGCGCAGCGCCGCGTGCAGCTTGTACTCACCGACACTGTGCAGCAGCGCGCGTGCAGTGGGCACGGTGTGCACGTGCGCGGTGGTGTGGTGGCGTGCGTGCACGAGCAGTGCGGTCGCGCGCCGCAGCGCCGTCTCACTCCCGCAGCGAAGCGCCGCGTGCAGCTTGTACTTACCGACACTGTGCAGCAGCGCGCGTGCAGTGGGCGCGGTGTGCACGTGCGCGGTGGTGTGGGGGCGCGCGTGCACGAGCAGTGCGGTCGCGCGCCGCAGCGCCGTCTCACTCCCGCGGCGCAGCGCCGCGTGCAGCTTGTACTCACCGACACTGTGCAGCAGCGCGCGTGCAGTGGGCGCGGTGTGCACGTGCGCGGTGGTGTGGTGGCGCGCGTGCACGAGCAGTGCGGTCGCGCGCCGCAGCGCCGTCTCACTCCCGCGGCGCAGCGCCGCGTGCAGCTTGTACTCACCGACACTGTGCAGCAGCGCGCGTGCAGTGGGTGCGGTGTGCACGTGCGCGGTGGTGTGGTGGCGCGCGTGCACGAGGAGTGCGGTCGCGCGCCACAGCGCCGCGTGGTGCGCCGTCTCACTCCCGCGGCGCAGCGCCGCGTGCAGCTTGTACTCACCGACACTGTGCAGCAGCGCGCGTGCAGTGGGTGCGGTGTGCACGTGCGCGGTGGTGTGGTGGCGCGCGTGCACGAGCAGTGCGGTCGCACGCCACAGCGCCGCGCGGTGCGCCGTCTCGCTCCCGCTCGCGCACGCCTCCCGCAGCGCCGCGTGCAATTTCGCGCCCACTCGCCAGATGGCCGCCTCGCCCCCGCCCTCCGCGTTCACCGCACCCGTCACCTGTAATATATTTGTTTTTGGTTACAGACTCGTACGGTTGTAGTTCTACCAGTGTCAAGCGATATATTATCCTATACAATATTTTTAAACAAAATATTATATAGGTTATTCATAAATGTGTCAGAAAGATACTTAGACATGCAATTTTATAAGTATTATTTATATTTTAATAACGTCAGAAGATGGGCAGTAGAATCTTTCTGGTTACGACTTAAAATAATAATAAAAATGCGGTTGCAAACGCGCTGGCTAAGTATGACTAATCTGACAAAATCACTCTATGAGATAGTCTACGGACGATGTTCACCAGTTTTATGCAATATAATTTATACGTGGTAGGAGCCACGCTGCAACTATATTATAATTGTAGCACGAATGAGTTGGCTCGACAGAAGTAGAACTACACTCTCATAGAATAAAAGCATAGATAATTGCTTAATAATGTGTTTCGTATGGTGAGTGTCGGAAACCGGAGACTCATTTTATTGGACACGAGGCATTCCATCTTAGTTCTCAGGGGTCACAAAACATTTGCATTTTAATCGTTATTCAAGGATAAATATAGACGTGTATAAGTCACAGCATCCACTTACCATCAGGTGGACTGTGCTCGTTAGCCACCCTTAGTCTATTTAAAAAAAGCTGCTAGTAACATTTCCAAGCTTTTCTAATTCCAGTATTTATTTTCTTTGACATTATATCGGTGGTCGAGATTTGTTGTTGTAAATAATTGTAATTTTTTACGTACTCAATATACATAAAGAAATACAAAAAGGAAACAATAATCTAAATTTCTTTAATGATGGCAAGTAATTATTATATAGGTGAAGACTGAGACGAGCATTTGCTCGATGTGAATATTTGCATCGACAATTTGTTCGTTGTGAGCACCTTAATCTTCACGAAGAATATATTCTTGATTGTGCTCCGGAAGTTGTAGTCAAAATGGCGGACGTGAAGGTAGTGTGTGTTTATTCCCTTTTAATCCGTTATTGCTAGTTAAAGAAGATTGAACAAAAATTGTTTTTTTCCCGGCTCCACTGCATTTTTCCAAACGCAAAAATATTACGACACAAACAAAGCAACGATTGCGCTTTCGGTGGTGCTCGCGCTAGCGACTGTCTTGTAACGTAAATTCAAAGGGATTCACCAAAAAACCATCACCCCGTTGAAATACGCTCAGGCGTTCGGCGCTCGTCATCGCGCTGCTCGGCTCGCTGTACTGACATGCCGAATATTCGATATATAACGTGCACATATCGAGCAAATGCTCATGTCAGTCGCCAGCTTAACCTCTCAACCCCCTAGTGGTCTCATGAGACCGCGGCTATATTCTGTCAAATCCCTAGCGGTCTCATGAGGTCGCGCCCACCCACAGCACTTTAACCCATAAAAACTTATTTATAGAGACTACTTTTCTAGGAAGAAGTTTGGCATTATATAATCAACATGAAATACTTTATCCTTCAGTGTAATAAAAAAAACTGTTATTCTATGAATATTTATTTATAATCTACGTTCATTTCGTACGCCATTTTCACGTGAATGTTATTGTACTGATTTTTGGATTTTTCAAGTGTTTTATTAGTGTATGTATATGTTTTATTATAAAATTGTAATGACAGTTTTTGTGTGAATATAATTTATCTTTTATGTAAATAATTTTGAGTAATATATATTGAAATAATTGTGATTTTCACGCTACCGACATTCGCTTGGTATGTTTTTTTTGTTGTCAAAATACAATAAAATCTTTTTGTAATGAAGTAAAACCTAACTTTTGGTTAGACCACAGGATAGAACATTTTGTATAGATTTTATAATGCTAAACTTCGTCATAGAAAAGTAGTGTCTAAATGTAAGTTTTAAGGGTTTTAAGTGCTGTAGGTGGGTGCGGTCGCATGCAACCGCTCGGGATTTTCGGGGCGCATGCGACTGCATGGGATTTTTATGGCGCTTGAAGGGTTAACAGCGATATTACGAATTTGCGCAGGATTGCTATGCGGGTTCTATAATAATACGTAAGAAGGCGAGTGACCTCCCCGGCGAAGCGGCTGCGCTGCGAGACGACGGCGAGCAGCGCGGCCGAGTCGTGCGTGACGCAGGGCGGGCGCTTGTCGAGCGCGGCGCGCGGCAGCGGCGCCGACATGCGGTTGAGTCCCGCCGCGCCCAGCAGCGCGCCCGTCGCCAGCGCCAGCCCGCAGTGGTGCCACAGCGTCGAGTTCGGCACCTGCACAACACGCCACACATGCCGTGTACTTCGTCTCATATCATCCATAATAAATATAAATTCCAATAAATTGTTCTTCTTTCTAATAAGATTTCTTAATATCCTAGTGCTCATACCGTATTACCGTGTAGAAGCAATTCAAGAATATCTACTACCCCATATAATTCCCTGAGTGTCGTATGCCTAGAAAAGATCTCAACTTTCTCGACAGTCTGCCACTGCAAAACGGCTGCAACTTCTGCGCAGCAACGAGAAAGAGGATGAAAATAGGCAAAGATTGGAAAGCGCTGTTTCGTTCATCGGTTACAATCGATGAACGAAACCGCTAGAGAAACAAGCGTCGAACGAACACAACGTTTGGCTTCACAAAATTCTCGAACTTCGGCGAATCGGCAACGGGAATCAAGTGTTGAACGTTTTCAACGTTTAGCCTCACAGAATTCCCGAACTTTAGCAAACCGCGACGGTAAACAAGCGCTGAACGTTCGCAACGTTTGGCCGCACAGAATTCCTGAACGTTGGCGAACCGAGAACGGGAATCAAGCGCTGTGTGTTCCCACCGATTAGCTCAAAAAATGCAAGATCAGCAATGAATAGAATTGGCAGGCAGCACAACTCATTGAATTCTGCTTTTGCTTATGACTTCAATCTTGACTATTTTGTGCTAAATGATGTTGATATTGCCATCCATACCACCTGTGATACCAACGGCTTTGCCTTTTAACTTTAAAATAATTCAATTTCCGGTAAAAGTATCGTTTGCGGTAACGATTAATAAGGCCCAAGGGCAAACATTTAAGCACTTAGAAATAGATTTACGCCAAGAGTGTTTATCGTACGAGCAACTATAAGTGCCCTATCGAGATCTGGTTCTGGTGAAAAATCTTAAAATTAACGTCGCGGGAAGAAGCTAGTTGTAGTATAAAATAGTTGAAAGTTTTATTGTAATTCAAAATGTTTATATATTATGTAATTACCTACCTATTTGATCAATAAAAAATTGATCAATTGTAAAGGCAAAAACCTATTGATCCTATTTGATCTATTTTAAAGGCAAAAAGTCGTTCCTACAATAACTGTTGCGTGGATAGATGCTAAATGACCAACAAAAGGTTTCAGATATATTATTCTTTATGTTACCGAAGGATTTTGGCAGCAAGTTATGAAAGGTGAATTTATTTCATTTTTAGGTACTTATAGCAAAAATAATTAAGAAATAATTTATTTAAAGAAGTAATACCTACGTACTTTATTACAAAACTTAGTTGAAATTTACTTCACTATCCGAGTATCTACTTACATACCTATACATTCTTTTGTAATTAAAATATTGTAAGTTATAATAACACAAAATACTGAAACTAAAACTGTTTACTAACTAGATTATTTGATGTTTATTTGTTGTTTCTTCCGAGACAAGCATCGCGATTCCCGATGAATGGCCTTGCACTTTGCATGCGTTGGGTATCGCAGAACTCACATAAGTGCGAAAATATGGTCATTCGATCATAGTCAGAATTGGTACTTCACCTAAGTAACTTAATTAACATTTCGCAATATATTTTTTTAACTCTAATGGCAACCATTAGTGACCACGGAAAGTTCGCCGTGACTTAGACTTAAAATGCAAAGTAATGTGGACACTCGCTTAGAGCGATAAAGTTTTATTTAGCTTGCGTGCGCGATTTATCTAATTAATAATAATAATATAGGCTATTAAACGTCGGCAATCAGCCAATATTAAAGGAGTGCAACTTCTGTACTATCTATTATTTATTCTGCGGTAACGTTACCGGTAACAGCACAACACATGCTACCACACCCGTACGCGTTGTGAGCTGAGGATCTTATCTGCATCTCATCTGCACGTGAATAACCATTTTTTAATTGTTTGTCTGTCGGCCTATATATATGAGCTAATCGTCGGGATGGCTAAACCGAATGAAATAAAACTATACGAACAGATAGAGAGCAATGCTGTGATCTAGGCTATATTTTATCCAAATAAAATTATAGATAAAAAATGTTGAAGCAAAATTGATAAAACAAATGTCTGTGGTTAACTTCAACTTAAACAACGCAACATTATAAGATCCTGTCCAAGTAAAGCCGGGACAGTTCGCTAGTGTATGGGACGACGAAATTAGAAGAAAATACCTTGACGATTAAACTTTATTAGTAAGTCCGAAAAAAGTATATAATATAATTTTTCTAGGATTTCGAGGATAATTACTAGTACTTTAATTAATCTTTGAAAGGAAAACATTATTTATATACAAAATTTCTTCAAAATCAAATCAAAAGTTGATCAAGATCTGACCAGTAGTTTTTGAGTAATCCTTAATTAATTGATTTCGAATATATTGATGATGTTCTCAGTTTATTCATATTGAAGTCGATTGTACAAAAAATTTTAATTTTAAAATAGAAATTGTTTTCATTTTACGCTACTGTAAATACACCCTTGCCCTGCTGTTGCTTTGATCACTATTCTATTAACGAGAATGAACTATAGTTTGACATTTTTGTTGTGAGCTGTTTTGCGCTCAATGAGATTTCCAGGTTCAGGTCAGGTTCACTACACAACCAGTACGAGGTTGCTACTCGAAAACCTTTACTCTCCTTAGACTATTAGTTTTTTGTTTTGTCTCGCGGATCTTCTGTCAACAAAACAATAGTGCAATAAATTACCTGATTCAGATATTCTTGGAGATGTGACCGAGTGGACTGTGGCGCCCACTTCATTGCCTCTTGGACTATTCCATGACAGCGATCCGCAAAATCTTTTACAATGCCCTGCAACAAACAAAACAAAGATAATTTCATTTTGAACGCAAATACAACCCACGGCACGAAAGTCTAGCGGTGACCGTTATTGCGCATAATTGGCCGTATTACGCATTACTGCGTATGATTGGCTGTATCGTTCGCACGTGCTGATTGGCCCTCCAGTCACATTCCGTCCCCCACACTAATACGACATTCACGGCTATCCCCTCCACGTTTCGTACAGCGCTAGAGTTATGCACCGCGAGTTGTAATTTACTATGAAAAATATCTTATTACTTCTGAGAGATGGAGGGTATAGGCGTGCAATTTACCCCAGACATAAATACCTAAACAAGTGACGGGGAGTGGCGTCAAAAGTACCTCTAATACTACGACCACCTATCTGTGGAGAATATAGGAAAAACTCATGCAACGGCAGGGGCAGATGTTCAATTATGAATGTCTATGGCTAATGAAGAAAGGTAAAGGAATAAAGTAGAAATACGCAGTCAATTCACAAATTACCTCTCGTCCTTCCAATGTATCCTGAAGCTGGAGGGTGAAGTCAGTACCAGGCACTTTAAGAAGCGGCGTTTCTTGGTTAGCGTCGAGCTCCAAGCTAAAACTCAGTACTTGAAGTATGTCCAACATTGACCATAGTACCTGGAAATTTAACAATTAAAATAAATAGTAATTTACAATAATATACTTATATTGAAAGTGACTTTTGTTTCAAGTGAAATTTCAATTTCAAGACCTAAATCAATCACGTCTTTGTATACACTTTTTTAAGCGCGTTAGTACAAGAAATCTTACGGTTCAGTTCCCATGATGAAGTAAAGTTACATCATACACATTCCATTACAAAACACAGGCCTCCTCTCATTACTGAGATGGTTTTAGAGAAAGCATGTGTCCACCGCGCTGCCCCAAAGCGTGCTGGCCGACTTAAAACGTCTTCGAAATAAATTTTAATTTCTCACTTTCTCAGTAATGCCGGTTTATTCACGGCGCCGATGTACGTGGTAAATCAGCGTTTACAATAGCAATTAATAATTTAATTGGTACTGGCAGAGATTGACGTGGTAGAGCCATGCTGGAGCTATATCAGTAGTATAGTTGTAGCACGAATGGGTCGGCTCGACCGGGGAAGGAGCACGAGAATATCAGTGTAAAATAGCAGCTCAATGTTGATCGTATGGTAAGAGAACCGGAGACCAATTAGGACTCTATGCTAGTAATTACTCTAGAGTCGAGAGACGTTTCAACTAAATCAAAGTTATCAAGAGGTTTATTGATGATAACTTTGATTTGGTTGAAACCAATCTTATCAGCCCCAAGCACACACGCAGACGCAGAGTAACCAGTTTCTAGGTATTCTATAGGATGCATTTCGAAGTTATGTCTGCGCAAGAATTGGATACTTTTTTTTTAATTCCCATTAACATTGTACTTACATTGAAGTTTACATTGAACAACCGGTTGTTCGGCGGGTTTCAATGCTTTGTTTTCAATATTCCACACATTTAAAACAAACGGTTTCCTTCGTCTTTAATAATGCGTGCAACGAACGCACTGTGAGCGCCTTGGTATATACCTTCGTGTAACAAATCGCTCACAAAGAATACGAAACACTCACGTGCATCGTTTAAAAGTAAAAGTAAAGTTACAGCCTTTATTAGGGAGGGTTTTAGGGCAAGGAAGTGTCCGCCGCGCTGCCCCAATGTGTGTTGACGAACTTCACATGTCTTCGAAATATTTTTTTTCTTATTCCTCAGACATGCAGGTTTCCTCACGATGTTTTCCTTCACCGCCGCACGTGGTAAATCAGCACTTAAAATTGCATTTAACAATTTCATTGGTGCCGGCGGGGATCTAACCCGGGTTACTCGCGTTCTGTTATATTTACAGCGAGCGTTAACCATCTGAGCTACCACGGCTCACGTGCATCGTTTATTTTTCCTTAATATGTGCAAAACAAATGCGGGCAAGCATGCGCCTTTGCGTCGTATAATGGAACTGTATAACAAAAGCTTCTCCGATGTAGACTTATTTACCATGTCTCTACCTCAATTTAGAAAAGCTATAAAACTTGTATTAAATGACTTGTAATTTTCATTTTTATCTTTATTACTATTTTATGGTTTAAGACATTTATTTTCTTAAAAGATTTACAAATCACTTACAGAGAAAATACTTATTATAAAGAAAAAAAAAACATTAAACCGATTGGTGTAGTGAGCTAGTATTATAATAGGTCGCTAAATCTTATTTTCTAATTGAGTGCTTAATAATTTATTTAGTAATAATTACACATAAGTAAATAGGGTAGTTGCAAAAGTATTCGTACCAAAGCTAAGCAGACCACCGTCTCTTCGGTCAAAATTGAATGAATGTGGCGAGTTATTTGTTAAGGCCTATGTCACATTAACTATTTTATTGTGTTCAAAATTAATTTATAGTGTTACCTGTTACTGTTTGTGATCATCTTTTAAAACCATACTATATATAATACGACACTATAATTAGGTAGTGTTTCTTTATTTATAGTCAACCAAATCCAAGAAATACATTTTGACAGCTGTCAGACTTATTGCACCAAGCATGCCAACCAAAAAATGGGAACGCACATTATTCGATTCTTAAAAAAATCGATATCGATTATTTAGAGTTGGTAATCATTTACAGATTGCTTTGAATAAATTAAAAACGGATAATTTAAAACACAAGATTTATCAGTTTCTTCGTATTTGTTGTTACTGCTTATTTCTAGAAGCACAGTTATAAAAACTTAAGATTGAAACTCGATTAAAAATTAATTTATTCAATCACTTTCAGTACAACTAGTAGGGATGTCGTTGTTTATATTAATTATTATTTGATTTTCAATAATGCAGTCAAAATTAATGTCTCTTTCAGTCATCTATAATCATTTTTTGTTTTTTCTACCACTTTTGCCCAGTCATCCTTTGTGACATGGGCACATGCTTCAATGAATTTTTTTATAGCATTGGGTGACAAACGAGCACACAGTCCACCTGATGGTAAGTGGATGCTACGGCCCATAGACATACACATTTATCCTCGATTTAGAATCAAAATGCAAATGCGTTGTCACTCCTGAAGACAAAGATGGAATGCCTCGATTCCAGTAAAAAGGGTCTCCGGTTCTCTACACTCACCATATGAAACACATCAGAATTACGCTGCTATTTTACGCTGGTATTTTGTGAGAGCGTGGTCCTGCTTTAGTTGAGCCGACCCATTCGTGCTACTACTATAGTATAGATGTAGCGTGGCTCTAACACGTACAAAAAGTTATTATAGAACAAACAGTTCAAAAAGTTAAAGCCGAGTCACAAAATAAGAAGACACAAACACAAAATTATAAAATTACACACAGTAAGCTCTCGAAACAGAAACAAAACTTTTTTATTGAATATAGATTATGAATAACACTTATTGAAAGTCACTTTTTTCATTTACCACTGGTTCGCAAAAAAAACCTCTATCCTGAGAAGAACCAGCAAGATACTCAACGGGACTAGTTTAAAAAAATAAGAGCATACAATCATGCGTGTTACAATTAACAACACAAAACAAATTAGAAATAACTTGGTAGCGAGCACCCTTCCCAGGGGTTATTATCATCCATAAATTCCTCAATATTAAAATAACCTTTTTTATACAAACTCAGTTTAATAAAGTTTTTGAACTTTGTGTACTTACGTCAAATTTTGTATATTTTCTGGCATTTTGTTATAAAAGCGTATACATCGCCTCAAAAATGAATTACTGATTCTGTGGAGTCGAGTAAGTGGTACCGAAATGGCGGGATATTGAAATTATGTAGTGGTTATTTTAGCACGGCCTTGTATATGAGTTTTTTTCCTACAAAAATTTACTTTGACAAAGTGAAAAAAATAAACTTGTTTTATTCATGATTCATGTAATTTAAGGAATTTTGAAAATAAAAATTAAATTAAACAAATAATACATTAAAGAAATTAATTATTCGATTATTAGAATATTTTTACCGATTATTTGAATATTTTTCCGATTATTCGCATAACAATGAATTTTAATTTTTCAAACACTACGGATATATATATACATAGCGACATGTCATTGAAACGACGTCAAGTAAAAAAAGTTAATGCTAGTTATTTTTTAATATTTTGCTTTGTTTGAAAAATTCAAATTGAAATAAGTGATAAAAAACCATAAACGTTGTAATGAAATATAGATAACTTCATAATTCTTCGGATTTACGTAAAAGGTTATTTTAAATCGTGTGAGTACGCTTGTGCAAAGTTATTGCGGAATGATTAATGTAAAACGTCAAAAGGTATTTCTTAGATTTGGTTGACTATAGTATTTTATATATATTTAGGTATTAATTTGTTTGTAATAATATAAGTAGTGTTGCACATACGCATAATGCAACGTATATATATATATATATATACCTACACACACATACGTAAATACACATATATACACACATATAGGTATATACACAAATAAATGTATATACACAATTTATCTTGTGTCATATCTATAATCATACTGTGTATAAGTAATTGTATTGTATTATCTCTATACAACTATTTTATTGTAGATATTATTATTAAGGTTGCATGTGTACTTCATATATATAGATTAGAGATTTTTGATTATTATGTTATTGGTGGCTTTTCAGCAATTTCTTAAAAGTGGACAGGGATTTTGTTTCTTTAATGTTTTTAGGTAATTTGTTGTAGTGTTGAGCTCCCTCATAAAGAACACTCCTTTTTCCATAGTTTGTTCTATATAATCTCAAACATAGGTTATTAGCCTGCCTTGTCATACGTTACCATAAACGTATGTAATCTATCTTTTTTGTAAATGTTATTTGAGAGTGAGTAGTATTAGTAAGTATTTTCCTAATAAAAATGCATATTTTATATTTGTACGTTTGGGCTAGATTAAGTAATTTGGTTTCTTTATATATTTGAGTGTATTTGGTGGTGTGTGGTTTGGTGGAGTGTGTATGGTTTCTTTACATATTTGTATTTTCTAATATAATATAAATATATAAAGAAACATATATAATTTTATAACGTTAATCTAAATTGTTTAATTTTTTATAATACATGTGTAATATTTTAACGGCTAAGTATGAATTGTTGTCTCTAGTTTTTATTTCTATTTTTTGTTATTTTATTATATGTTTGTGTTCTCTGTGCCTTATAACTTTAATTAGTACGGTAATTTTGTGGATAACGGTGTAGGTTGCGTAATTAGTTTATCTATTTACATAAGATTTGAATTGTAATTTTTATTATACAACTGTTTGTTATCCTTAATAAAACAAAAAAAAAACAAATAAGTGTAATAATGTGTCGGCGTCTATCTATCAGTCCGATAACAAACTGGCATCTTCAAGGGAAGAGTGAATAGGTTTTTGAGACAATGAGACTTACAATCTAAGGCTTCATCACCACTTAGCGCCAGGTGGTATTTTAGTGCGAAAAAATAGTGATAGCACAGCGATTACATTCAACCGTCGTTACTTGAAAAAAGGCTTTTAGAAATTTATTCTAAGTAAACTGTTCACTTAAAATAATAATTTTAATTATAACTTACCCGACAATTCCATAACAGATGCGGGAATCGATCGACCAATCCCGCCAGCCATTTGTCTGCAACGCGTCGGATTTGTTTGTGGATGTGATTGAAGTTGACTAGAAGAAACTGAGCGTGGCCCTCGAGCTCGCGCTCTCTCGATTCATCCTTCACTTTGGCTGACATTACGTCCAGAAACTTCTGGAATACTTTATCGCCAACGCTGATCATAGTAAAAAAAATAATGGTTAAATATAATTTAACCACTGAGCTACCAAGGCTCTTAATTAAATATAATTAAGAGCCGTGGTAGCTCAGTGGTTAACGCTCGCTGTAAATATAACAGAACGCTAGTAACCCGGGTTCGATCCCCGCCGGCACCAATGAAATTGTTAATTGCAATTTTAAGTACTGATTTACCACGTGCTCAAAACATCTAAAACCTCTCTGAGGAATAAGAAAAAAAATATTTCGAAGACATGTGAAGTTTGTCAACACGCATTTGGGCAGCGCGGCGGACACTTCCTTGCCCTAAACCCTCTCAGAAATGAGGGGAGGCCTGAGCCCAGCAGTGGGACGTATATAGGCTGTAACTTTACTTTACTTACTTTAAATATAATTTGTTTTAATTTATATACTTTAATTATAAAATCAGTCAAAATATTATGATCCAAAAAATCCTAAATAAAATATGTCATTATATTAAAATCATTAACAACTACACCCAGCATATGTAAAATTCTAAAATATATATTATAATATGTCCATAGATACAAAACATTCCACGAATAAAAATCAATCGTTATCACCCCTGAGGACCAAGATGTAAGGAGGGGGAATGCTTTTTTACCAGTAAAAACTGTATCTAGTTCTCATCACTCACCAAATGGAACCCTATTTTAAACGGGTATATGATTTCCCGCTATAGCCATACTAAGCTACAGCAAGGCTTTATCATTGACATAAAGTTAAAATTAACCACCTACTTAAAGAAAAAGTTTGTCAATTCGAAATTCTTTTTCCATTTTCAAAACAAAAACATCCATAAAATTTTAACAGATTCTAAACTCAGGAACGTAACTACTTTTAAATTAAAAAAAATATATAAAATAAGTAAATATTATTAATATAAAATAAGTAAGTAATATAAATGTAAAATAAGTCTGTGAGAATTTTAATAGTTCAGGGTTTTAAATAAGCTGTTCACTTAAAATATAACGTACCTTGCCACGCATTGCCACATGCCGCTTTTGTCTTTTTGAAGGGCTGTATCACTTAAATACTCTATAATCGGCTGCAAGCTTGGCTCCGAAGAGTTGCACACCCTGAAAATACAAATTCTTCAATCAAATAAACCAATAACCAAATCTTAAACATAACGCCTTGTCAATAACTTATATAGGAGTATAATATTCTAGTACGTATTTCAATTTTTATAAATTTAATAATGCCATGTCGTAATTAGTAGCATCTGTAAGCAATCCAATCGCATGACTGTGTTAACGAATATGGCAAAATGAATACCATAGGCTGTTTCGTAAGGTTAATGTGGAGAATAAAAAATTGTACTGGAAACGAGATCCATTTTAGTCCTCAGGGGTGACAACGCATCTGCATTTTGATTGATTATCGAGGATAAATGTAGATGTCTACGTGGCACAGAATCCACTTAACATCAGGAGAACTGTGTGCTCGTTTGCTACTCTATTCTATAAACAATGTGTGCAGTTCACAAGCGGTAGAAGTGAAACTTTCAGAGAACTAAACTTCGAGAGTAGAAGAACTATCAGAAGAAGGCTTTATTTATTATTACCAAGTTTAAATATTATATTATATTATAGATAATAGGAAAGCCTGTATATGTATCTCATTCTCTCGCAGGCTTTTTTTTTGCGAACCAATGTTAAATGAAAGTGGCTTTCAATAAGTATTGTTATAATCTACATTGAATAAAAAAAGTTTCTGTTTCTGTTTCTGCCTAACTTTATAGATGTATATGTTAGTCTCTTTTTATTGTCGCTTTTTGTTTCACCGAGTATCAAGTCACAATGTTTCTAAAGAAGTTTTCACGTCAAAAAATTGAGAAAGATGCTGCTGGCTGCTGTATCAAGTTCTCTCTGGCGCCTTTAACGACACCTAAGGAATTGGGTGTCGTAAGAGAGAGGAGGATTTGGGTGTCGTAAGAGAGAGAAGGGATTAGTAGTGTATTCTCCTATGCCACTATAACACAGCGATATTATTTTAGAACGGGTATTTCGACGCGTGGCAATATTCACTATACACTATACAAGAAAAAAAAACATTTTGAAGACATGTGAAGTTCGCCAACACGCATTAGGGCAGCGCGGCGGACACTTCCTTGCCCTAAAAAGCCTCTCAGAAATGAGGGGAGGCCTGTGCCCAGCAGTGGGACGTATATAGGCTGTAACTTTACTTTTTACTTTACTTTACTATACATCGCGGAATGCTAAATAATATCTATTCAGGTGATAGAAAATATGAAAGACCTACTAATTAAAAACAAAATAATCAGTTCCGTTTCAAATCAATTGTTAATAGGCACTTACCTCAAAGTTTCCAACCAATAAACGCTCAGCAAGTACATACAGGGGGCAAATGTTAACTTATTAACAATGACAGTGACATCTGGCGGATGATCCAGCAGATTGAGTATCTGTGTCTTCAGCTCTTGCAACTCTGTGAGCGATACCGAATCGTTTCTTACAGCTGAAGTATACTGAAGCTCCCTCATTTCAGACCGTAATGACGTTTGTGAGACAAGGAAAGGTGACTTGACAGCTATCTCTTTCACACCCGCATACCACTCCTGTGGCCATAAACCTGTCAAAGTGTTGTGTTGTATATTTCTGACTTAATTTTTTACAGTACAATTTTTAGATGTTGATTTTAATGGCTCATATGTTTTACACAGTGAATAGGTATATATATAAAAAAAAAAAAAACATATATATATTTATAATCTATGTTTTTTAAGTATTCTTTATATTTCTTAATCAATAAAAATGAATAAAGTTAAGGTTTTAACATTTTAAAATAGCTGAGATAATATAAGTATTCAAAGAAATTATTTCGTTATATTCATTTTCAAGAACACTATAATTTAAGGCAAAAAACAAAAAAATATGTATAAAAAACTTCACTCACTCAAAGGGCAAAACTATATTACCAATTGCAAAAATCTATGCAAATTATAAGTCACTTGCATGGCATTCTAAAGCACACTCTTTCTTTAAATAAATTTGCATTACAAATTTTTACACAAAGTTATTCAAACTCTTTACAAACGTGCACTTTACTTAATGGGCAGGTTGCAGGGAATATTTTGAGATGGTGCTATATAAAAATATTTTATCCCATCCAAACCTTTTGCATTTTTTACCATGTTCGCAAAAATATGCGTACTTAAATTTAAAAAGAATACATGGTAAAAAGTTGTTAATAATTTAAATATATAACTAATGCATCATTGGATTTTAATGCGAAACGCTAGATTTTTCAATTGTTACGACATTTGAAACCTTTTTGTATATAGGAATAACGACTTAAAATAGCAGCATAAAGCGATTTTACTGAGGTAGGTAATAAAAAGCGCAGAACTAGAACGATGGAATCCATCTATCATGATTAATTTTTAAAGGTGACCTAGTCGTTGATTCTTTATCAAAGAAATGATATAAGATTTTGTTAGGATAAAAGTACTTTAACTGATTTAATTGTTTAATTATACTTATTTTAGAACCCTAAAATATACAAAATCATTATAGGTCTCTAGGAATGTTATTAAATTTTTAAAGTTGAAGTTACAGGCTACATACGTCCCACTGCTGGGCACAGGCCTCCTCTCATTTCTGAGGGGATTACATTAATTTTTAGTAATAATGAAAAGATAATGAATGTAATTTTATTATTATATCGCTAGTTTTGTCATAAAACTATAAAGCAAAGCAATAAGAAAGCATCTCTACTGAAAGGAAAATGTTAACAAAACTAATAGTTTAAAAAAATACCAATGTCAAATTATGTAAAACCAATAAGCTATAACTATACCAGACGTCACAAGTCATGTAAATAATCTGTACAAAATATAGCACCATATCAGTTCACTAATCACCATTAAAAAAAACCACGAACAACTATTTTCTAAAAGCATCATTTACTCACGCTTTCGAATGGCTACAGGCGTGGCCATAGAAGAAGAGACAACAAGATGTTTAAGTACGTCTATATAAACAGGATACAATAAATGTATTCAAAAGGCAGTAATAAATATAGGAGTGGATATGAGCTAAATTGAATCCAAAGATAATAAACATAGAGGTCAAATTAGAGCAATTTACATTGTGGGTCGAATTATAAGAATAAAAGGTATGTAAAAAGTTAAATTAATGAGATAGTCACCTGATTCAGCGGCTGTAAAGCCCATTACTACACAATAAAGCCAAAAATCTTTGAACAGTTTGTGTAGTCTTGGTTTAGGATTCTTTATGGGAGGTAATCTTTTGACAAGAACCTGTAACAAATAAAAATTACTATATACGATATAAAAAATAAAAATATAACCAGAAGCAGCATGACGGACAAACATATATAACTGACAGTGACGCACAGCGATGTACTATGGGACAAAACGATGCATTGTATCTCAAAAAACATTTATTTTCTTGACATGTTGAATAGAAATTTTGCATAAGAGTATTTCTGAATACTTATGCAATTGGATAATTACAACATCGCCACTTTAAAAACCTTATTTATCTAGTAAAAAATGACGAAACTAACATTTTGAACATTTTCATACAAAAAATAAATAAAAAAGAATGATTAAAATAGTTTTCAAAGGAATGCTATAACTAATACTGATTATATTTATCAAAACCATAGAATACTATAATACATACATAATAGAACGGGGGAGTGGGCGGAGCCCGTGTAGCCACCACGAACATGTCAATTCACACTTATAAATGTCAACACGAGATTTGTTTTGATGTTATAATCGTTTCCAATTTTCGTGTCAAGTGAGCATGCAAATTATTTAGAAAGTGCCAAATGGCACACTATTTACAAATAAATATGTATTAAAATTTAAAAGATTTTTTTAATGATGATCTTAAACATCAATCAAAAGTCGAAAATGTGTGAATTTACTCAGTCTGTCAAAACAGCGAATCGGGTTTGTAGTAGTGATAATACGACGTAATTGCTTGTATATATGCTCCCGGCGACAACGATTCTCGTACAAAATAAGGATAGACAGCCATTCTATTGTGTATTATAGTATTCTATGAGCGGAACAGATAAGAAATATGCAACATCGTTTTTGTAATACGTGTGGTTAATGTTTACCGCAAAAAATTCTTGTGAAAACATTTTCCCAAATATTAAATACCTACAATACTCGTATTTTGTGCTTACTTGTTAAATAAAAAGTATTTTATTGTAAACCAACAGTTACAAGTATTTTTTGTATCCACAAATATCATAAATAAGTAAAAATAACGAGTTTATTTTTTCCCTAGGTTGATATTTTTGCATCTAGTGTAATTCCTTGTATTATTGTACAGTTAACGAATCTAAAAATGTCATTAACTCCAAATCGGCAGCTATCCGCAACAAGGAAACATCAATTCGAAAATCAAAAAGATGGAAATTTTCCTTCTGACTTAAAAAAATAAAAATAAAAATATTTCTTATAAAAATATAACGTATTTGTAAACTAGAGATCCTGTGCAATCCAAAAATGTATGATACTTCTATATTTCCTTGAAGAATTTAGAAAATATCTTAAGTTGAACTTACCATACCATAATGAGTAATCTAATTAATATGAAATTATCGAAGTGCAAAGTTTGGGTGTAATTTTATTTACCTAAAACTCATTATAATTAATTATAATATTAATTTTTACTATTATATCGGATATCTCTATCTTCCCAGAATATAAAACAATTAAAACATTTTGTGTAACATGTCTTTTGTCTGAACAATTTTTGAGATGGAACCCGTCGTTTCATCCCATAGTGCGATGGAAGTCGTACGGCAGAGGAGTGCTGGTATGGCGAGGAGGCACTCGCCTTATCCTTCGCAACTCTAGTAAGGCCGCAACGCTGATGCGGTAGTGATAGGGCCGCGAGGTAAATGAATGTCAGTCGAATCAAGATGTGTAGGTATGCCTACCCTACGCAGCCGAAACGTGGTCGACGCCGGAGCAGACAAAGTGACTGTCATTTTGATGTCAACCATGGAGGTTAGAGAACATGAGAACGATCGCCGTAGAAAATAGTGTCCCAGAAATATGAACACTATAAGTGAGGCGCTGCGATCGCTAAGTTCGCTCAATAAAAGTCATTTTCAGTCTATTTTTCTGATCAGATGCTAAACCACTTGCACATCCACGCACAATAAAATATTTCTTTTTGTCAAAAATAAAAAAAAATTATGTAACATGAAAATTTTCTCACCAACGCCGCGGAGAAAATTTGTACATTATTCAACTAACTTCATCTACTTGTACTCATAAACAGCTAACTTCTCAGCCACTACTCACCGACGTCAGCGCCGCTATAAATTCTACAAATATTCAAGGACAGGCCGGCTATGCTTTAGTACGTAGCGATCGTTATCCTGTTCTCTAACCTCCATGATTTCAACGAAGGTAGCGAATAGGCCTCCGCATATACCGCTGGCTACAGCGTAACATACTCAGAGGATTCTGTTGCGTAGGTGGAAATGAATACCATGTAGCAAGACAAGCCTTGTGTTCCGTCTTTCCTGAAGAGGATGAAGGGGAGAAGATTTCTTCTCCTAAGGAAGGGCCGCTGTGACCCTGCTGATATGCGTGAAATACCTGGGATTTTAATCAGTGCGAAACTGACAAAACACGTTCTTGCTCGCGCAGTGTGACGTACTGCGCTGACGGGTGTGAGCACGATAATTTACATAAAGTATATGATAGTGATAGAAATACACAGAATGTGACGCACCGCGATGACAGGTATGAGCACGCCGAGGTTGCCCGCGCTGGAGGAGGCCTTGAGCACGGGCGCCGGCGAGCGGTCGGTGGCGCGCTCGCCGCCCAGCCCCAGTTGCACGAACAGCTCCAACAGCCGCGTAAGCAGCTCCAGGCGAGCACTCGTGCCGCGAACGTTCGCCGCGATGTTCGCGAGCGCGTTCAGCACAGCGCCCGATACGTGCCTGGTTCAACCGGAAAGATCGTTACACTATAGCAATCTCACGGAGAGTTAATACAGTTAACAAAATGGAGTCATGACCCAACATGACCCTATGTTGCACAGACAAACCAATACAGCTTAGAATTAATCCACTTGACATAAGATATACATCAATTTTATTTTGCATTTAACAAATTATTTTTCTTTACATTCTAAAAGATCACATGATTAAAAGTGTGTTATGAATTATAAAAAATGTAATTTTCAATCCAAATTGTAACAATCTTAATAAAAAGTTTAAAATCGATAAAAACCTCCCGTTGTTAACATTACTTCTATTATTTCGAAAGTCATAATTACAGAGCCGTGGTAGCTCAGATGGTTAGTGCTCGCTGTAAATTTCAAAGTACGCGTGCAAACCGGGTTCGATCCCCACCGGCACCAATGAAATTGTTAATTGCAATTTTAAGTGCTGATTTACCACGTGCTCGGCGATGAAGGAAAACATCGTAAGGAAACTTGGACGTCTGAGAAATAAGAAAAGCTTTAAATTTAACTTTTTCTTTCTCGAGCAGTTGCTAATAAAATACTGTAAAGGCAGTTCAATATTCCATTATGTCGACTAATCATGCACTACCCACACTAAGCTATTAAACGGCGCCGACCTCATCACATATCCTATACCTTTAAACGAGCAATTCTTGTATATATATATATATATATATATATATATATATATATATATATATATATATATATATAATCGGAATCTCGGAAACGGCTCTAACGATTTTCATAAAATTTAGTGTCCAGGGAGTTTCTGGACAGTAAATCGATCTAGCTAGGATTTATTTTTATAAAATTTCTTTTTGTCCGTGTTTTCAGGCAATGAAAAACTGCTACGATATAAGAAGGTAAATTTTGACACTGTGGTAATGATCGTAATAGCTCAAGTGGATATCGAGCGGTCGTGAAATCATAATGCCTTGGTTCGCGTCCCGTCTTGGCTCCGACTTTTTTTCCTTTGTTTTTTCAAGTTCCCTTCTTTTGTGAGAAAATCTATTATTTTGAGCACTTTTTTTAGTATTTTTTAAGAATATGAAAATTTTAATTAAACTAATTGCACTCATGTTTTTTTTTATTCAAATAACCAGTTCAGTTTTTTCTACTATGTCAATAAGATATTAAAGAAGAAAAAATATTATTCATGTAATTTGTATCTAAATGTAACTTTAAAAAAAACCGAGCAAAGCTCGGTTATCCGGGTACTAAGATAATAAATACCCAATCTGTAACTGACATATTTATTTGTAATTTAACTGTAGTTAAGTAATTAAACTCAATTTCTTCACACTCATGCGTGAATTTTATAGATTTTTTATATTTTATAGTATGGAGTGTAGAAACAAGGAGTACCAACTCCCATAGTAGAATAGTTGAAAAAGTGTCCATCTGTAAGCAGTAAATACCAGTTCAAAAACTCTGCGCAACAGCGCTGGAGTAGCTACTGGATGAAATGAACTTAGCAGTTGTCGACAGTTTAAGTGTGCGTTTATGTGTTATGTGCGTGTGTGTGTTTAAGTGTGCTGCTAAACTGCTCAGTAGCACTAAAATCTAAAATAATTTTATTTAGTAAATATAACTTCGAAAAAGTCGTCTATCCCACTAATATTTTTCGGTGCGTTCTTTAAAATTTAGCCCGTAGCTATAGTGGCGCCACCCTTATTTAACGGTTTTCTATAGACACTTTTTAATAGTCTGTACTCCTTACTTCTACACTCCATATTTTGTAGATTAATAAGAGCTAATAATCTACCGCTCACCAGATGTCGCAGGTTGAAACCGAGTTGAAGTTTTAGATGACACAATGTCATTTAATTGAGAAGTTAGTTTTAAATAAAAGTTTATCACTTTCTAGAGTATTATACTAATACACAAAACAATGCCTCGGTGGTTTTGCTTTTTAATTTTTTGTATACTTTTTTACTACTTTAGTACTATAAAGATTCACACATTTGGTATCAATCTAAAGATAATATCACTTACCTATACTGCTTTCTATCATCAGTGTGATGATAAGCGGCACTAGCTGCCTCTACAGTGATAACGGTGAACATCCGCATGATCTCGTCATGCGCCGATCCTTCGGGACTTGCGAGAGCCATACATCCTAACTGATCTACAATCAGCGTATCTAAAGACGACGGGGCTCGACATAATCTGCGAATAACGATAATATCTTTAACTATGTCAACGAATCGGTTTTACGTAAAAATTATAAGATATACCAAAAAAATCAATGTACGCCTATAAAATAATATATAACAATAAAATATACGATACTTTCAAACTTAAAGTTTAGTACTAATAAAACAACGAGAACGTTAACGATATTCCAGTGTTTTTTTAATGTTATGAGAATCAACACTAGACGGCGATAACGCAAAATTAAAAAAGAATTAAGATTATTCTGTACTTAAAAATATTTAACATGTAATAACTTTGAATAAAATCAATTTTTATGCAATTATTTTTTTATTTCCTTTGATTAAGAATTTATCAAGTTTAACCAAACTAAACTAAAATTTTAAAGTAGTGTGTCCGGTCACGGACTAGCGGCGATATTCTAGGTACATATATAACAACTATTTTAATACACAACCACACTACATACTGAAGTCTAATCCCCTTAGCCTCGATGTGACAGCCATTTTGTTTTTTTCTTGAGTTATTCTCTACGTGTGTACAAAAAAATCTTTCAAAGTCTTACTGAGATAAAAATAGTCTCATTCAGAGGGCAAAAATATTGTCTATCGTTTACATTACGAAAAAATGGGTTCACATACTCGTAACTTGAATTATTGTTGTTTGAACAAAGCCTATGCGCATACACAAAAGGCCTTTGTGTAGTGACATCTGGCACTGCCTGCTCTCGAATAGATGCAGTGACGTATCCCATTCAAGAGCAGGCCGGAAATATTGCAAGCTACTAGCGAAAAAAAAACAGACCTGCGTTGTGATCGCTACCTTCACTTATTGTCCTTGCTGTTTAGATGTTATATTACTGTTTATCGTTAAGAATGTGACAACAAATATGGAAAATCATCAATATTTAGCGCAACATATTGCCAACATACACTTCGTGTATGGCTTCTGCAATGGAAGTGCAAATCGAGCTGTACAAGAATATCGATCAAAGTACCCTAAACAGGCCTACACCGACGGCGTGCACTCGAGATTAGCGGAAAGGGGTATTCAAAGGGCTGTTAATGAACGCGCTCGTTTGATGACGAATGAAATCAATTCAATAAGTTTGAGGAAGATGAAGTAAAAATGCTTAGGCTAATAACCAGTGATCCCAGACTAAGCGTTCGATGGTAGTACTGGGCGTTTTATTCAGAAACACTTTTAAAAAACTGTTTGTCAAAGAAAAACGAACGAACAGTTTCTCGAAGATCCAACATTAGGTTTAAAACGAACGAAATGAATACAGTTCTACATTTCATTCTCGGAACTGTCTCAATCGCAAAACGTTTACAAACTACATGCTCGTTTGGTAGGTTCATGGGTTGGATCTAAGTTAATACACTATTACTATTGCTTTACGAACTATTGTCGTATAAACAGAAAACAGTTATAGTAACTACTTTTGATTTGATGTTACGATTAAAGGTAAAATAAATCTTATTTATATTTACACACAATTCAAATTTGGTTGTAGACGGTTGAACAAAAACGAACGGACCAAGTAAAAACGGTATCTTCGGCTTTCTCTTATTTTTTTATGTAACGGTCAGCTTGGTCAAACGTACGTTTTTTGTTTTAAAATTTAAATCAGTTTCAGTTTTCGTCAAGTAACGCTTGTCTACGCTTACTGTGTTAGCTAATTTCGAATTTGCAAAAAAGTGACTGTATATTTACGCGCGAAAAGTGTTTTATGTGATATATTGTATATATTAATTGTTTAATCGTTTTGTAATATACCGATAAAACCGATTTAATTTGTAAATATCTTTTGTTCTAATATTGTAGATAGTGTAAATAATGAAAACGTATATATAAAATGAGCTTTTAAATACGCTCGTAACATTTATCAGCCAGTCCTAAGCCTGGAAAAAGTATGAAGGGAAGTTCGCTTTATTATTTTGTAAACAAACATATGGTGAAGTCATTACGTAGTAGTACGTATTTCAAGTAAAAAAAAATGGCTGTCACATAGAGGGGAATGGGATTAGACTTCAATGTGTAGTATATATGTGTATTAAAATAATTGTAGTATAAGCACTTAGAATATTGCTACACACACACACACACACAATATATTTTAATAAATATGCAATACATAAGAAATCGTTACATAATAATTACATAAAGACAGGTATTTTAAACTTACCTTTGTTGGAAGAACTGTAGTATAGTGTCTGTCGTCTTTGGTGTATCTTTCAACGCTACAGCGACGTGACCCAACATAATTACTATATTTGTACTTATTAGAGACGATTCGCTGAAAAAAAAAGGAATAATTACTGTCCAATATGTTTTTGAAGCAAATTAGTATTATAAATACTACATCTGGGGACGCGCAGGAGGGATGGAAGCGACTATTATTGGTTGCAAATCCGCTTACATCGTGTCACAACATCTGATAAGATAGTGATAGATTTGAGTTTATGATAATTGGAAACCGAGTTACAGTTCTAAGCTGAAACAGCAGGGAGGGCCAACATTTGTGCAAAAATACAATTTGTTGGTGATCGAGTTTGAATGTGGGGGAACTTGTGGGATGCGTTGATATCTACAGGTACATAACATTTTATTTTGAATACAGTAACATTTTAAGTTGTTTATTGTAATCGGTTTTGAAAAGCACGTATAGCTGTTATGTCTTGCGTATTAGTTAGACATGTAAAATTTTATGATTATATCAAATTACAATTAGTTACTTCTACAAAATATAATATTATATGTCTTAATATAATATAATAATTACATTTATGTCTAAATATAATGATGCTGCAAAACTTCCGAAAGCTTTAAATTGTGTTATGTATGTAATGTTTCATTATTCATATATATGTTATAATTACACAATTTCTCGTTACTAAATAAAATACTATATAACAGAATCAGAGTAACCGACAAAGCCCAAGGGGAATAGGCCGGCTATGTATTTCGAAACTACGACCATGGCAAGCTGTACCGGTAACTAGAGTCAAGAGGTGTTCCTCATTACATGGAGTGACGATTTACTGAAACATACAGGGGGTCAATGGATGCCTGTGACTGTGACACAGGACTAATTTTGTGGCATTCCTTGCGGTAGACCTATGTTCAGCAGTGGACTAGAGAAGGGCTGCAATGACGATCGCAATGATGGTGAAGTAATACAGTTTATTAACAACAAATCAGCAAAACTTTTTTAAAGTAAAGTAACAGCCTTTATATTGGGTCCTTACATATGAAATTAGCGTTTTATCGTACTGACCACTTTGATCTGAAATATCTCCTCTTTGGTCAAGAATTCTAAATTCAAATTTATAAATTCATTTAGCTGGTACATTTGACTTTTGAAAACAGTCATTCATTTTTTTTTCCTCATTATCTTTTTCTTTGACGTCGCTTATTATCGCACAATGGAAAACATGAAATATCGGTATATTTAGGACTACGAGTTCTACCATGGCACCAGTGCTGCAGAAACAGCTTGAAGAAGTAATGATGTGTACGGCGCTGGTGTCGCAAAAGAAAGCACGGTACGGTTTTCGTTTCAACGTTTTCGTTCTGGAAATTTCGACCTTCAGAACCAACCCCGTGGACGGCCTTAGACCAAAGTGAAAAATGGAGAATTAAAGGCTATTGTGGAAGCGGAGCCATCACAAAGCACTTCAGAGATAGCTGCAGGCTTCAGGGTAAGTGATAAAACTGTATTAATTCACTAGAAGCAAATCGGAAAAAGAAAAAAACTTGAACAGTGGGTACCTCATGAATTGAGTGAATCGAACTTGCAAACACGCGTCGACTGCTGTGTTACTTTGCTCAACCGACACAAAAATGAAGGGATTTTAAATCGAATCATTACTTGTGATGAAAAGTGAATACTGTACGATAATCGGAAGGGTTCGTCGCAATGGCTGAACCTTGGAGACCCAGCCCAATCCTGCCCTAAACGAAAATTGACTCTAACTACTAGAAACACTAGAAAAAGACTTGTGAGTGTTTGATGGACTAGCGCCGGTGTCGTTCACTACAGCTTTCTAAAATCTGGCCAAACGATTACGGCAGATATCTATTATCAGCAAATGCAAACCATGAAAGAAGAACTAGCTCCTAAACAACCAAGATTGGTCAATCGCTTTAGGACACTGCAGCTTCACGACACCGCAAGACCACACACGGCACAACAAACAACCACTAAGTTAGATGAGCTAAAATTGGAATGTTTGGGACATCCACCGTACTCCCAGAACCTTGCTCCAACAGATTACCATTTTTTCCGAAAATTGGATAACTTTTTACAAGGAAAAAAATTCAACTCCGATGTGGCAGTCCAAACCGCCTTCAAAGAGTTAATTGATTCTCGCCCCCATGTTTTTTTTTAGTAAAGGGATCAATGAACTACTTATGAGATGGCAAAAGAGCATAGATAGCAACGGTGCATACTTTGATTAATTAAATATATGTCTGCCGCGTTGGTGTAGCGATTGTAGTAGTGCGGCTGCTGATCATGAGGTCTTGGGTTCGAATCCCGGGTCTTTGACAGAAAATTGAGATTTTCTGTCAAGAAATTCTCAATAGCTGCCCGGAGTCTTCCTGACAAAAAATCAATTATTGAGATTTTCTGTCAAGAAACTCTCAATAGCTGCCCGGAGTCAGGAAGTTGGCGGTGTCTCAACCCCGTGCCTCGGAAAGCACGTAAAGCCGTTGGTCCTGCGCCTGATCTCTCTCCGGTCGTGTCGGTTTACCGTCCCATCGGATTATGAGAGTGAGGGAATAGAGTGCGCTGCTGCGAGAGAGCTTGCGCATACACTTGGGCACTATAATCCTGTCCTGCGCCGATGGCTAGCCTCCGTTGAGGCAGACCGCCGTGGCCGAAATTCGGTCTGGAGGACATTATTATTATATTTAACAAAAAAATTTACTTTATATTCCTCCCGTACAAAACGCCAATTTCATATGTAAGGACCTATTATGTTTTACTGCTGGGCACAAGCGTATTACATTTCTCAGCCAATTTTGAAGCAAAGCAAAGTCACAGTCTACTTTAAAACAAGTTAATATCAATAATTACATATTTCATCAAATTAAAGTTGGTAAGAATTACTTCGCCCATATCCGCTCAATGAAATAAACTCGTGTAGAGGCGAAACACGTGTCGTATTATCGTCGATGGTGTGTCTTTCCTAGAACAGTGATGTTGAGAGTAGTGGTGCTGGGATTAGTGGTGACGGGATTAGTGCACGCAGTTGAGGGACGGCGGGAAGTGCTCTTTGAACTAGGTAAGACACATCATTTTATTTCATTGAGCGGATGTGTGCGAAGTAATTCTTACCAACTTTAATATAATAGATTTACGTAAAGTAACGCCTGATTCTATTGATTATTTGATCAAAATTCTCTACCTGTCACTGGTTTCAGCGGTAAACAGGCGATTGCTAACAGAACCGACGAGGGCTGGCACACAGTACGGGTCCATAGTCAACGCCGCCTCTAAAGCCACACAAAGGTTTTCTATCGCCGCGTCTCGAAGCTTCTCGAATGGCGTAGACTTTACTGGAACACCGGTAGATGTCATGCCTTGTAATTCTTTGCCTTGTACTGAAAATTTATGTCACTATAAAAAAATACTACTATATTAAGTCTTCATATTCAGTGATGGTGTAAAAAATACATCAGCTTATTCCTTCCCCAAGGTACGATAGAGTTATACTTTTAAGAGAATCTTTTACTTCATCCTGTGGGTGCCGTAGGAAGCGCATACGGGGAATACCTGGTAATTCCACCGCTTTAACACACGAGGTTATAACAATATCTTTTACACCAGTCGTAAAAAAAAGATGAGAAAGACCGTAAAAGGTGCAAGATTTCTAGTACTGGGATAGGCTATCTACCAGCAAAGCGTGGTCCCATATAAATTTAGAAAAAATTTCACCCCAAAGGTGGCAACATGGGGGATGAAGTTATTTGAAAATAATGCAAATATTTCGATGCCATTGACATTCTGATATTCCTTAGTTCACTAAAAAAAGTAAAAAAATTAACATTACTTTTTATTAAAATAAGAAGTCAAAGCCAACTTAAAAAAACTAAAAACCAAATTCTCATTCCGAAGTCGAAGGGTTTAATTCTTTTTAATCTTTTTAATTATTCTCCAATAAACTGTCTAAGCACTAACTTCATAATAATTTTATTATTTTTGGTTCCTTGAAGTAGGCTTTTAATTTTTATTAAAAGTTAACATTTTCTAAAAATCCTATTCGCAAAGTTGGAAGTTTTGGCGCTTTAATCTAGATGAATTATGATTTTTTTTCTAAAACTGAGATTTTCTTTACACTTATTTGATATGACACATTACAAGGCTAAGAAAAGTGGTTACCTATAGTTTAGGTGAGTATTGCAATGGTAAAGTTTCCACATGTACCCTAGTTAAAGTCAATAATTCGATCGAAATATCAATGCTAACTACAAAAACTTTTTAGTACATACACGTGACTTTCATATGTTCCTTTCCCGTTCTCTCCATTTCCAGTTTGTGTAACTTAAACAGTATGGGCGAAGGAGTAACCAGAAAGTCCCTCAGACAATATATAGAGGTGTTTGCTATCGAAGGGAACTTTGTCGCCAACTTTCCAAGGCCCTGTAATATTTTTAATGAAGGATTTGAAAAACGAAACAAAAAACGTCTCCACAACACAACACATTTAAAAAATACCTTATGTGTATGACTATACCGGGTGATCTTTTTGATATCGTCTGGAAAAAAATATAGAGTAGAACAGGTAAACGGAATAGAAACCACTGATATTTTATAATTTTTTTCTTTTACATTAACATATTATGAAATTGATCTATTATTTTTTTTATAGAAGAGGGGCGTATATACGAAGGCAAACGAGCATGTGGCTCACCTGATGTTAAGTGACAACCGCCGCCCATGATCAACCACAACACCAGGGGAATTGCAGGTGCGTTGCCGGTCCTTTAGAAAGGAGTAAGCTCTTTTCTTGAAGGTCCCCAGGTCGTATCGGTCCGGAAAAATCGCCGGTGGTAAACTATTCCACAGAGAGGTTGTACGCGGAAGAAAACTTCTTTTGAAACGTACAGTGGTGGACCGCCAAGCATCCAGATGGTGTGGATGGTATCGGGACGTTTGCCGCGTAGTGCGTTCACGAAATTTGGCGGCTGGGATTAATCCGAACAATTCCTCAGAGTACTCTCCATGGTATATGCGAAAGAAAATGCAAAGAGATGCAACATCTCTTCGCAGTGCCAGTGAATCGAGCCGATCGGAAAGCAGTCGGTCGTCGACGATTCGAGCCGCTCTGCGCTGGATGCGGTCAAGTGCAAGGAGCTGGTACTGGGGAGCCCCAGCTCAGAGATGGGAACAGTATTCCACCGAACCTGCACCTTGTAAAGTTGCAGGCGGTGTGCCGGCATGAAATACTGTCCCGCTCTGCTGAGCACGCCAAGCTTTTTAGAGGCCAATTTGGCCTTCTCTTCTAAGTGACCACGAAACTGCACGTCACTCGATGTCAACGCCGAGGATTCCGATACTGGCTGAGGCAACAAGGGGAGTGCCTTGATACTGAGGAGATAAGACAAAGGGGTTCTTTTTAGCGGTTAACGCGCAAACTTGTGTCTTCTGGGGGTTAAACTGGACTAGATTTAGTCGCCCCCAATCCGAGACTCTGTTCAGCAAAGACTCTACTTTAGACACAAGTTTGTCCCGGCACTCGGAGACGTTTTCCGTGTAAAGAGCATCACCAGTGCCGTCATCTGCATAGCAATGAATGTTACGGGTTTGCAACATATCATTGATATGCAGAAGAAACAGCGTTGGCGATAGCACGCAGCCTTGTGGAACACCAGCATTAATAGGCTTGCAATCGGAGCTTGCACTGTCTACAACGACCTTGATGCTCCGATCTGCAAGAAAGCTGGTGATCCAATCGCACAATTTCTCAGGAAGCCCATAGGAAGGGAGCTTCGAAAGAAGCGCTTTGCGCCAAACTTGATCGAAGGCCTTCGCAATGTCCAAACTAACGGCCAATGCCTCCCCTTGGACTCTACTGCCTCCGCCCATTTATGAGTTAGGTAGACCAGAAGATCACCAGCTGACCGACCACGGCGAAAACCGTAACGGTCACTAATCAGCTGATGATCCTCAAGGTACCTCATGAGCTGGCAGTTTACAATGGACTCCATTGTTTAAGAGAACAAGGAGGTGATAGCGATAGGCCGGTAGTTGGACGGGTCTGAGCGGTCGCCTTTTTTAGGGATCGGGTGGACGAAAGCCGTCTTCCATGATTTTGGAACTACGCCTAGGGAGTAGGAGTACCGGAAAAGACGCGTTAAAACCAGTGCCAACTCTGGAGCACACGTCCTTAGCACAATTGGGGGGATTCCGTCAGGCCCACTCGACTTGTGGATATCCAGGGAGATGAGTGCTTTGCGAACCGAGCGCTGCGTGAACTGCACTTCCGGCATAGAGCACTCACACCGCGGGATGGTCGGCGGCGTACTCCCCCCGTCATCGAGAGTCGAGTTGGACGCAAAGAAAGAGCCTAGAAGATCGGCTTTCTCCTTTGCGGTATGGGTCAGTGAGTCGTCCTCCCTGTGCAGAGATGGAAAAGATGGCTGACAGAAATTCCACTGGACAGCCTTGGCGAGAGACCAGAATGCACGGGTTCCAGAAAGAAGGCGAACTAGTTTCTCGCCAATTCTGCCAATGTGCTCTGACTTTGCCTTGGCAATGACTCTTGAAGGACCTAGAGGCGGAATTATACTTCTTTCTTAGAGCGCTGGTGTTTACATCCCGGGACGCTGATGCGTCAGCCCAGGCTTGGTAGCACTCCTGCTTATAGCATGGTGCTATTTTACAGGAGCGCCAAACCATGGTTGAGATTTGCCTCCAATGGGCACCACAGAGGAAGGAATAAAAAGTTCCATACCCTGAAGTACCACATCAGCGACAGAATCCGCAACAACGTTGGGATCGTCCGGCGAGAAGTAAACCCGCCCCCAAGGGCAGGATGCAAAGAAAGTTACCGCATCCCATCCCAATCGGCTGACCTATAGTGCCAAACACGGCGGCAGCCTGCAGAATGCAACTGCGATTTCAGCGTGAGTGGCACCACACTCCGGACAAGACAATGGTCCGAGGAGCCTAAAGGGGCGTCGACGGAAATCTGATATCCGTCCGGGTGAGAGGTAAGCAGAAGATCCAACAGGGAAGGTGCATGATCCTCCACATCTGGAATCCGCGTAGGCGAAGTAACCAGTTGTGTCAGACCATATGCCAATGCAAAATCATGAACAGATCTCCCCACATGATTGGTTAAACGTGAACCAAGCCATTCGGCGTGATGGGCGTTAAAGTCGTCGAGGATCACGATCTCTGCGGAGGGGATCTGCTGTAGCAACGAATCTGTAGCTATTTGGACGTGGTCGAAGAGTCGGTCTGTTCCGGCATTACCGCTATGGGACCTATAGAGGCACCCGTAGACGCGCGGATGTTCGTCGCTATCTACGCGTAGCCAAAGGATGGACAGGTCCGAACCTTCAAATCTGCCGAGGCGTCGAGAACAGATGTCCTCTCTGACGTAAACGCAAACTCCAGCCCGAGGCACAAAGTGGTGTTCCAGTTTGTACCCTGGGTAGGAGAGATACGAGACATCAGCCGGAGAGGACACCTGCATCTCGGTCAGAAAGAACAGAGCCGTTCTCGCCGTCTGGTAGTGGACGGCGTTTAGGTTAGAGTGAAGTCCCCTGATATTGCAGAAATTCACGGACAGCGTGGTAGGGGTCGCCTTGGTCTTGTTGCTCCGTTTGCCCCGAGAAGTTGTAGTCTTGAGCGGAATTTTGCCCCCCCCCCCCCCTCCCAGAATACGCGGGGCAGCCTGAGCACCCACGCTCAGATGTGGAGAAACATGGTCGTAGATGCTCAGCGAGGGATTCTCCAGGGGTGCTGGTACCCTCCTGGGGTAGTCTATCTTTCATCATTTAATTCCGCTACCATGTTGATGGGGGGGGGGGGATTTGGGCCTCAATCAAATGAATCAATCATCAATAAATATTACTAATTTTAACTAAACTTTCGGTACTTAAAAAGTAAAAACAAAAATATTGAACTAAATAAATAAATCAATTAGAAACCATCGAAATTTAAATAATACGCACCTAATCAGTAGTATTTATTCATAGATCAATTTCATAATATGTTAACGTAAAAAAAAATGTAAAATATCAGTGATATAGGCTTCTTCTACTCCGTTCACCTCTTCCAGCCTATTTTTTCCAGACGGTATAAAAGATCACATAGTATATTTTCTTAAAAAGAAAAAAGATGATGTGGATCTATAGATACTGTTTGATATACGTTTGGTATAAGAATCCACCACCCCATACATCCAATGGTTGTCATAAGCAGCAACACAGCGCAATGAAACAGATGGACAAGAGCATCTTCCTGATAACAACCAAAAATAATAAGAATTGCGCTTGCCAACCCGCTTGCCTAGCGTGGTAACTATGGTAAGTTTCCCCTATGAGGCAATCTATGGCCTTTGTACAGCATAGCACTTTTAATAGACTCGCAAGTTAAAATACGCTATCTATTCCCTCACTTTCATAGTCTAATGGCAAAGCAACTGACACGAGTGCGGTGAGAGATTTGGCACAGAAAAGGCTTTGTGTGCTTTAAGAGGCACGGGTGTGAATTAGCGCCAACTTCCTGACACCGAACCTCTACTAAGGATTTCTTAATTAAAAAAGTGCATTTAGCCCGACCCGGGTTCCAAACCCTGAACCACGTGATCAGCAATCGCGCATAAGTCGACTAGACCAACAAGGAAGTCTGTAAATGAGTACTAAGCATCCAAAGAGTATTATTTTTTAAAACTCCATTTACTGTCTTAATATTCATCTATTTATATCTGGATTCACTTACATTTTTAGCCAATATATAATTGTAACCTACAATATTTACTTCCTCTTCTGTCTTTATCTCCTCTAAACCTATTTTTGTAGTGTGTGGTAGTGCCACGCTGCAGCTATATTAGTTGTAGAATGAATGTGTCTGCTTGAGAAGTGTAGGGCCACGCTCTAACAGAATACCAGCTTAAGGCTGCTGTATTTCATGTGGTAAGTGTAGACGACCGGAGGCATTTTTTAATAGAAACGAGGCATTCCATCTTAGTTATATGGGGCAACAACGTATCTGCATTTGATACTTATTCGATGAATATCTAGGTGGTTATGAGCCACAACATCCACTTACAATCAGGGATGTATGCGTTTATCACCCATATTCTATTTTAAAAAAAAACTTAAAAATACTTTTTAATTAACTTTTAAAATATCAAGGGGGAAAAGAAAATAAAAACGTTACTAACTTCCAGACACACCATCAGTAACGGCATATGAGCTAATATCAATTTATGGTTATGATTGGAGTTAATCTTCTCAGTTAAGCGTCCGCATAAAGAGTCGGCACCTAAAAACAGGCAAAGGCATCAAAATAGAACATTTTATAATATCTACTTCTATGGGAAAGTATTTTGAACTCTCAAATGAAGGTTAGTTTATGAAATCTGTGACTATTATAAGGGTCTGAACACACGAATAATTCTAATATAATATTTAGATATTCCAATAATTTAGATCTCTAGTTTCTATATACCCTTCAAACTAAACGCTTATACGGTAAAATAAAAGAGTAGAGAATAGTATAAGGTCGGGGAAAAAGTTTCTTCACATTTCATATACAAATTCAAGACATTTCTTTTTAAAAGTTTAATTACATTTAATTATAATATATATGTGCCATTTTGTTCGATAACTTGTTTCCATCTTGTAGGTAGTGACATAAACCAGTTGCTGTAGAAATCTTGAGATTTTTGGTCAAAAAATACGACAAGTAGTTTTTTCAGTCCTCTCTTGATGTTAACCTAACCTTACCCAAAGATTTCTGAAGAGACTGGTGAAAATCTGAGGGTGCAAGGTTAGCCCTGCTATATGGTGGACGCATTTAACACTTCCCAACCAAGCTCTCTTAATTTTTGCTGATTGGTCAAAGATGTGTGTGGTTTGGCGTAACCAAATCGCGTTAACTAAACGTGAAAGACTACTCCTTTTCTGTTGATCAATTCCGGCCGTTTTTTTTTTCAATTTCTTGCTTGAGTCTCATTAGTTGTTGGCAGTAGAGATCCGAATTGATGGTCTTGCCCGGCAGCAAAAGCTCCTAATAAACGATGCCCTTTCAATCCCACCATACACATAACAACACCTTATTGCGTGTTGATCCGGGTTTCGCTACAGTCTGTGGAGCTTGACTACCCTCAGAACATGATCTTTTTCGCACGTTATTGGCGTAGGTGATCCACTCTTCGTCACCAGTGATCAATCGTTTCATTACGTTTCAATAGAGAATCGCAAATGAGTACACGCTTCATTACTTTTATTTTACAATGCCAGCCAGACGTTTTCAAAAGATCAAAACTGTTTTATGGTTAATCCTCTATTCCTGGGCTATGTCGTAACTACTAAGCTACTAACATGCCGATCTTGCTCCACTTTTTCAAAAATGGCATCGACTTTACCTCTCCTGAGTTTTTTCCTTGATATCAAAATTCCCGAACTGAAAACGCTTGAACATACTATCTGCTACTCTTATTGACAATATTTTTTTGCGGGTATCAAATTTCTTTGTTAAATAATAATTTTTCTTTTTATTAATGTCTAAAACCAGCCAGATAAATGTTTAGTGTTCGCGTAAATATAAGAAATCATTTATTATACTAAAGTTAAGTATCAAAACAAAATTATTCGTGTGTAAAGACAAAATTTGTATGACTACTGGTAACGATAATGTTATTTAAAGGTTACTCGTACTTCTATTACTTTTATTTAAAATTCCGCTGTCAAGAACAAGGAACCTTCATAAATATGTTCTGTCTATCACTTCAAATGTGACACTGCATTATAAATTTTAATGTTTTTGATCAAATTACATAAAAGTTGAGGATTATTTTCATTGATCGCTTACCGGATGCATTCTGGTGGTGGGGATTTTCTAAATTACATGCCGTAAGGCCCGCATTCGAGAAAAGATTTGCATTCGTCGATATTTGAGGTGAGAGAGATTTCTAAACTACTTTCATTCGGAACTTGTAGATTATGCGAGGACCTACAAACCATATTTACCAGTTGCTTCGTGTGCATAGTCAGCACGCATGATACGTATAACTGAGGTAAGAGATTAAGCAAAAAGAGGGAGTCACATTATGTGCGGAGAGTTGACACCCGTCAACTCTCCGCACTCCCGAATGCTTGATATCGGCTGGTAAAATTCATTGGTGGTTACCCTGCATGTGGGAACTGCGTTATTGATCTCCTAATTAAATTAGTGCTTTTCCAGCTTGCTCGCTTACTTTTATCACTTTTATCACCGAATAATCGACCAATGAAAATAATTACGTCAAACAAGGTATTGGCAACACTCGTAGATAGTGTTGTAGTTTTACTTTATTATAAAATAAAATAAAAATGCCCACAATACCACCAGAGGTAAGGCCCGGGGCATAGTGAGTCTAAAGCAATTAGGAAATAAGGTTCATTGTTATATGGTAAAAGTATGTATGATTGTTAGTCATAAGGGGCAACTCACACCCACATATATGTAGAGATACCTATTAATATTGCTAGGGCGTTTATAAGAGCCGGTACATCATAGTCCTCATCAACTGTAACATTATATGAAATATTGCTTACATTTATAAATAATATTACAAAGTGTATGTACCTAATTCGAGGTGCCTTTTGTTTTTTAATGAAACCTTCAAAAAGGAAAAAATACTATTTGTTACGGATATATATTTAGATATAATATGATTGTTGATATAAACGGGAAACTCCTAAGTCAAATAAAAAGTAATGATAAAAACGACAGTGTATCTATCGATATATTATGTGTTAGCTTTTAGTAATACTAAGTTATGATAAGTATTCAATTAGCTATAATATAATACTAGAATTTATTATTAAACAAAATTTACAAATTAATATGGAGTATAAAGTAAGGTGTTAGAGAAAAGAACTGCAGGAAGAAATTTTATTAGGCGTTATATTTAATAGAATATCTTGCTGGGAGTTTTCTGCTATCTTATTTCTATGTGGATATGACATTTAAAAAATTATTCCCAAAAATGTTAGTAAAGTAATAAATATTTTAAAAGTTAATAAAATTATCTCCTTTATGTAAATTTTGTGTAATAATTATATAAATTTCAGCACACCAAAAATAATTTTGTCATTATTACAAAAAAATTTAGAGGTACCTTTTGGTGTACAATAAGGTGTCAAATTTTAGATATTCACGAGAATAGAGAATTTTATTTACGAGGGGAGGTCAAAAAGTTAGCGGATTGGCGGGGTTGGCGAGGGTGAGTTTACTCATTCACATAGGCTCTAGTTGATTGACTCATTGTTAGTATATATACCAAGTTTCAGCCTAATCCGGTCATTAGCTTCCGGTCGTTAACAACGATTAAACAAGACAATGGGGAAGAAACTAGCCACTATGAAAAAAATTAAATATCGCGCCGTCATTAAGTTTCTCACCAAACAACGAAAGACACCGCAAATCATTTCTTAAAATTTCAACTGTTTATGGGGACTCCGCTCCTGGAAATATCATGATTTATAAATGTCACGCACTCTTCAAACAAGGGAGTGACTCCGTTGAAGACGATCCCCAACCTGGACGGCCGATTGAGGCTACCACGCCAGAAATAATCGAAAATGTTGAAAAACTTGTATCGGAAGACGCCCGAAGAAAAACAGCTTGCAGCATAATAGTATCAACAACATTAACACAAACTTTAATATAGGAATGAATGGAGGAATAGGGTTTTTACATCATTTAAAAAAAAATAAAAAATATATATTTATGATAAGATTTTGTAAAAAGTAAATGAGAATATTGATTTTAAAATTGCATTATAAATTTTATATTTCAATTTTAAGAATATTTTTTTTTGGGTGGGCCTCAAACCTGCAAAAAGCTGTCCACCATATTATATACTGTCGTGACATCACTGATCCGGCCTAAGGGTATTTATTAGTGTTCAGTGTCACTGATTAAGTGACAAATGTGTTGTGTTATTTCAAAAAATTTCAAGTTATCATTACGATTATTGAGTTTTATTCCGAATTTTATTGAAAAGGCATCATGGAAGACGAATCCGTAAAAGCAGAAAACACTAATCTACCAAGGATAAATAAATCGACGGTGGCAAAATTTTTTGCATGCAATCCCGATTTTTACTCTACTGAGTGCAGGAATGTTAAAACATCAATGTAAGTACCTATTACAAACTATTGTTTAAGTATACAAAAACACAATACCAGGTCAGAGTGTATTTTCATAAAACATAGTTTAGTAGCTATCATATAGTTTAGTTTATCTATAATTACAATCATTAGTTATAATATCTAAGTTATCGTAATTTTTTTAAGTATTACAAAATTTGACTTGCGATACCCTTCACCGCAAGATGTTTTGTTTTGTATCAACGATAGTTTATAAGTCATACTTACATCAAAATGATCTTCACAGAATCTAAGTCTAGTTTTTGTAGATAATGTGTTCGGGTATCTTCTTGCCAGTTTTAACCAAAAAAGTATCCTATTCCTTTGCAAAATCGGTAAAATTCGAAGACATTGACGTCACGAGTTGAGCAGCATGGCTAGCGTTTTCACGCGAAAATTTAAAACGATAGATTAATAGTAATTTTTACGGCACTATTTAAAAAAAATATATAAAAATAATAGTGGTTCATTATCACTATAGGATTCATTTAAAACACTTTTTGAAAATGCCCTGAAATATTGTGAATGCAATGAAACTTGCGTTCATCATTATGAACCTGAGTTATAGCAAGAGTCGATGTAATGGCATAAAAAAGGCTCACCCCCACCTGAGTATAAGGTGTCACAATCGGCCGGAAAGACCATGGCGACGATCTTTTGGGATACAGAAGGTATCCTTTTGATTGATTATAAGGAACGTGATGTTTCCATAACGGGAGAATACTACGCTTCTTAACTAGATCAATTAAAAGAAGCTATTAAAGAAAAAAGGCAAGGAAAGCTTATAAAAGGCGTGCTCCTTTTGCACGACAATGCACATGTGCACACAAGCCATGTTGCGACGGCTGCCATTCACCGGTGCGGTTTTGAACAACTGCGCCACCCAAACAAAATCCCAGACCTGGCTCCAAGCGACTGTTATTTGTTTCCAAAAATGAAGAAAGAACTGCGTGGCAAAAATTTGGCGACGATGATGTAGTGAAGAAAATTAGGGTTAAGGGAGAATACATTGAAGAAGAAAAATAATGTTTCATTTCATTATCCTTCCCATTCAATCTGCGAACTTTTTGACCTCCCGTCGTATATAGCTTCAGCAATGATGTCACATTTATACACACTTCAGTGCGCCATCCAAATATGTTCATCGTCAAAATATGGTAGCAATAACCACTGAGTTAACATGTTTGTTGATCTAACATTAAATATACAGAGCTATTTTGCAATAACCGGCTAAATTCGCAGAGAAGGTTCAGAATAAGTAATATAGGCAAATGGTGAAGAAAAATAATAAAAAAAAATCAAACATTCTGTCCTTTTTATTTTTTAAATTTAAAGTGTGCGGTAATGCATTGTTTTATCTGATTTGACTGAGCATGTTCTTGCCTATAAATCACATTCAATTTGGGATAATTTCATATAAAAGTAGATGCCTTATTTACTCGTATTTTCAAAAACTGCAATATCGGTAAAACATTATTTATATATTTGAACTTAAGTTTAATATTTGGCTACTCTTTGAAAAATAACCCCGTATAGTTAAGGCTACGGTCTCCTATTAAATGCTATACGCGACGTCCGACTTCAGCGTAAACGTTCCGATCGGCGTCTGAACGCCAGACACAGCGTCAGCGGTCAATACAAATCTTACAAACGGACGACGTCTAGACTTTCGATCGAGCAACAATTAAGTAGCCGACAGTGCTCACGTGTGGTTGTGTGTCATATTTATACATAAAATGGACATAAATTCAATGCTTTTGGGGCACTTGTGTTACTTCAAGAAGAGGCACAAGGCGACCGTATACGAAGAAAAATAAATGCAACAAGGCACCGATTATTTATGAAGAGATATGAAGAAGGATGTTTCCAGCTATTGATAATAAAGCACTTAAAAGACAGCAATTCTAAATTTACTGAATATTTTCGTATTAATCAGGAACAATTTAAATATAATAGTAATACAGTAACTCGTCTTTTTCTTTATTAAATTTTGTCATTTTGTACTGACGCTAGACACGACTTTCACGCTGCAATGGTTCGAAATAACTAGAGACGCAGCGCAAAGCGTCTTAACGCCGCCTACGACGTCCATACGCCGACATCAGCTTGTGAAAGAGAAAACAACAGTACATTTCTATAGTAAGCATCGTAACGCGGCGTACGGCGTGACGCTGTAAGCGGCTGATGGCGTTTATAGGAGACCACCGCTTAAAAGAAATTCGTGAGTAAATTTAGTACTTTATCACAAATTACCTGTTTCATCACCAATAGCCCAAACTAACAAGTCGACGCAAGCCGAGTTAGCCATAACATTTACTTTAAACTTGTTCACTGTAGCGAAATTGCTCTCCCTATCTTCCTTCTCAGAGGCGTCGTGATGACGACTTTGCAATTCGGTCTGACCACTGAGGAATAAACACTTCACGAACTCCTGTAAAAGTAATTCAATTATAATTTAGGATGAGAAAGATATTAAATGCAAATAGTTTGAAAATTAATGAAGTTTGCAAGTAAGTAGCATTTATTTATATAATATGGGTGACAAACGAGCACACAGTCCACCTAATGGTAAGAGGATGCTGTGGCCCATAGACATCTACATTTATCCTCGATTAAGATTCAAAAACGCAGATGTATTGTCACCCCTGAGGACAAAGATGGAATGCCTTGTTTCCAGTAAAAAAGGGTCTCCGGATCTCTACACTCACCATACGAAACACAGCAGTATTAAGCTACTATTTTACGCTGCTAGTCTGTGAGAGCGTGGTGCTTCCCCTGTCGAGCCGACCCATTCGTGCTACAACCATAATATAGTTGCAGCGTGGCTCTACCAGGTATAAAGCATAGTACTGGAGCATTGGAGACTCCTTCTCATCATCTCAATTATGTGTTTTGTGCACAATTTCCGAATGTAAGGCATTTCATCTTAATCCTCAAATTAATAATGCATCGAAGCCTTTTTTAATTGAAATATGTCAAAGGTGATCATAGTATGCCATTTACCATGAGATGAGATATTAGCTCGACTAATTATTCTCTCGATAAAAATTTTATATCTCCCACTAATTGTTATTTCGATTGTTTATATTTTGAATCATTCATTGAATACAGCCTCTAAAAAGTCCACTTTATAAAGGTGGGTCTACGCTAGAGAAGCCAAGCACGAGCTGAGCCGCTCTACTCGCGGTGTCAAATGTGGACGTACAACGAGCCCACAACATGCAAATCGATGCATGCGATGCAAATCCCTTTGTGTTCGTCAAAAAACCGACAATAAGCGAAGCACAGTCGAGCATAAACCGAACGCTCGAAGCGCGCTCGTTCGAGGCTTGTGAGTCGGTCCACACTACACGAATTTGTGCTCGGCTCATGCTCCGCTTTGCTCGGCTCGTCTAGCGTAGACCCATCTTAACGTAGGCCTCTACCATAAATTGCGTCATAAGACGAAGATATTTACAATAGTTGCCAGATTTGGCAGGCGGAATGGTAACCGCAGCTTTTTATTAGTTTGAGTTTTCTGTCTTTCGTTTCATTTCTCTCCGCCGCCTCTTACAACATGATATAAGGAAGTGGATTCTCTTACACGATAATTACAAGGCAATTTAAATATATTAAAAAATTTGTACAACCGACTTCAATATGAATAAAATGAGAACATCATTTTCGACTAAGGAATCTAGCCACTGGTTACAAGCTCTACCATCAACTAATCTCGGCACATTGCTTGATGGGGAGAGCTTGCGCATCGCCGTAGGAATCCGCCTTGGAGCGGCAATCTGTCAACCTCACCAGTGCCCCTGTGGTAGCAGCGTCGATGAGTTTGGGCTCCATGGACTTTCATGCAAGAATAGTGAAGGTAGGTTTTCCCGTCACGGTTCTTTAAACGTAGTCATCCGAAGGGCTCTTGTCTTCATAAATATCCCCTCGGTTTTAGAGCCTTGCGGGATATTTAGAGACGATGGAAAGAGACCCGACGGTATGACTTTGGTCCCTTGAGAGAGAGGTAAAGCCCTAGTACGGGATGCTACTTCCGTAGACACTCTGGCGGCCTCTCATCTCAAGGGTACCTCTTTTAGAGCCGGGGCGGCATCAGAGGCAGCCGAATTTAGCAAATGGCGCAAATATGAGTCTTTGAGAAATGATTACATATTTGTGCCATTTACTGTAGAGACTATCGGTCCGTGGGGCCCACGTGCAGTGAAGTTCCTAAAGGAACTGTATTCCACGGCTTGTCGTCGCTGCTGGTGATAAGAGGGTTGGTTCTTTCCTCGCTCAAAGGCTAAGTATAGCTATACAGTGAGGAAACGCAGCCAGCGTTCTTGCCACTATACCACGGGGAGCAGGACTTTTTGACAATTTAAATTTTTAGTGTTAGTTTTTCTATATTATAATAATTCTTTTTTATATTGTGTATAATTAATATTAATTGTAAATATTATAACTTTAATTATTATTTTTATTTAATGTTACGTTATTAAAATAATAAATGTCTAGTTGTAGTTAGACAAAACATTGTATACCAAGAACATCAATGTAGTCGAAGTCAAATTATTAAGGATAACTCCAAAACTACTGGTCAGATCTTGATCAAATTTATATGGAAACACAATCATCAAAATCGGTTCATCGAAAAAAGTTCTAAGGTAACACACGGTGAAAAAAGAAAAAAAATATAGAGTCGAATTGAGTACCTCCTCCTTTCTTGAAGTGGGTTAAAATTGTTTTAAAATGAATTTATGGTATTTAGATATCTAGTAGTATGAGAAATCTTGAGGCTCTCAGCGAGTTATGGAGAAAGCTATGCAGTATGTTTGGAGATTCTCTGCGTGATTGTATTCGCAATAAAGATATCCGCAGTAGAACCAGAGTAGGCGACACAGCCCAACGGATCAGTAAGCTGAAGCTGCAATGGGCCGGCCATATAGTTGAAACAACCAAAAACTGTGTTTAATTGTATTCAGTAGTTAACTTGTAAATGGTTCACGCATCCTCTTCATACTATACATCTATAAATACACTTCACATATACTAGGCTGCAAAAGTATCGGGAATGGAATATTTCCACTGTTCCTGTCATATTATAATCTTTTTAATTGAAAACTCCTTGGTTTTAAAAATCGAATACTATTTATTTATTTAAAAAAAAGATTCTCGGTCTTGTCACAAGGTTTTCTCAAACTTGTTTAGTCGTTGAGAAAATGGAATTGACTTGAGAAAATTCAAGAGCGATGATTTATTATGACTATCGAAGTGGTTTAACACAAAAACGGTGTGTTGACCGGATGGTTTCTGCATTTGGTGATGAAGCCCCATCCAAAACCACAATTTATCGCTGGTTTGCTGAATTTCAACGTGAACGTGTCAAGCTCAGTGATGATCCCCATCAAGGTCGTCCAAAAACTGCAGTCACTCAAGAAAACGTTGATGCTGTGCGTAAGCTGATTGAGGAAGATCGACATGTGACATACCGCAAAATTCAGGCAACTTTAGACATTGGCATGAGTCAAATACAAATAATCTTGCATGAACAATTAGGCGTAAAAAAGTTGTTTTCCCGATGGATACCGCATTCGCTCTGTGAAGAGCAAAAAAGCGGCTCGCAGTACTTGGTGCGTCAGAACTCTCGAAAGATTCCACGCAGGATCCTCAAATGCTGTATACAACATCGTATCAGGTGACGAATCCTGGATATACGCGTATGAACCCGAAACAAAAAAATAGTCACGAGTTCGGGTGTTCGAAAATGAGTTAAAGCCAACAAAAATTGTTCGTTGACGGAGTGTTGCAAAAAAAAATGGTGGGCACGTTTGTCTCCAAAACCGGTCATGTTACGACTATTCCTCTTGAGGGACAAAGAACGATTAATGCAGAATGGTATGCTAGCATTCGTTTGCCACAGGTCGTTTCTGAACTCCGTAAAGAGAACTGCAACCGCCGCATCATCCTCCATCACGACAATGCGAGTTCTCACACCGCACACAGAACAAAAGAGTATTTAGAGCAAGAAAACATAGAATTATTAGACCATCCGCCGTACAGCCCCGATCTAAGCCCTAATGATTTCTATACTTTCCCTAAAATAAAGAATAAATTGCATGGACAGAGATTTTCATCACCTGAAGAAGCTGTGGACGCCTACAAAACGGCCATTTTGGAGACCCCAACTTCCGAATGGAATGGTTGCTTTAATGATTTGGTTCCATCGTATGGAAAAATGTGTCAAATTTCGCGGAGAATACTTCGAAAAGCAATAAATACATTTTTAAATAGTAATGTTGTGTCACTTCCTTGATTCCCGAAATTTTCAGTGCCGCCCTCGTACTTTATACACATACCTCACTTAGCATTTAATAATAATCCATGTGAAAAACAAAACCACCCAATACAAGCATTTTACATGCTTACTGGATGGTTATGCCCACGGCATAAAACTGTTACAAAACAATGATAAATGAAAAAACAAATTAAGGAAATAAACTATTTAGATTTTTTTTAATCAGCATATCCTGTGCAAATAAAATATCATTCAATTTTAAAATGTTTGCAATAATGATAATGATGGATGACACGTCTATATGGCTTAACAAACGAATAAAGTCAATATCACACTTTCTAGATAATGACCCTTGAATTTCTAGGTTTCATACATTAAAATATCTCGTATTGTTGTTCCGGATTAGCAAAAATAATAAAGGCTATAAATAAATTACCTGAACATCTTTCGTAAATGGACCTGGTAGGTCTTTTTGATGTTGTAATATTTCCCGCAGCAAAGTAACCATTACCAAATTAAGCGTTTCTGAAAAAGATTTGTACGGGAACACCTGAAAATAAATTAATCTTTTAACATATATACATACATAGATGGGTCCAGGGTTTTAATTCCAGGTCGTGTAGAAAAAATGTTAATTTTTCTGTTAAGAAATTTTCAGTAACAGCCCGGAGTCGAGGCGAGAAATCGAGGCGTTTCACCCTCGTGTTTCGGAAAACATGTTGATGAACAAGATGTTGGTCCTGTGCCCGACTTTTCACTGGATGTGTCGGTTTGCCGTCCAATCGAACTATGAGAGTGAGGAAATGGAGAGTGAACGCGCATTCACTCAGTTTTTTTTAAATTATTTTAAGTTATCAGGAAGATGCTGCTGCTCATTTACCGTTTCATTTTCCTCCGTCGCGTCTTATGATGGACGGGACATATACATATTATGTCATTATTGTAAGAAATACATTTTGCTTAATTTACTTTAGCTCAAGCCATAACAAAAACTACTATGCAGGTTACTCCATATTATAAATATATGAAAAAAAAATCACTTTTCCATCATCTGCCAGATATAGGTATTTTCAAGATTTGCCAGCAGGCGGGTAAACGCAGAGCCGTGATTGTCACAACGGCAATGATTCATCACTAGTATGTACTAGTAAGGTATAGTCTGTTTGCTAAAATAGTATCGGTTCACCCGGAGGTGCACTTATTATTTCGCTCTTATTTTATTATTTTTACTGTTTGAAATAAATGTTCTTTTTTATTTTAAGAATAAAATAGAACATAATTTTATTCTTATGCTTATTGTAATAAAGTATGAATACTAATAATAAACACAAGTAAAGAACCTTTCACTGATGCACTTCGTTTTAAAATGCCAAATTCTCCTGCGGGTGTACGCCGCACGCGGCGTCCTGTGATTTCGCGGCGGCGCCTTATACAAAATGCGGCAGGTGTCAAGGCGCCGCGACAAAAAGGCGACCGTAAATAAGCGAACAAACTATAATGTTATATGAGCCTGGTATTTTCGAACAGATATACCCCTTATGTCGGTTACCAGTTTTGTAATTTGGCAAAGTTGGAATTGGGAAAAGAAATCATTACATCCCTTTTTCAATAAATTAAAGCGACATAGGAAACTACAGACCACCTGAAAGTAAATGGCTACTGTAGCCGATTTACATCCGCAACCAACTTAACTTCCCATACACCCTTCAATATTATAAAGATTTCACCTTACACTAGATAAAAAATACCTGAATTTGTGCCGATGCGTAAATATCTTCAGCCTCTTCATCTAAAAACGCCAAGAGATCTTTGGTCAGCAGTTTCTTCGCCAAAGACAAAATACACTGCAGGTATGTGACATAGAATTGAACATTAATTCTCTTTTCTGGAGATTCAGAAAACCGCATATATGGAAATTGATTGAAACTCGATCCAAACTTGTGGAAGAAATACGTCGTAGGGTCATATGGCACGGAGCTATAACTATGAAGAGACGATCTCTTCAGTGTACCACCTGAGCTGTCGGTTGCGTCAGTACCATTCTCCATATTCTCATTATTTGGATTTAAATTCCCTGATAGGGAGCGTGGTATAATTGGACGAAACTGGTTAAACTTCCTCTTCTTGTCCAATGTGGAATACTCGAAAGTGGGTTCAGGTTCTTTGGTTTTCACTGGACTTGGCGGCTGAGGAAACAGGCGGCAAAGTAATGGAGGATCAACTGTCGCATATCGCCCCATAGAACGCGCCAAGCCGATCAATATTGGTATGGTACTTTTGCAGAGTTGTAATTTCGATATTGTATCTTTATAATCTTTGCTTTCATAACAACTGATAATGATCTTTGTTAGGTTAGACATTAACTCTATCTGCGCTGTGATAATCTCCTCGCGTAGTGAGGGCTGTTTTGAGGCAACATCAGAAAGCAATGTGTTAAGGCAGAAACTAAATTTTTCCGCCATTGGTATACCTGAAAAAGAAGTTTGTTTAATTTTAAATTTTTATTCTTAGCTTATATAATGGGTTCTTCTTTAACCTTTATGGCTGCGCTAGTCAGTCATTTTTTCATACAAACGTAGGACACCCTCCTTTTCTATCCTATTCATTACACAACCGTTAGATAAAGTATGTCCAAATATTTGCATATATCTCGAGGTATCGACTTCTGTCGTTTTTTCAAGGTTTGGACATAAAAAGAACAGTAAAAAAGTTTTTAAAAGTTAGAGGCCTGGACCATATTTTAACATTAAGATTTCAGAAGTTCCACTTTAATTCGATCCTCTGACTGACGTCCGGGATATCATCGGAATAGTGTCGGATAGGACTTGCTCTTGGATCGTTACTCACACTAGCGTGTGGCTCCAACGATGATGTGTACAGCTGCGCATAGAACCTCTCAATCCTACTCAAAATCTCAGATGCCCCAGAAACGATGCTGCCACACTCGGTCTTCAGCTTTGACAATTGGCTCTTTCTGGCAGACAAATCTCTGACAAAGACTTTGGGGCCCTGATTTCGCTTGATCGCTTATTCAATACGAGCTGTATTGAAATTGCGCAAGTCCCGCTGCATGTATTTGGAGATCTGTCTGTTCAGTTTCCTGTAAGGTGTCAAATCTGTTGAAGACTGCAGCTTCATTTCCCGTCTAACAGCCTCAAGATTAAGAGTGTGATCAGAGTTTTTATGTTCTTCTGCGGCGGGTCTTGCAAAACTTAGCTCCGACTGCATGGACAGTTTCCACGAGTCTGTCATTCATATCGTTCACTGCATTGCAATCTTTTAGGCACTGAAAATGGTTTTGTAACTCGAGGTCAAAAGTTTCGGGATTCTGGTTTAGAGCACGAGGGGGACGGAGCTTTGACTTCATTAGACGAGACCTCTCCCACTTAACGTTTAGGTTCAGTGTGCCTCTAACCATTCGTTGATCGCTGCCAGATCTCACCCTTACGATTACTGAACAGTTGCCGTCTAGAAGTCAATCTCATTTTTGTCGAATCGTCGTGGCTCGACCAGGTCCACTTTCTGTGGGGCCGCTTATGGAATAAAGAGTTCATCATAAAGTCCCTCTTTCTCGGCCACGCCACCAATATGTGAGTTACCATACAGAAGAAAATCCCAGTGTTGTAATGTATATTTTTAAAAAATGGCTCATATGATGTTTTGCGCCTGGTGCAGGACTTTAAATTCCGACAAAATTTCCTTTATTAGGTATTGATCCATAAATCCCTATATTCGCATATTACGGCTTCCGGATACAGCCACAGATTAATTTCTAAAACAGATACATCGCTCCCTTGTAAGACACTCAAAAATGTGTCTTAGGTATGTACTTGAATTTGAGTTATTATTACTTCGTACAGTACAGCCCGTGCTGAGCTCTGAGCTGGCGCGGCGAGGTGGCGTGGCGGAGCCTGAGGCGGTGTACAGTGTAGTGTCATAGGGCGGGGTTCGAACCTGGGTTTCTCGGGTACAGTAAAATTTACAAGCGTCCCTGAGCTACCACGACTTTAAATTAATTTCGTGATTTGGTCAAATACCTTAATTGGTATCAGCAAAGTTACAGAATAAACATCTCAATTTTTCAGAGGTATAATAATAATTGTTTCAATTTTAGCACTTTTGTTTTTTACTTTTTATCTTTATTTTTATAATTCCATAAAATTAGTATAACTCAATCATATTTATAAATACATATTAGCTGTATTCAGGTGCCCCCACCGACGAGTTGACCTTGACTAGCGCAGCCTTAAGATCTTAAGAAGTTATAAAATGCAAATTATCTTAATAAAAAAGTTGATTTGTCTTGATTTAAAATTTTGTTTCATTTGTATTTGGTATAATTATACGTAAACAAAAGAAAAATGTGATACATTCAAACGTCCATTAAATCCAAGCGCGCAAAGTTTGTAACTGTAAAAATATACATTGCTTAAAAATAAAATAAATAATTAAAAAAAACAAAAACCCGACTTCAAAAATAACAATTTAAAAGTAATGCACTAAAAAGACCGAAACAAGATTGAGTAAAAAAACAAAAAAAAACTATAAGCAAAGTAAATTCTACTTCAGTTTAACAGACTATATTATTAGCTGAAAGCCTAAGTTATATATTAAGTTTAGTAGCAGGCGGAACCCATTAATTTTCTTTCGTATGTTTCGATTTATAATTTGTAAGTGGGTCTCGCCTGCTACTAAACTTAATATTTTACTTAGGCTATTTAACTTAGGATTTTAAGCTCATAATATAGTCTGTTAAACCGAATTAGAGTTTACTTTGTTTATAGTTTTTTTTTAAATTTTGTTTTCTTTACTCAATCTTGTTTCGTTCTTTTTTAGTGCATTACTTTTAAATTGTCTTTTTTGCAGTCGGTTTTTTGATTTTTTTAATTATTTATTTTATTTAAGACTTTTTAGTGTACCAGTCTATTGTGTAAAGGTTCTTTTTTACAATTTTTCGATAACTATACGACTTAGAAAGGTCGATGTATATTTCCTGAAATAAACGGCGTTTCTTTATTACATTTATCTTCAAAACTTCAAAATACACGGTTCAAAATTTATAGAAAACAATTTTATTTGTTCCGTTTTTAATGTGATTGGGCGATGGATATTAATAACTATACTTTTTTTTTTTTCATATAATAAGCACGAGGTTCCGGCACAAACATTGCACATTTTATAAACCAGTTATGAAAAACTTTCTAAACCAATTTATAACCCTAATTAAATTTAACCACACAACTTATATTCGATAGGTTTGGTTATTTTTTTTATTAGGTAACGTAGATATTACTATTTTGCGCCAAAAATCCGCCATTTTGTTTATTAAAAAAATCTAAGAACACTTGGGTTAATAAGACGAATAAAACGATAACTTCATTGTCAAAATCCATCCAGCCGTTTGGAAGATACGAGGTAATAAAGAAATTTTACAAACATACAAGATCGCGCGAAAAACATAACCCTTCCTTGGCAGTCGGGTAATAATTAGACTGCTCAGAATTAGCTCATCAGATTAGGCTAATTGTTTGGTTGCGGCACTGTAAGGTCGCGTATTCGAATCCCGTATGGAACAAGTGTTTTCATGGTTTGGATGTTTGTTCATGTGCAATAAATGTACATAAAACGCCTTCATGATATAGGAGAAAATCCTAACGTAAAAATTAATTTAAAAAAATATATCAAAAGTGCTTACGATCAACAGACTTAATTCTGTATAAGGGTTCCTCAAACTCCGCATTGGAAAGGCATTTCAACACTTTCAGAAAGTATGGGAGCAATTTATCATGATGTTGCAGCCTACTCTGTAGAAAATATAAACCCAAGGCAATAATTGCTTCTTGACTGCGTGAGGTGACAGACAGGGAGGAGCTCACTTGTGGGCACAACATAAATAATGTATTCACCTGAAAATAATTATTGAAGTTAAAAAGAAAATTTTTGGTTTGGCTCAAAGTTATTGAGTTGTACGGACTCTTGGTTTCGTAATTGTGGGCAGATTTGCTAACCACTGCTGTATTTTATTTAATGTTATGTGTATTTTTACAATAGATAAATTAATAATGTTTAATTATTTTTACATAAATAAATCAGAAATCTATTCTCAATAAACTCTGTATATACAATTTGCAGGCGTCATTGCCATTAAATGTTACACTGTTTACCCATATCGGGTATACAATAATTAAGAAAAATAATAATAATTTATTTTCACCACTTGCATAACTATCACATTTATAAATAACTATTCTATGATCTATACCTAGTTCACAAAGAATGATGGAACATCTGTGTCCGAACTAGATAAATATATATATATGTACTATATAAATCACTGTTTGATAATTATTATTTAATTTTAATTATAAAAACATTATGTTTTAACCACTCCTTGAGCTGTATTTTAAATTTTGGCAAATACATAGCTTTTATATCGTGTGGCAGATGATTGAATATTTAAATAACTGTGCAAAAAGTGCTCTTATAATACAGGTCAATTAATTTTAGATGTACATAAATGAAACTTATACTGTTTTTTGTTACTTCTATTTGAAATTATATCTTGAAAAATCAATGTTATAGTAATTTAAATTGGTTTTATAGGGTAATAAAACAAAAATTGACAAAATATAGCTAAAAATATATAAAGTTATTAAATAGTAAATATTAATTTGTAATTAAACTTGTTATGTGGATTAAGACATTTGTTCCAATCTGTGGAAATAGTTAGATATTGTATAATTAAACATTTTACGAATTGTGAATCTGGAATGTACTGTGTTAATTTGTGTTATTTTGTTAAATATTTTATTTATATTTATTATTGTGAAGTCAATGCTTTGTGTAATATTTTAATGTATCTGAGTTACTTTTTATATGAAACATAATAGTCTAATGTGTTTGTTTTGGGAATTAAAAATATTGAGTAAAAAAGGAAAATGCGATAGTTTTTTTTGTTTTTTTTTTTTATAGGATATGGTGACAAACGAGTACACAGTCCACCTGATGGTAAGTGGTTGCTGCAGCCCATAGACATAAACATCTATCCTAGATTACAAACCAAAATGCAGAGGCGTTGTCACCTGTGAGGACTAAGATGGAATGTCTTGTTTACAGTAAAAAGGGTCTCCGGTTCTCTACACTCACCATAAGAAACACAGCAGCATTAAGCTACTATTTCACGCTGGTATTCTGTGAGAGTGTGGTCCTTCCCCACCTATCTATCAATTGTACCATTCTATCAATTGTACAGGTACAATTGATAGAATTTACTCAAAAATTCCTATCTTACAAGCCAAGTATGATAAGATCCCCAAACAATTTGTTTCGATAAGAAATATAAGATACAATTATATGAAACCAACCATCCAGAGGGATTAAACCCAAAAGAGCATACCTAGAGTTTCATGGATGGTTCTAAAACAAATGAAGCTGTAGGATCTGGAACATTCTTGGAAAATCTCAATATCCACATAATATGTACACTGCTGGGTACCCACAACACAGTCTTTCAGGCAGAATGTATGGGTCAAGCGGCCATAGTAATAGATGCTAGGAAGGTGAAAGACTTCTCCATCAGAATACTGACTGAGAGTATGGCGGTACTATAAGCTCTGAGTTGCAATGTGGTGAACTTGGGACTAATGTAGGACAATCATCATCATCATCATACAGCCCTTCACAAGTCCACTGCTGAACATAGGCCTCCTCCAGTTCACAAAGCACGGTCCTGAGCCACCTGCATCCATCGACTTCCTGCATGTCTTACCAGATCGTCACTCCATCTAGTGGGGGGTCGCCATACACTTCGCCTACTGGTACGAAGCTGCCACTCGAGAACCTTTTTTCCCCAACGGTTGTCGGTTCTTCGAGCTATATGGCCGGCCATTGCCACTTCAGCTTACTAGTTTGTTAATTAATCCGTAAAATGTAGGAATGCCATCAACAACTAAAAGAAGTAAGTAAAAATAACAATGTAACTCTGCAATGGATCAAAGGACACAATGGATGCAGGCGCAAAAACGCAGTAGACAAACTGGCTGGGAGAGGATCAGCTATGGCTGGACCAATCCCTTTAGGTAATATTCATTCACTTCACTGGTATGTAAAAATTTTACTAATCAACACGCTCAGCTTTGGAAAAATATAGTGGACTGTAAGCAAGCTAGGCATGCCCTGCCAGTATTAAATAGTCATATAACCAAGGTCTTAATGAGATTGGACAAGCCACAGATCAGGATAGCAACAAGTGCTATTACAGGACATGGCTCCTTTAACAAAAATTTATATACAATAGGTGTTACAGGTAGGCCCCTGTGCAGGGGTTGTATGAGGGAGGAGGAAACGGCGGCACACGTGTTGCTGGCATGTTTGGAGGTGTCTGCATACAGGGCTAAACATCTCTGCATGCCGGGATCACTTCCCGAAGTTGCTTACAACATCAAGGGATTGTTGAACTTCTTTGGGAAAATTTCATTAATTCATAATATTTTTGCTTACATGCAAAATACGCGCCTAGACATGGAATTGCAGAAAACAGCCTATCATAAACTAAACTCAACAAATACAACATAGCAGAGATTGCAAACATAACAATATTTTTAAAAAGAAGCGTAAAAATAGCTGAGCACACAGCCAGCCATCTTACAAGTTTTTGGATAACTAAGTATAAAAATTACAGTGAAAAATTATGTGGAAATATTACAGTGAAAAACTGTAATTTTTCCACATGCTTGAGTACATTCAATTAATTGTAAATAATTTTATCGTTTTTTGCAAAACAGAAAATACAGAGTTTCAATTTTCTAGTGTGAAATATCTTCTATTCTAAAGAAATTGATTCTACGATTAATCAATCTCAGATTGCCATGCTTAGCAAGTATGTGAGGTTGTATATTTGGTTAATGTTTAAATACTATATGAAAACGAAGATGTGAATAACACTAACAATTAACCTGAGTTACTCAGATTGCAATCTGAAAAGTGTTCTAGTATACAGGGTTATTTTTCAAAGAGTAGCCAAATTTTAAACTTAAGTTCAAATATATAATGATATACCATTATTGCATTTTCTGAAAATTCTAGTAAATAAGGCTTCTACTTTTGTTTGAAATTATCACAAATTGAATGTGATTTATGGGCAACAAAGTTTTTGCCTACCCATCGACCCAGTCAATCAGTTAGCTACTTACTCAGAAAATCAGTTAAGTACTAATTCTGAACTTTCACTGGCTCTTTTATCTCATACAATGGCAGTGAGATAATGTTACATTAATAGCAATTATTATGTTTTCATCAGATTACTTCAGATGATTTAGTCAAGCTTTTATACATGGTGGAGCCATGCTGCAGTTATATTAGTACTATAGTTGCTTCCTTAGCCCCCCCTATCATATAAAAAAAGAAAAAAAGCTAAGTCAATCATCATTGTACCACCACATACCATCAGGTGGGATAGTAGTCAAGCACTGGCTACAATAGTAAAAAAAAATCTGCAACATACAGGCTTCAAAAATATGGGAGAGCAACAATATCAGTAAAGTCAGTAAGATCTCAACTAGTTTAAAAACTAAGCTTACTCAAATCACTGTATGCTTCTGAGACACGGATAGTACGAGAAATAGAAAAAAAAGTAGAAAATCTAGAAATGAGGTGCTAGAATTTAATCGTTGCAATATTATAGGTAGAGTATAGTTCATGACAATTATTTTTAAACATATTATTCTTGCAGCCAGTGCATAACTACCATCTTACTTGGTGTTAAGTAGTGGTAACTACAAGCAATAACCAAAACACTAAAGGAAGCTTGTTTCAAAGCGTATTTTGCCAGGAAGATATAAAACACGAGAGTAATGTTTCCCACAATAAAATACAGTTGCTCACTAAGTAGATGAAATTCATAATGCTGACTTATGTCATATGGTGAGATCATAATCAAAACAAAACAAATCACGACGTTATTTTATTTATTTTCTTTCAAATGCATTCACTTCAAAGCCTAACTAATATTATGACAGTCCTAAAGTCCTAAAGCAAATTTTTACTTTCATACGACACAAACACTTTTATCATTGAAATAAGCAATAATTATGCGAGATGTAAAAATACCAACCTTTTCCCATGGTGTTGGGTTCAAACAGGACAAACATCTGGCAAGATGTTGAACTGTCTGCCTAAAGAAGTCGTGTTCGTCCATCATATTTTATCTTGTTTCAGCGCAATACATTTTATAATTTAAAAATTAAGAACAAAATCGAAAGATCGACGTCCCATCTGTGACTTCATACCTTTTGACAGATAAGTTTGTCAATAATAGGGTACGTTTCACGCACGAAATTTCCATTTTGACATGTGAATTTTACGTTTAGTTAGATTTGACTAGTAGCTCTTTTTCAATGTTTAACTCAATTTAATAAGATTATTCAATTTAATCATTTTTGTTTCATTTATATACATTAAATAAATACATAAAAGCATAAATAACAATATAAAAAGATATATATTTTAAATAACAATTTTTCCTTAGCTTCTTTAATTAAAATGGAACATGTTAAAAGTTATAATGGGATATTCCGCTCACCAGATGTCACTAGCCGAGACGGAAATAAATTTTTTGTAAAAAAATACATTGAGCTATTATGTACTACGTACTAGAGGAGACACTGCATTCAGCTACTCTGTTCCACTCAACTGCGGTGCATGCACTGCACTTTAATCAGTCACTCGCTAGGCGCTTGTAGAGTTGTCACGTGTTGTGTTTATTTAAAAAAAAATCTCTTGATAAAAATATGCCGTCTTGTGTACTTAGATATTGCACAAATAATTCGAGAAATGTCAGTAAAAACCAAGGAATTACTTTTTCATCGGTTAATAAGATACTTATTCAATAAAAAAGTATTATAAATTAATAATAAAGCAAATTATTCCTAAGACGCCATCTCGTATCATTGAATATAGATTATGAAATTAATATGTTCAGATGCGACATTTCTGTGGGTACTTAAGTTTAGGACGAATATATTATTATACTACACATTTTTTTTGTAGAAACATATAAGTTATTATAATTAAGCTAAATTTTTCATGTTTAAATCTGCTTATTATTCTTTTATTTTATTTTTAGGTTTCCACTTCAAAGTCAAAGTGGAATAAATTCGTCCATTTTTAACTCTCGCGTGCCCAGCATTTATGAACGATTATTTACAACATTTATGATTCTAATTTAAATAAATATATTTGTAATTTAAATTTTATGTTAATAAGTTTTGTTAAACATACATTTAGCACGTTTTTTTATATTTGACATAGATACCTTTTAAAATATTCAGATAACAATATCATCAAAATGTAATTCTGACATAATATTATGTAATATTATATTAAATTAGCACATATACAAAATAAAAAACAATTTAAAAAATTGTAAGTACTCGATATAATTAACAATACAATATAAATAAACAATTATTACATACTGACCATTCTACTTATGTATAATCTATAATAACAAAAACTGACCGCGCAAGCGCAAAGCGCGTTTATACCAACTGCGCATGCGCGACTCTACTATTACCGCGCATGCGCGAAGACATAGAAGTAGCGCACAATTTTTGTTTGGAATAGCTTCTCTAGTACGTAGTACATTATAACTCAATGTAAAAATAATTTTAATACATTTTTATAAATATTTGATTTAGAATAGAAGTGGTAATTTAAGTAGAAGTTCTATTATAAGTTCAGTATTTAGGACAATAAATTATTACACAAAACAATGCCACGGGGATTTGTTCTTTAATCATTTTTTTACTTTTTCTAAGTACTTTTAAAAATATCCGTAGTTTGGTTTAATCATATTTTAATTTAATGAATACAAAATAAGTAATACCACCAAAGACTACTATGTATGTTAGTAAAGTCCAGTCGCAGAGTAGGAAGAATTTCGTACAATGACCTCTTTGCCTATTGACAGTCATTGGTCATAAACATTTTTGTGATGAATGTGATGAATATGATGAATTTATTAATGCCATCATAAACTTGTAAAAAAACCAAATCTCACAACTCAGTTCTTTTACCGTAAAAAGTTGTGAGATCCATGTAATACCAAGTCAGATAATTTATTCAGTCCGTACATAAGAGTCCTTCTCTTTTAAGTTATTACGTAATTAGCTAACCTAACAACATTTTATATTGACCATATCAATGTTAAAAAAATTTTATGTTTCAAATAAATGGATTGACTTGACCAGTAGACCGTCGCCCATGAACAATTGCAACACTAGGTAATAAAATATAATTAATATAAAATTATAATTAGTATAAAATTATTAATATGAAATAGGTAATAAAGTATTTTTGATGGATCATTCTTGAATAAACTCAAATAAGAATAATTAATTATTTCGTATGAAAGTTAAAACGTAGTTTTTATTATAATTTCCTATTTAATAATATTAGTAATAAGTAATAATATTATATTTTAATTTACGATACCAAATTAAATTTGATTGTATTATAATTAGTTAAAAATCTTGTAAACAAAGTTTTAATTTCAGTGCTTTGTGATAACTTAAAATATTTTAATTACAAAAGACGTGTAAGTTAAGTTACCTACTTCAATTTACCTACGTAAATTTCAACTAAGTTTTGTAATAAAGTACTTAGGTATTACTTCTGTATTTAAATTATTACTTAATTCTTTTTTGCTATAAGTATTTATTTAACAAAAAATTAAAAAAAAATTTAACTTTCATTATCGAATCGTTAGGTAACTTAAAGAATGATATATCTTAATCCTTTTGTTTGATCATTTTGCATACATCTACGCAACAATTATAGTAGGTTCGAAGTTTAGCCGTTATAATTTATCAAATAGATAGGTAATACACATATATTATTTTTAAATCACATTAAAATTTTTTGAACCATTTTATCCTACAATACTATACAAAACACTATACAAAAATTACAATAAATGTTTACAAAAATCTATATACGTAAACAGCGTTAAAAATACATCAATCGCCTACAATGCGCTAGCCCCGACCGCATATTACACACTGGGTGAATCACGATTTAGGTAATTATTTCACGCAGGTAACAAGAGTGACAGAGGCCTGGTGAAAATTCCTAATTCGATTCCACAAGAAAGTTGTGCGAGGAAGAAAACTTGTTCTAAATCGCTGTGATCGAATGGAAAGAGCCTAGATATATATAGCCTAGATATGAGAACAGTATTCCATGTGAGGCCAAACCTGTGGCATGTAAAGTTGCGGGCGGCGTGCCGGTATAAACTAATGTCACGCCCTGCTGAGCACACCAAGGTTTTTAGAGGCCTGATTGAACTGTACTAGATTTAGTCGCCTCAGTCCACTACTTTGTTCAACAAAGTTTCGACTTCAGACACAAGTTGATTCCAGTACTCGGCGACGTTTTCCCGACAAATATTGGCATGGCTGGTGTTTAAAGCATCACCATTGCTGCTGTCCCCATAACAATGAATGTCACCAGTTTGCAACATATCATTGATATGCAGAAGAAATAGCATTGGTGATAGCACGCAGCCTTGTGGAACACTAGCATTAATGGGCTTGTAACGGAGCAAGCACCATTTACTACGACCTTGATGCTCAGATAAGCAAGAAAACTGGTAATCTAATATCACTATTTCTCGAGAAGCCCATAGAAAGGAAGCTTCGAAAAAAGCGCTTTCTGCCAAAACCCGATCGAGGCCTTCACTATGTCCAAAATAATGGCCAACGCTTCCCCCTTGGACTCTACTGCCTCCGCCCATCTATGAGTCAGGTAACCCAGGAGATCACCAGCTGAGCGACCCCGACGGAAACCGTACTAGCGTTCACTAATCAGCTGATGATCCTTAAGGCACCTCATGAGCTGGCAGGTAATAATTTTTTCCGTTATTTTGGAGAACAAGGAGGTGATGGCGATAGGCCTGTTGTTAGACGGATCTGAACGGACGCTCTTTTTTACGGATCGGGTGCACCAAAGCTGTCTTCCATGAGTTCGGAACTATGCCTAGGGAGTAGGACTACCTGAAAAGATGCGTTGTCAACTCCGGAGCACACATCTAATGCACAATAGGTGGAGTCCATCAGGCCCACTCGACTTGTTGACGTCCAGGGAGAGGAGTGCTTTGCGCACCGAGCGCTGTTTAAACAGCACATACGTCATGGAGCACTCACACTCCGGAACGGTCGGCAGTGTGTTCTCAGTAGTTACGTTGTACCAGTTCTAGCTCACTGAGTCAGAAGTGGTACAAGTACGACGTCCGTCGACTCACGATCCTTAAAAAGAAAAAAAAGTTTTGGCATGCTCTGATCACGAATCTGCGGTCCATTTTTTGCGTAGGATGCATGGTTCCGGAGATGTGCAGATCAATTAACTCTTATCTAATTGATATCCGGTGAAGGCCTCCACCGTCATTAGCGCTCCATTGTTCTTATCTACTTATCTATTGTTCATTGAATATCGTCATTATCTATTCTTCCTCAGTGTGGTGCTATTGTATTATACTCCTTTGTTCCTATCTACACTAATCTGACTCATCAATAAAACACATTACCTAATTTTGTTAAAATTTTTATTTACAAAATACAAAATCTTATTACTTATTATCTATAAAATAGGAGTGAAACATCTCATCCACTAAAATATCGTTGTACAATGTATTCCATGTAAATATACTCGTAAAACTATGCATTGAACATCCCTGAAACTTATATAGCAAATACATTAAGCAATATTCGCCACAAACTGAAGTCCACTCATTCTGAATCCTATCAAAATTCCAGTTCCATCTTTTACAATTCCTTTTTAAAAACTCTAGATGATATCGTACAGGTGCTCGTCCATATAAATCAAAATATTGACCGACGTCATTCGTATCGATATATAGAGCTACCCAATGTGACCCTGGTTTATCATCAGTACCCAAATTGCATATTACCTAGTCAGGTCATAAATTCTATCACATGTTTAATATAAAATAATTGAAACAAGTTTATTCATTATGTAACCATTTATATACCAAAATGAACTTAACAAAACATAGATTCTTATGACACTATAGTTTATTCAAAATGACCTCCGTGATTTTGAATACAGGCCTTCAATCCGCGCGGCCAGTCGTCTATCGCAGCACGAACGAGGTCCATGTCAATATCCCCCTTAATCAAGGAT